TTACTGTTACCGGTAACTTAATTACTTATTACAATCTGGACTATAATTTGGCAATAATAGGCTCTAATTTGGGGAATGAAATGGTCTCGCCCACCTCTTCATGCACCCAATTCTGGCAACTTTGGTTGGGCAACTTGGCATTTGACTCCAACTATAATCAGCTTGGCAATATGTTTTCAATAGAATCTTCCTTTTATATACCTAATTAACGATTAGAAGATCGATCAATTTGGCAATGGCAACCATTACAAAAATATCAATATGGTGTGGCAGATAATTTTCTTTTCTAGTATTTATTTATTTATTTTTTTGTTTACTGTATAGTATACCATAAATTTATCGCGTTTCATTCTTACTTAAATAACTCCTCAGTGGTTGTGTGTGTGTGTGGCTGGTGGGTGCATGTGAGCGTGTGTGAAATAACTTGATAATTTTAGGTGAGTAAACACGTACCACTTCCTCTTGGCAAAACCTTTCATCTTATATTTTGTACGTTATAAACCTTATCTAAGGTTTTGTTTGCTCCCCTGATTTCATAATCAGATTTTATTTATTTGTTTTTATCTGTCAAATGTATTGTTATGCTGATTATGGAGTCGAAATAAACTTATACTTATATACTTATATATTCACAAAGTCATGTACCGGATTATAGAATTTCTCAGAACTTATCCACAAACTTAAAGTTTGTCACCACCAGGGGCAGTCCTGTCATCATTGATGACTTAACAATGCTGACATTGCAGTGTGAAATTACTTTTTATGAATGTATTATTTATCTTCTAATATTGATTAATTCAATATTATTTTATTTTATAAAAATCTAATAAAAAAATAAAAAATAAAAAAAAGACATTGCAGCCTACGTGCCTTTGTTTGCGGAAGCACAATTTAAGTCAATTAATACAAAATAAAGCATGTTTCACTATTCCAAAAATTTAGGATTCTTGCAATCGAAAAAATCGCCTGTAAGATGGCAGTCAGTACCAATGATAATATATAAAATGGTGCAATAATGCCTTCTTCGCGTTCTGAATATTCAAGCTGGGATTACGGTGTTTGATATCTGCCACAACAACAGAATTTCTCGGCCCCTACTCGACTTCGATAACTTATGGTACCGACCAATGACTTTGTTTAATGTCTAAGCGAACCGGCCGTGAGCGAACTAGATTCAGTAAACTATGATAAAACCAGGCACTTGATAATTCAAGCTCTTTTTCAGGTACCATTTCAGGCACTTAGAATAGGATTTACATAGTTTTTTTTTTTTTCAGTTTTTCAAATCTTGAATAAAACTGCGCATTTCTATTTCGCAATAAATAAATATTCCTTTCAATTTAATGAGGCATAATTAGTATTTTAAAAGTGAAATATGGCAACACCGAATACAAAATCAAAAAATCAGGCACCCGCGAAATTTGACACCTATCCACCAGTCATAATATTTTTTGCTTTTTACCCCAAAAAATCTAAATATAATGATACAAAATGTTTATATTTGGTTTTTCTCTTTAAAGTAATCAGAAACATTGGGAAATAGGCAGGGGCGGATTATACCCATTTGCATTTGGTGCCCTAAGCACTGAAGACTTTGGTGCCCCCTTATGTGTAATTTATTTGTAAAAACGATAAACCACATAAGTGTATTAGTATTATCCATTAAAAATAATCACAACCAACAGTAAATAAAACAGCTTTTACGAACATTTTTAGATTTTTTAACTGTTATATATATATAGCCGATATGATATATACATATGATATATCGACAAACACACAACATCTGGCCGATATAACGGTTGAGCTCTAATCCTGAAGGAGTGTGACAATAAAGATTCATGCCTCCAGTCTCAACGTAAATCGAAATACCAAAGGAGTCACAACTGTAGTTTGCAATTACTTAGTGGTCTACCTCAGGGTGGTTCAAGATTGCTAGGTTGAAGAACCCCAAAAACTTTTGAGGAGGTCTCGCGGGCCGCAAGTCGGAGAAAACCCAAAAGTGATCGAAATATCGCGAGTTTACCTACTTTTAATTTAATAAACAACGAGAGTTTACCGTTCTAATCAGACCATTATTATGTTGCATGGGTGGCGTTCTTTTAAAGAAGATATATAAACCCTTCTCTCAGTTATTTAAAATTTAATTCCCTAAAATTACCGTTGTATTTTCCGCATCTCGCGTTCGATGTCGCTTCAAATTATATTCTTTCGTGACAGATATTACTTGAAATCAAACCAGACAATGTGTGATGGGCAAGGAAATACGTTTCCGTCGTGTTTTCCTTATGCCCCTTTTCTTGTGACAATCATTTTATTACGAATACGTCACATGCGCCACGCTTGAAAACAAAGGAGTGTTTTTACTAAAATAAAGACACAAAGCGTTAGAAAAAAAGGGTTTGAATCTCGGGATTGCAACCCCAGTTGGAATATCTAAAAAAACTCAAAAACGCTCTGCTATTAGATAAAAATATACGCTAAAATTGTTCTGTGGGACGCACAGAATGTATCAGCATGACTGGGTTTGGACCACCCTGGTTTACCTTATCGAAAAACTCCCGACTTCGCTGACCAGTAGATTGTTGAAATGCGATCGTGGAACCGCCACATTGTGAAAATGGTTCATTGGTCCAATTGTTGAGAAGAAAAGAGATATTTTTAAAACAAAAATGCAGCAACAAGGAGAATACTAGAAAGAAAAAACAACAACAATTGAAGAAAACGACTCATTGGCCCATTTCGTGTGCAATAAATAAGTTTCAGTGTTTATTTTTGATAAAGAAGGATAATATGATACTTGAAGACGAGAAATAAGCGAACGTTTTGAAGTATGACTCGTATGGTGAACTCGTAATATTTTATTAAACATCGATAAACTATATCAAATTCTGCTATAAAAATTTCTGTGGTGCTCTTTTTTGCTTGGTGCCCTAAGCACGTGTTTATATTGTTTAATGGTTAATCCGGCGCTGGAAATTGGTTTGCACGAAGTGCCTGAAATTTCACAAGTGCCCGATTCTTTTATTGTTTTGTGCTTAGAGTTGCCATATTTTACCATTAATATTTAATTTCAAATAAATCCTGAAGGCTGGAAGGCGAGATGATCGATCATAGATTGTCAAACATAATACCTGCTTTTATTATTAAAAATGCTCAAATTGTCTTAGTGAAACGACTTTGGAATTACATTCAGAAAGCAAAAATTATATTAAGTTCTGACAAAAATCTATGGAAAATACGACGAAAAAATATGACAACGGTCATCGACAAAAAAGACACTTGCGAAATTTGACAAGTCTCCACCAGCCACAATCGTTTTCGGTTTTTCACAACAAAGATGTGAATTCAACGATACAAAATGTATTTATTAGGCTTCTTTTTTCAAAGTAATCAGAAACAATGTAAAATAGATTTTTTGCGGATTTTTTTCACGAGTGCCTGATTTTCCAATTTCATGCTGATCGTTGCCATATTTTACCATTGAAAGATATGGAGACGAAAGCCTAAACGAAATAACTTACCTAAAATTTTCACAAAACCATATCTGCTTTCCTGAAAGAAGCTGAAACTATGGAAAGGTAGTTAGAATTTCTTTCCTGCCTGGCTTGCCTAGGCGAGACTTACTTACGCAGGTATCGGCAACCTTATAAAATAAAGGTTGCAAATCTTAGCGGGCAGCACATATTTTTTTAAGAAATTTAAAAACCGAACAGGTGGCTGATAAATCACATTTTTTACACAGATCAGAAGTTGAAATTTTAGAACTTGAATAGCGAGCGAACACTGCGACGATTTGTGGACTCAAGTCGTCTTACCAGGTAGTAAATTTACAAATGACATTTAATGTGACGCTTGTTGTTGCATTACGCTTGATAGCTTTTCGACAACAGGTGATACACTGGATGAAGCCAAGATTAAGGCATTTTATGAATGGGCATCATTAATCCTAGTTCTCCACTTGTTCTTTGTAATGTTCATTTTCGAAAATAATTGTTGCTTGTGGGCTTTCTTTCTTTAAATGTGGTAAAGTGAGCGTAATTTGCCTTTTCCAACATAATAACAAAACGATCCACTCCGTGTCCAAGAATCTGCTCCGCGAGCGTAAATTATAAAATAAATTATGGTTAGAATTCGCAGCCGCCGTTTTGTCGCTAAATTTCAGTAAGGCATCGCGGGCCGGATTATTTTACTCCACGGGCGCATATTTCAGACGAATGTATCAAAAATGATATGGATCATGTTTTAAATGAAATAATGCGAACAATTTGGAAACAAAGAACTCTAACTTTTAAGGGTAGAAAAATAGTTGTAGATTGTGTGGTCTTATCTAAGTTTTGGAATTTTGTTGCGAATTTCCGTATGCCTGATGATTTTTTGAAAAAGTAAAAAAAAAGCATGTTTGGGAATTTATCTTGAACTGTAAAACAGAAATTATCAGTAGGGTCCAAATGTGTATTAAATAGGAACCGCATTCGATTTTTTCTATGATGCCAAAATCGTTAACATAAATTCCCGACCAAAAAAGATAAAAGCTGAATAACAATTTAGACTGCCGAGCACATCATTCAACTTCGATAGTTGCCTTAGCTAAGCATAACATTAGTCAATTCAGTGACATTAGTGATGCAACAATGAGTCAAAAGATTTTTTTGGTTGATGTTATGACGAAACAACACCAAATGCGATTTTTTGATTACTCTCCGAAAGCGACGCGGGCCACAGATAATGAAGCTGAGGACCACATATTTGTTCTGATCATTTGCACAAAGGCCCCGCCACAGCTCAAAATGAAAAGATTAGTAATTATCCAGTTTACGGCTAGGAATGCAAATTGCGCTGAAAATCTCATATTTTTTACATTCATTTCATTATCACGGGGGCTTTATCCAAAGGATCAGTTTTTTTATCATTATTGCTTAACCGCTATATTTGCTGCTGTAATTCAGCATGAATCTCCTTCATAATAACAGTTTTTGTTATAGCTTCCATGTCACATTTTGTGTTAGTTGATAATAACATTAATTATAAGTCAAGCTACAGTTAGTTATATATATAATCATCAATGACAAGAGCAAGACTGGTGTTAGCATGTTATGAAAGCCTATACACTAAAACAATGAATACGAAAAATATAGCTATATATACATTATTACACACAACGATCAGTTTGTCTTAACAAATGTTAGCGTGAAAGGCTTAGGTACGTACGCAATTCCTAACACTCCATCATCAAGCGCGGGTAATTTATTCAAATAGGAGCTATTATGCCGGACGCTAAATTTTTGAAGAATTGAAACAAGAAAGAGGTAGATTTCCATTCGAGCAAGCTGTTCTCCAAGGCAGTTTCTTCGTTCAAGTGAGAACGCAATAACATATTTTGATCTGACGAACACCCCTTCATCGTTTAAAAATCGTTCTGGTCGGAACTCCTCTAACTTTTCAAATATATTGGAATCATTATGGGCACCCCATATATTGAAAATAACTTTCACATCTTTGCGCACGATGAAGCCATTAATTTCGACGTCATTAGGGCTACATCGAGGTATACCAATTGGCGCTAACGAACAATAACGAAAAATTTCTTCAACAAATGCCTGTGTGTAAGGCATGAAATCTCGATGTTCCATTGAAGGTGTTTGTATGCCAATAATGTCTCGAATTTCCGACTGAATTTTATCCTGGCAACTTGGGTAGTGTAAAAATGTGAGAAAACACCACAAAAGGTGGTTTGAACATTTGACTGATTTATCTTGGTACTACTTACTTTTGGTGTGTTTACGTATGGTTCACTGCATCGCGATTATTGGCTGATTACTTGATTACTTCTTGTTATGGTTAACTGTCTGGGGCTTTAGTCTGTCTTTAGATCTGTTCTCAAAAGCTTGTTAATGGTGCTATAGTCATTGGGTATGAATAATCTATTTCTTAAGTTTCTTACATTGGGATAATCTGTTCTGACAAAGCCTCATTTAAATGTAAGTGACTTGGTATATTCAATCAATCAATCAATTTTATTCGGTCACTCTGATACAAACAAAACACAGAGGACCTGGGGGACGGGCATAACTTAATAAAAAAGTTAAATACGCACAAGTACGTGCCCGTCCCCCAAAAACAGAATAAAACAAAAACACGATGGAACATCGGGCAACAACTTATAAATTCAAATTAAAATGTGCGACGTGTATGTGCTTTTCCTATACAGATATATGGATTAAAACACTTGCTGACGAAAAATGGTGATGTTGTGGGCCTACTTCAATTATATTGCAAAAATAACACAGTGACAAATTTTTTTTTACTAAAAAACAAGCTTGATAAATGGATTGGATGTTCCATAGCAGTCTATGCACAAATCATGGATTGGGGTGTTGGGTTCTTTTGTCGTTTTCGGTTGGTTCACTTTAAAATCATTGTATCCGTTCCAATGCTTCCAACATTAATATCGAATTTCCACGCACGACCACCATTCAGCCATTCCAACAGGTGCAGTGATCCCATCTTTTCTACGCTCTGTTCCATCATACACGACTAGATTCATAAAAAGATCGAAACCTCGCAATATACCCGTAACAAATCGTCCAACATTCAACTTTAAATCCAATCTTTTATCCATAAACTTCTTTAATTCTAGTGGATGGGCTTTGCTCACGTTGATAATGCGCGATACAGATTACAGATACCGAAACATACAACGCGTAGCATTCACTAGTCTTTTCAAGCTGACACGTCCGCACCCGACGACGGTCGGAACGGAGTTTTCTTGCTTTGTATTGTGCATGATTGTCTGTACTCAATTTAATATTCATCTTTATTGTTTGTCAGGTCACTTTGTCTTACTGATATCTGGATTAAATCAGTTTGGGAGAAATCTATTCGTTTCATTTTGGGATATTAGTTAAAGAGACATAGTAGGCAAGGGTGATTTGTCAATGGGAGGAAATCCAAACTACTGCTCCAAACTACTGGGTACTGGATGACGTTTCACTGCCGGCACCGAACAAATCCCGAATAAATATAAGCAACTGTTTTTCAGTAAAATACTCGTTTTCGCCGAACTCGTTTTTTTCCGCCTTTGTTCAATAGGAAACGCTTGATAAAATTTTCAAATTTGCCTGCTTTCATCTCGGATTGAATTCTTGATATTTCTTTTTTAAACTGACTAGATGAGTCTTCTTGCTGTTTTAAACTTTCGTCAAGCACCGATTTAACAGGGGGAAGAATTTTTGTGAAGGGAAGTAGCACAGCTAAATTGAACATCATTGCTTTCCTAGGATCATTTAAAAAGTTTTTGGCAGAGTGTTGAGAAAGCACATCATTATATTCAAATCGTTTTCCCAATATAACACGACACATAACGTTGGTAACTGAATTGAAAATAATAGTGCGATTTTTCTCAGAATTTCGTTGGTTTTCGTCGATGGATTTTAATAAAAACGCGATTTCTTCCTGGATATGTTTCTCGAAACATCGTCTTCCAACACAATGGGCTCGGAATGTCACATTTCCAAATTTTCGATTATTTTCCCAAATTTTATCAGCGGTAAAAACGATTCCAAAGTTGTTACTTCCCAATGCTTTGGCATGAACGTGGGATGGAGCCCATTCTACAATGTTCTGAGCTTGCCGAATAACGTCATACGAATTGAGCACAATCCAGTCTTCCCACTAGTACAGATATAACCGTTCTAAATTTCTTGCTCCATTTAGAAAATTCAATATATGGTTTTTTACTCATGAATGGGATCACACCACCTATTGGAAAACCTTTTGGACCGGGAGGAGCTCGAAAAGGACGTTGATACCACCAGGCAAAAAGTGATGTTATAGCGACGATTGATATTACAAATATATACATTGTATGTAAAGTACTGGAAATAAGTAATCACAATTTACAACAGGGGTCTCAAACTCACGGCCCGCGGGCCAATTGAAGCCCGCAGGATGATAGTTTGTGGCCCCCGCCTTGGTATTAAAGTTGAATGTTAGTGTGGCCCGCAAGTCACTTAGCTCAATTAATGCTTTCAATATAACAGTGCTTGCCAAACTGTGTTCCGCTGAACACTAATGTTCCGCGAGCATCGTCCGAGTGTTGCGCGGGAAAAGAATCAAAAATACATCTAAATTGGTCGCCATGGTGATCTGAGAATCATGAAGTTGTTGCCCAACTGACTGTTTAAAATTGCGTTACCGTCGGCCTAAAGTGGACTAACTATGTTAGGGTTGTGGCATTTTCGTTAACTGTCGGTTTAGCTTTTTGACTGTTAATTTCATTATCAAACTTACAGTACTTCTTTTGGTTTTGGCTCGCCACGGCGAAACAATTGGGAACCCCTTTATGCATCGTTTTTCTTTATCAATTTAACCCTTTCATTTATTGGTGTTTCGCGAGGTGATATAAAAAGTGTAAGTGTTCCGTGGCTGAAAAAGGGAAACTCTGTAATATAAGATATAGTCACGTAGGGCAAAACAAAATATTTTATCATCTATCCCCTGAAAGGAATATGCGGTGCGGTAACCTACCAGTACCATACCTGTAGGCCTGATATTCGATCGCGGGACCGCCTGAAATAATTTAAAACCCTTTCAATGCCGTTGGTACAAAAATGTAATAAAATGGAAATCCGTTGGATGCTGTTGGTACAAAAATGTACGGCCATTTTCTAGCAGCTCTCCAGCGACGCCCAATGGTTATATTCGGCTGAAGTCTTTTCTGTAGCATCTTGATCTATGACGAAATGAAGTCATTGAAGCGTTTGGTTCTAGTTCCTATAGGAGAGAGTCTCGGAGGGAAAAAGTCAACAAAGAAAACAGAGAGAAACTAGGTTTTTCTTTTTTATCGATTACCACGATAGCGAGGCAATTGAGGTTTTGGCAGCTGTTTGTGTGCTAATGTTGACAACGATGAATGTTATAATATTGAAGAAAGGCTGACAGACAATTTCCACGACGAACAAACTGTGTATCGCGAAAATAGAGAGAGAAAACTTGGTCATTCTTTGTTTATGAGTTGACGAGGAAAGAAATTGAGTTTCGTCGACAGCTATTTACAATAATGTTGACAATAAAAGAATATTATATAATGGAAGAAGGCTGACAAACAGTTTTGTTTCACGAGAAATGTCATAAAAGAGATAAACTAGGTCATTCTTTGTTTATGAGTTGATGAGAGGAAAGCGATTGAGTTTTGCTGGCATTATTTGCTACATTCGATACTGAAAGGTTGTATATTCTTGAACAATGGCAAACAGACAATTTTTCACTGCTGAAGAAGCTAATAGACTTGTAATGAATGGTATTTTATCGGACGTCATGAGTGATCATGGTAAGTAAAATATAAATTTTTGAAAATTTCAGTATTACATTCTTTTACTTGTTGCTAATCGGGTAGTTTTTGGGTCAGTAATGAGTGATCATGGGGAGTAAAATATAGATTTTTGAAAATTTTATTATTACATTCTTTTACTTTTTGCTAATTGGATAGTTTGTAATGTTCTTTGAGTTCTGGTGTAAGTTTGTAACACTGTTTTCAATATTTTAGATTCAAATGAAGGCAGCGAAGAGGAATACATTCTAGAAGCCAGTGGTGGAAGCGAATCTGAGGAATTTGATGATCAACATCTACAGCTCCCCTAAAGAGAGCAAAAGTAACAAGAAGAGGTCGACCGAGACGACAAAGAGGTGCTAGGCAACAAACTCCAGCTGATATTGGGAAAAGCAAATACAGCAACTGGCGAGACGTTACTTCCAATGATCAATATGGCCCAGAAACCCCATATAACTTTCGTAATCAAGGTTTTGGAGGTAAAGATATGCCATCAGCTGATAGTCGACCAATTGAATACTTCAAACTCTTTTTTACCGAGGAATTAGTAACCATGATAGTGGAGGAAACTAACGACACCCCTACCACCCAAATCTCGCTTACATCAGTGGAAGAATGTGACTGTGCCCGAGATGTATCTCGTTGTCGGCCTTCTCCTCAATATGGGCATAGTAAAAATGCCTCGCCTTTCTGACTATTGGTCTGGTTTGCCGTATCTGCACCATGACTTCTTTCCAAATGCTATTTTTCGAAACAGATTTCAAGCCATTTTCCATACGATGTTTCACTGTTGTGATATCGAAGAGGACCAAAGAACGAAATGGGATAAAATACAGCCCATCATCAATTATGTCGTACAAAAATTTCAACAACATTTCGTCCCTTATCAACAGTTGTCAGCAGACGAGTCGATGATCGGGTATAAGGGGCGAATTCGTTTCCGACAATATAATCCGAAGAAGCCTATAAAGTGGGGTCTGCTGGCTAGAACATTGGCAGATGCCAACACTGGATATTTGTTGAACATTGTAATGTATTACGGTAAAGATGAGGGGAAGGAAATAATCGAAGGATCGACCAAAACTTCATCCACAATTGTCGAGCTCCTCCAACCATATCTTGGCAAAGGACATAACGTATTTTGTGACAGGCTTTACACGTCATTGAACTTGGCTGACTATCTACACGAAAAAAGAACATATCTTACTGGCACAATAATGCAAAACAGAAAAGGCGTCCCTGTTGAAATCAAAGGAAAATCCAAGAGCCTGATTTCAATGCGGAGCAGCAAGATTCTACTACAAACTTGGACTGACAAAAGGCCTGTCACAATGATCTCCACTTATTATCGTGGAGATGAAATAATTACTAAAGACGTAAGAGGGCGCGACATGACTGTCAATAAACCGTTAGTGGTTGAAAGGTATAATCAATTTATGGGGGGGGGGGGGGGTCGACCTGTCCGACCAATACACACACATCTTACTACAATTTTAGTAGAAAAGTGTGAAGTGGTGGGAAAAGTTATTTTTTTGGTTCTTAGAAATATGTGTCACAAACAGATACATTCTATACAAACTGTCAAGGCTGGCTAAACAAACCAGAGATATTAATTTGCTTAGCTTCCGCAGAGACCTTGTATCTGATCTTGTGGATATTGGGAGAGAGGCCACTCAGCGGAAGCGACGATCTGGATCTGCCTCAGATGTTACAACTGAAACAAATATCTTCCATGTTCAAAAAAAGGTCGAGCCTGGGCAAAGACGTAAAGAATGTAACTTGTGTAGCAAAGGCATAATTGGCGTACGAAAGGACACAACATTTTATTGTGATTCCTGTGAAGGGAAGCCTGGGCTTCATCCCGGGGACTGTTATTCCAATTTTCATCTTCAGAATAGAGATAGTTCATGGGTTTTGTGTCTTATAATATCTTTATCATTTGTAAATAAATGCACCATTTTTATGTTATACACGTATATATTTGCTTTTCTGTACTGTAAAATGTCATCATTTCCATATGTCACCTCACCATATTCCATCCACTTTGTATATATCCACTGTGTCATTGTTGTTTTTTATTAATAAAACTTCATTTATGGTCATTTGAAGCTTCTATATTGCGTTACTGATAGTTTTCGCATATTTAGGTTTATGCAGATTTTTGGGTTTAACGTAGAAAAATCCCGGTTGCTCATTGTATATCGTATTCTCTCTTTTATCTTCCACTCGCCGCGTTTGTCTCGTTTGTTTTCTGTTTCTTTTACTAAATCATCGGGGCTAGCCCCGAAATTATGACGACACAATGCCGACGTTTCTTACAACAACGTGTTGACATACTCACGCATTCCTTCTCGTTCGTTGGTTGCTTGAAGAGTTGATAGTTTCCTCGCCTTCGTTTTTGTCGCTTGTTTCGCTATTTGAATCAGTTAGAGACCTTTAGTCCATTTGCTTTCGATTTTCCACATTCTTTTTGAGCTCCTCACTTCTTTCCGGCTTCGCATTTCTTAGACCTCATAATGAATAAGGTTGATGCACTACTTTGCACTCCGTTTTCGCAGCTGCCGCTGGAACAAAAATTAGAGGTACAACGTCTTGGGCCTTATCAACCAAAAAATTGTTCACTGGAACAATCCCATGACGGAGGAAAGCGTCGGCGTACATTCTGCGCAGAAACTTGGTATAAAAAACACGAATGGTTGTGTTACAGCGAGGACAAAAATGCACTTTTTTGTTTTTATTGCCTACTTTTTGCTACCGCCCGTGACTCACGTTGGTGTAAATTTGGTTTTAGAGATCTTAAACATCTTTCCGAGCGTGCCAGGGATCATCAATCTTCTATGGAGCATCTGGACAATGCAGTAAAATACCGAACATTCGGAAATGTTAATATTGCAGCACAGTTGGATGAAGGACGCGCGGTTTTTATTCGTCGGCACAACCAAAACGTCGAGAAAAACCGCCATGTTCTCGGTCGATTGATAGATGTTTTGAAGTATAAGTATAAGTTTATTTCGACTCCATAATCAGCAATAGACGATAAAAGAATAGATAAAAACAAAAGTAACTGATTATAGAATCGGGAAAGCGAACAAAACCTAGAGTAAGGTTTGAAACGTACAGATTTAGATGGAAAGGTATTGATAAAAGAAGTAGTACGTGTTCGCTCACCCAAAAGTAAAAAAAAAACTAATTAAGGCACGCACGCACACACACACACAATCATCGAGACATGATACAGTCGGAAGCGAAAAAAGCGAGGCTTAAAAGTAAAAAGGAGGGAAAATATACAAACAAATAAAAAATAAAATGAATAAATTCTTTTGCCACACCAAATTAATAATTTTATGAGGATTGCCAAATTGGATACCGAATTAGTCAACAAGAATAATGTATTGTGGATAGAAAAGTATTCCTCAACAGATACCGTCAAGCTGATTATAATTGGAGTCACCTAATGCCAAATTGCCCAATCAGAATTGCCAAGTTGGATGTATGAAGAGGTGGGCTAGACCTGCTTCACTCATCAAATAGAAGCCACAACAAGCCAAATAACGTCCAAATTATTTTAAATACTATTAATCAATAACAGTACCGGTAATCATAATTAAAATTAATTAGGGCGGTATGATACAGAGGTAGGAAAATTGGTTAAGGGAATATATATGGTGTTTAAGGTTCAAGTAAGGTTTCTAGGGTCATGGATTATAGGCAAGTAACTTTAATTGAGGTTGTTGATCACTGCGGTCAGTTCAAATTCATCACGGATGATTCATCAGTCTGCAAGTTTTGTTGATGTATACACCTTTCATGTTGACATAGATAGCATTTAAATTGATCATCATGACGTCCTGAAAAACGAAAAATATATCTGCGAGTACAATATTCAATGATTGCAAATAAGGAATCAATAGAAAACTACCCAACACCTTTGAGTGGAAGTTGTTGAATTGTATAAATATTGATTAATATTAATTAAATATCATTAGACTGCTAGTTGAAAGACCTGAGAAAGAAGAGATTGTGGTTGGGACACAAGAGATATTGTTCACAAACCATGCAAAAACCTTTCGATGTCGGTCAAACCACACACATGTATGCCATTATCTTAGTCATTAACATCACACTAACCCTTACACATTTGCATGCTATACACAGCATAAATTCGACCAAGGATAAAAACTTTGTACACACGCAGGACACAGCATATAGTACTACAGCAAGTTAAAATGTAGGGGAGAATCCAAATATACCTCGACTGGTCACCTAATTACAATATTAGGTACAGGAGTTAAATTATACCGTCTACAACCCTCACAAAGAATCACACCACCCAAACAGAAAACAAAGTTCACGCATGTGGAATATCAGAAACCCAACATTGGAAGAAAAGGAAACATGCGCATGCAGATATCAGAATGTGAACAGCCATATTAGGGAAATCTTATGCTATAGAACAAAATAAATGGTCAACTAGAATGCAAAACAGATGAAGAGAGCTCAACTTCTTTTTTAAAAAATAAATTAGCAATCTCAGAAACAATAACAATGTTATGGGTGTTCAACATTCTCATGAAAACAATAAGTATGTGCAAGTGCTGAGTGTCCCAACTTATGTCATGGTCTTTCTTTTGAAGTTGTAGCTAATTACATACGAAAAATATATAACAGTGTGATTCTAATAATAAATTTTAATATTTTGATACCAAGTAGGACTTGACTTTTTTCTGAAAAGATTTTTTGGATTTTAATGTCTTCAAATTCAAGGGGAGAGAATTCCACAGCTTGGGTCCAGTATAACATAAGGCATGTTGGCTTACAGATGTACTTATAAAAGGTATGAACAGGTTGGAACTACTTCTTCGATTGGAAGTAATTTTAGTTAGTATGTCGTCGAAGCAGTTTGGCAAGGAATTGTTATGGAAATCATGGACTAATGATAATACTTCAAATTTCATTATATCTTCAACTTTGAGTATATTTAGCTTTTTATAGAAATGGTTTACACTTTCACGTTTACCTTTCCTAAAAAGAATTCTATTTTGAGACAAGTGTTTTATTACCATGGAGCCAGACTGAGCAACAATATCGGATATGGCTGAGTAGTAATGATTGAAACATTGCTAGTAAAGCTGATTGATTAACACACTGGGATACTTTGGCAGCAACTGCCAAGTTTCTTTTTGTTTTACTAATAACATGCAATATGTGATTTCCAAGACAGATTTTCATCGAAGATAATTCCTAGAAATTTCTTCTTTCACTCTTTCAATTTCATTGCCATTGAGCAGCAGTGGTTTGTACAACTCACACTTTTATGCTTGCTTGGATGGAATAAATACAAATTTAGTCTTGTTAGCATTAAGAGATAATTTATTAACTAACATCCAGCTATGAATGTTGGCTAGTTCGTAGTTTGCAACTGTGAAAAGATCTTCAAGGTTTCCCCATGAAGAATCAAGTCAGTGTCATCAGCAAACATGATTGACTCAGAGGATTTCAGACACCTGGACATATCATTAATGTAAGCTAGAAAAAATATGGAAAAAAATGGACCAAGTAAAGATCCTTGAGGAACTGCGTGCTTCATGACACAAATATTTGTAGAGAATGAATTGTCATATTGCACAATTTGTTTTCTGTCTTGCAGGTAGCTCCTGATCCAATTGAATGGGACGCCTCTAATTCCATAGTGATAGAGCTTACTTGAAAGGATGGAATGGTCAATGGTGTCAAAAGCTTTTGAAATATCAAGGAATATTCCAATTGCATGTTGTTTGCCTTCAAAAGCCTTGAAGCAGTGGAGTGTTGCTTGCGGAAACCGAATTGATGCGAGTGGAAAACACTGTTGGTTTCAAAGTAGTTTGACTTTCTACTATACATTATTTTTTCAAGAATCTTTGAAAACGACGGTAGAAGACTAATAGGTCTATAGTTCCCAAGATCTGAGACACAACCCTTTTTTTAAGAGAGGAAGAACTTTAGATGTCTTGAAACTTTCAATGAATAATCCAGTAGATAGTGAGAGATTGAATATGTATGCCAGAATATCAGTGATGTGTTCTGGAATATATTTCAATATTTTGAATGGTATACCATCGATTCCAAAACTTGACTTGGGCTTCATTTCGCGTATGATATTTTTTATTTCTAATGCAGTAGTAGGCCTTAAAAACATGGATGACGATTCTTGCTTCCCTAGATATGAAACGTAATTTTTGTCACAGCTAGCTGATTGTGGCATATTGTCGAGCAATCTTTGTGCCACTTGGGAAAAGTGTTCATTAAATTTATTTGCAATTTGTGTATTACTGCATTCAAGTCCAATCAAAGGACATGAATTGTTTTTATGTTTACCGATTAGTTCATTAATTGTTTTCCATACTGCCTTAATGCATACTGCCTTAATGTTGCCTTTGTGAGAGGCAACTTGATTTCTTTTTATGGAGAAATCGAGCATAAAGATTCCTGCATTCATTATAATGTGACTTGTGTTTGTCATCTATGTTTTTATTGTTTATTAATTTCTTATAAAGTTTTTGTTTGACTTTGTTGAGTTTGCGTAACTCAGTATCATACCAAGGTTTGTTTAATCTGTTTGTTTGTGTTCTGTAAGGAAAAGACTGAGAGTAAACAGTAGAGAATTTATCAAAAAAATTTTCAAAGCATATGTTTGGATCCTGTATGCTGTTGAAGTCATAAATTGGCGACGAAGTGTTTCAATTCTGTTTTGGATTTGCTTTTCTAGGAGAGAGCATTGTACAATTGGCAAATGATCAGAAATACATTCTGCCAAAACAGCACTGTTAATTTTTTTATCATATACGTTTGTGCAGATGTGGTCTATACAGGTAGCAGAACTTGAAGTTATCCTGGTGGGACAGTTTATCAGAGAACTGTGCATAATATCAACAAATAGGCTGGTATTCATATTGGACTCATCAATAAGATTATAGTTGAAATCACCCATTATATAATAATAATTCGACCTGTTAATCTTTGAGAGAACTTGGGACAAAAGATGTCTAAAGTTAGCATTGTTCAATTCATCAGTTAGTGGTGATCTATATATAGTACCGCAGGTTATTGTTTTATTTTCTAATGATATGTCAATAAATATGGATTCAAAAACCTTCTCACACATGATAGTGAGATCCTTACGGACAATGTATTTCAGGTCATTTCGAATGTACAGACCAAGACCAAACCTCGGTGATGAGATCTACTATTAGAGATGAAAACATATCCATCCAATGCATTGAAGTGGCCATTTGTATCAGATACAATCCATGTTTCATTTATAGCAATTACATGTGGCTTACAATTCAGTGAATTTACTAGTGCTTCAAATTTTGTGTAGTTTTTGAAGGAGGCTAAAGATCGGATATTGATCGAAAGAGTCATGAAGCCACTTAGTTTTAGACTATCATTGAATTTAAGGTCATTGACATCACTTGAGCAAATATACTGATTTGAGCTATTGTACATGAAAACACTGTCTATGTTGATGAATTCTTCAGTGTCAGTATTGGTTGACTCAAGAAAAATTTGGTTGAGGTATTCAAGATTAAGTATTTTTGTAAGAGTCTGGGCATCAGCTTTTTCTGAGTGAAAAGTAGAAAATAATTTTGGTATTTCAGAATCAGAGATAGAAGAGAATGGTAAACATTCTTTTTCACAAAGGAAACAGCACCAAGGCATTTCATCAGATTCAGATTGCAGGTTTTCATATTGCTGTCCAGAGATATTAGTGCATTTTAAATGTATCCAATAAGAACAAATATTGCAAAAAATAGCTTTCTGATTTGTTCGGACTGATTTGTGGCAATTTCTACATGGATATTTCATCATATGTTTTATGGTTGTGGCAAAAAATAAAATAGATAAAAGTACTGGCCTATTCGACAGAGAAAATTAAATTTGAAAATAAGTATTTAATCCCCTTCACTCCTGTAGGCCACCACTCTGCCAAAGGACCAGGGTGCATTCAGTGAGCCTGTTTGCTAAGCCCCATTGGACGAGCAGCAGCCCTGGAGTACAGGGGACGAGATAGAATAGTGATATCATTTAAACAAGATATGACTCGCCTTCTGTCCAAGTACGCGTAGATAGTCCCATTCATTGTTGACACTTTGTGCTTCCCGAAGGCTTCTTTGGCAGCGGTGAGCAGCTTGAGCCTACTACGGTTCAAGGACTCCGTGATGGACAAACCGCTACCTTTCAGGTCTTTCTTCCTACCATATATTAAATTTTTTGTCGATCTTCTGACAAATTTAATAATGATAGGGTTCTTCGGGGATTTTGATCTCAACTTATGGGTAATGTCAATATCGAATTTGACAATAGGACTGTCAAGCTTTAAGTTGCTGTTAAGGGATTTTATAACGAAGTCCTCAAACTGATCGTATTTCGTTTCTGGCACGGATTTGCAGCCATGAAGAATTATACAGTTTCTTCGGCCGTACTGTTCTAAGTCATCCTGCTGTTTTTCCAAAATCTCCAGTCTCTTCAAAATCTCCTCGATCTTAGGGGAGATCTGGGCTACATCCTGCTGGAACTTTTTGATATCTTCAGATCTGTTGCCATGATCTTCTGTGGCTGACAGTTCCTCCGATTGTTCCAACAGCTTTTTTTGAGCGTCCTGGACTGATGCGACAGCGGCCAGAAGCTGGTTTTGGGCTTCGTTATTCATCCTGCTGTCTTGATAGTGGTTGAAACGGTACCGTGTAAAAGATTGATTGAAAGGTGGTAGTAATTCAGACAAAATTCAAGTCAGTATAATATTAAAGTTATAATCCGTTGGATGATAGTACAGTAGTATCGAAGGTATTAGGCTATAGTACTTTAATTCTAACCAAAGGTTACACTAACATCTGCAAACTTGGACAGCAAATAATCAAATCAAGTTCATTGGTTGTCACGAGCTGTCCCTCCGTGGGCACGATGAACGGGCTGGCTCTTCTAATGGAGGGGTATTTTTGGATATGGTGGAATACACCGCATCCCTAGATAGAGTATTGAGAGATCATCTTGATGCCGCAACTGTTTCGAAAGGGACATCTAAGGATATCCGAAATGATTTGCTCGACTCAATGTATAAAATTTATTCACAACATTTGGCTCTGGAAATTGAGAATTGCCAGTTCCTTTCGATTCAGTCTGACGAGACAACTGACATCACCACGTGCGTTTCCCAACTGGCTGTGATTTTTCGGTTTGTGAAAGATGGTAAACCTACCGAGAGATTTCACAGCTTTGTACCAATCGTTGATCGCACGGCTTGCGGGATATCGGCTGTACTGAAAGAAGTGTTACAGCCTTACAACGCAAAGTCAAAATTGATAGCTCAAACTTATGACGGCGCGGCAGTCATGAGTGGGTCGAAACATGGTGTTCAAGTTTATATAAAAGAAGATTTTCCTCATGCGCATTTTTTACATTGTTATGCACACCAATTTAACCTCGTTATTAAAAATATGTGTCTTGATACCCCTCTCGTCCGTATATTTTTTGCAAATGTTTCGGGGTTTTCTTCATTTTTTTCCGTTTCGCCGAAGCGCTCTGACCTCCTTCGCCAGATATGTAGCCGCCGTCTCCCAGCTTGTGCACCAACACGTTGGAACTTCCAATCACGCGTGGTGCAGGGCGTGTCCGAGATTAGGTCTGAGCTCATTGAGTGCTTCAATGGCATTCAGAGCTCTCCGGTTTGGGACGAACGCTCTGTGAGGGAGGCAGCAGGTCTAAAGCGTCTGCTAGAAGATGGTGAGTTTTCATTTTTTCTCGCTTTTTTCTCCACAATATTCTATCACGTGGATGTATTATACGGCGCAGTCAAGGCTAATGGATGGAGCGTCTGTGCAGTCGTGTATTTCAGACTTCTGCGATGCTGTATCTCGTATCCGGGAAACAATAAAATACGACGACACATGGAGTGCTTCTTTACGCGGCGGGCAAACAACGCAGCGTTTGATTTTGTCTGCAAAGGAATGCTGTGACATTCTCGTGAATCAAATAGGCGATCGTCTGCGCACTGAACACCTTGCCGCGTTCTCTTTGATGAACCCCAAATTTTTTTCAAAATTTGCACGTCAATTTTCCATCCATTTGTTGGCTACTGTCTCCAAATTTTACCCCATGATAAACGTGGGTAAATTGGAAAATGAATTGCGATGTATATACACCAATCAAACTTTTTTGAACATCACATCAACTTGCGCGCTCTATGGGTTCCTCATAGATAACACTCAAGTAACTACCTTTGCGGCGTCTGCAAAATTTCTGGACATCATTTTGACGACGTCTATTTCTTCCGCCGACGCAGAGCGAACATTCAGCACGCTGAAGCGTATTAAAACGTATCTCAGAAACACAATGAAGCAAGATAGATTAAATTCCTTGGCTGTTTTATCCATTCACAGAGACGTTATTTCTGGGATGCATGACTTTAATCAGCGCGTTATTGAGCATTTTGCTTCCAAGAAACCGCGGCGTGTTGCATATATGTTCAAGCAGTAGAAGTCTAGCAGCATATATATCTATGAGTGAGCGACGCATGTCCTTATCTTTGCATTAACTTTCCTTTCTTCATAGTAACGTTTTGAACCTTATTTTAGGTTTTGTCTGCTTTTCCGAAGTTTCTGTTAATATGTCATTGTATTTATCTGGATAAATATTGCCTCTCCTTTTGAAAGAAGTTTCAAAATAAACTATGTCTATATTTATTAATCCCTTGACTTGGACCGGTTTAAAGACACTTTCTTATCGTTAAAAATTGTCGCTTTTGCCGATTGGTTGTTACCGATGGAATGGTTTTTATACTCATAAAATGATGGGAGAACTTACAGCGCTCATCCTGTCCCCGTAGATGGGGGTGACTTGGTCCCGCTGTAGCTTGCCCCGGTTGTCAAAATGACCACGCGCCGCCACTGAAAAACACTATAAACTATGATTTGTATTCTTATTTGGTCTGTAATATATTCGTTTCTGACTTTACATTTTTGAAGTGCCGGGGGGCGATGAGGTTGTATAAAATATTGTAGGGGAGCGATGGTCAAAAAAGTTTGGGAACCACTGGACTTGGCGATCCCGTAAACGGCAGCTTAGACCAATTGGCACGGTTTTCAGGTCAAACAAATTTAGAAGCGGAACTCTGATCAGTTCCAACATGGCCATAGCCAAACGCCCCGTCACTGCTATCATATTCTACAGCTTCATCACTGTCATAATCAAAATTGCTATGTGATTCCGATGATATATCACTAGTTTTATACAATAAACAATTTATTTCATCTCTTGTCAAACCACGCTTTCGCCATTTTCAATTTGGAGTTGCACGCCGCACCATCCACGTAGCCCCGCCCACTTCTGCGTCAGCTGTAACAACAGCCGCAATGACGTTAACATTGATTTGTCAGCCTACGACGTGCGTATTCGCGAGTAACGCATACCAGTGGCTTGTAATTGTGCAATGCGAATAAAACTCGGGGTTAACTTATGACGAATATACGCGGGAAGTACGATAAAGGGGTTAAGACAATCGCTATTAAGTTACAATCATCCTCTTTGACAGGTATATTCTATTCCCGGTAGATTTTTAAACCCTAAGTCTAGATAACTTTTAATTTTCCACAATGATCTTTCAACCCAAATTATTCTAGCTAGAATCCATTCTTGAGACTGTAATAGAATATCATGCGGACTAGCGTATCGCTTTATTCATTATAGGAAAACTAGTTTATCCAAACATACGGCGCAGGGGCGTAACTAAAATGTATTTCCTTCCAATCCGAGAATGACAAGTTGTTTGACTGTAAATTGATCTTTCCTCCCCCCAAGTAAATACACTTCGTAGACAAAGTCAGGTAACGATGATTTTGTGATTCGTGCAAAAATAATATGTAGATTATCGAATGCAACTTGCATTTTTTATCAGATGAAACGTAAAAGTATTATATCTGTGTATGGATTCGATCGTGCAACTAACTGTGCAATATATGAACATTCGGCATTACAGTGTATTGTGTGCTTATTTTACATATGAAGAAGTTCAGTTGGAATTTACTTCGCTAAGCTACGTTTAATAGGACTAGAGAAGAATACGCAGAGCACTGGGTCGATACAATTCAATTCCCTATTCAAGACATGTAAACAATTGAATCAATATATGTGTCTAATAAATTTATTAACAATGACAATGTGTATATGTAAGACTTGTATTAAGATGACTGCCATATCTCTTTTAACTACTTTGTAGTAAAATAAATGTGAATATTTCTGATGACCGGATGATGTACAGATTACTAGACGTTGAAAGGAACGGTTGCGAAACCATCAACAATAATGCTCAGTAAAAGCGCAACTATTTGCGTGACAGGCGGCAAGCGTGACGGTTACGTAATTTTCATCGCGTTTTAGCCACTACCGAGTTCCTTTGTTGTGAATGTACATGTGCAAATTAGTTTTCTAATTTTACCGTTCCGCAAACTAAAAAGGGCTGAGATCCGCTGGTTTAGCGACCGTTGGTGGCAAACAATTCGGGATCTATGATCTTCATTTACAAGAAGACACATAGGATGGTTTCAATCGAGTCTGTTGGTGAGCACTTCCTTACAGATTTTCAAAATTCAGAAAACTTGAAGAGACAGCAGAGTTCATGAGGTTTTAAGACAATATAAAAATGAAGGAACTGAACCTAGAAAAATCTTTATGGATAGACATGGATGAATTTGAAATGCAGTAGATTGAATTTTAGAGTAGCACCATTTGAAAGCAAAAATTTATTGACCTCAAGGTTCAGATAGAAAATCTTGAAAAATGCGAATAGAGAAGGGAATATAAGACAGGAGTGCAGAAAGCGAACTATCGCGGACTTTGAATACCATTTTTCGTGCTTGAAAAACTTTGAAAGATATTACTCTCCGTGTTTTTATCTACATAATATGCCTGTGACTTTATATTTTCAATTATGAACTCACTGATATAGCAAAAGAAAAGTATAAAAATATTTGTCGAAATGGTATTTTTTCGAAAAGTAGTCGAATACTTTTAAGATTTATTATTGTACTTATTTTGCTCTGGAAATAACAGAGAATTCTTTAGAAGAATAAATTAAATTTTGGTTATTCTGTCTGGCGGAATTGTTATCATTTCTTCAGGGCTCTTCACATATACTCTTAAAAATGTCAGTAGTATCTTCGCACAAATTTTGGTTGACGCATGGGAGAATTTTGTCATTAGATTCAGTCGATTTTGGCACGCAACCCCTGGCCCAGCGGAAAAGTTCGACTTAACTTTGGTGGCATTGAAGGTTACACATTTCTGGTCAGAATATGATGCCCACCACCTCACCCATGGTAAAATAAATAACATAGTCAACCCCGAGCCGGAAAGAATTCGGTATATAAAAAATAGTATCTCGTTACATGAATGAACGTATAAAAAATGGTGCAAATTATCTTATAAGCATATAACGTATTTATGTAATGAAACCCAGATTCTGGCAATATTCTTCTAGATGGGGCAATACGCTCCAACTTCTGATAGGTATGCAAAATTAGATGCTTTCTGACATTTATTAAGACGGATGAAACAAAACAACAATGCGACGTAAACCAACACCTAGCTCGCGACCAATGCCAACCCTCGAAATGCCCGCTTCAAAGTAGGAAGGGGCAATACAGAAATTGCGCCTTTCCCGACTCTTGTAGGAGTGGAGGCGCGGTAAGTACGAATACTATCATGGTGTTAGCAATCCCGACCTCACTTAGCGCTCATTGGGCGGGCATGCAACCCCTTGATTAAGGACGCGGGAATAAATTGACTTGTTAACATATATCACATCAATATGCTACCATTTGTGGTGGCTTTTGTATTACTAATATTACGTGTATCATATCCAATGTAAAAGTAGCCAAGAATACATCTTATATTCATATCCCAAATATAAAGTGTTTTATTGCATCGCTGAAATATAGCTTGCAGTGCCTCTAAAAATAATCAACTTTCGATCAAATTTTTACATAAGCTTATTGTGGGCCCATAATTACGATTTTAAAATATGCCAGACACATTTGAAATGTCAATATTTCGTTTGTTTCGCTACACTCCATGAAACGGAATAAATTGAAAACCTGAATCTCAGGAAGCTTTTTGGTAAGAATATACTTTACTTATCTTGTTTTTTGTTAATTTGTTTTACTATAAAACGTTATAAAAAGGATTTTTAACGGTTATAATTGAAATGTATGAATTTTCTCTGTCATTACGAATTTTGGTAATCGGGAAACCTGTCGTGTAGTTCGCTATTTTTTGCCTCATTGTCTTCCTTGTTATTCTCGGAAAAACAAATCAAAATTTCATGTCTTCTAATACAGTAAGTGTCATAGTTTTATATTATCCATGTTCACGGTTTTCATTATTATATTTTTGTATATTTCCGATGCACAAAATGCTATTAATTAATATACGAATATCAACTCTCGAACAAATACTGAAGTGACCAATTACATTCAATCATATGACGAACAGTGCAATACTTCATTCATGTTACTTATCATACCAAGGGAGAAGATACCTAACAACAACAATGACAAAACTCGGCAGTGGCCAGAATGCTGTGTATAGCCACGCCACCACGTGATCAGTCACGCAAATTGTTGCACTTTTACGTAGCATTATTGTTGATGGTTGCGCGATCGTTCATTATATCGTCAGGTAATCTGTATATCATCCGTATATGATCCGTCCGTATCATTCATTAGAAAAAAATCACATTTATTTTACTACAAAGAAGTTAATAAAAGAGATATGGAAATCATCTTAATACAAGCTATATGGCTATATACACGATGTCATTGTTAATAAATTTATGAGACAGATATATAGATTTAATTGTTCAAATGTCTTGAATATGTAATTGAATTGTATCGACCCTGTGCTCTGCGTATTCTTCTCCAGTTCTCCTAAACGTGCTTCAGTGGAGCAAACCCTAATTGAACTCCTTCAGAGGTCAAATAAGCAACACAATAGATTGTAATGCCAAGTGTTCATACATTGTACGGTAGCAGATCGAATTGAACTAATCTAAAGACAGATATAATGGAATATAATTCCCCAAGAACGACAAAATTCTTTTCTGTGGAAGAATTCCCCCGGTTGATAAACGTTTATTTTACGTTTCATCTGATAAAAGCAAGTTGCATTCGATAATCTACATATTATTTTTGCATAAATCACAAAATCCTCGTTACATGACTCTGTCTACAAAGTGTATTTACTTGGGGAAATGAAAGATCAATTTACTGTCAAACAACGTGTCATTCTTGGATTGGAAGGGAATAAAATGAACAGATTCAGACGAACCCTTACATCCTGAAACAAACGCCAACCAACAGACAAACATGCATTGGTAAAATAATATTAATAATAGCGGCAATTTGTCGGTCACTGTTAAAATTCTGCGTCCCGTGAACAGATATATTCTGCAACTGCGTACTTGAATGAACTAGATTCTTCTATATGATAAGCAATAAACTACATGATATTCGATTACAGCCTCGGGCAGTGATATAGGACAAAATAAAATTGGGTTGAAGATCTTCAATGAAGATTATAAACAATGAAGAACTAGACTTGCGGATTAAATATTTGCCGGGAATAGAGTATACTTGTCACATGGGATGATTGCGACTGACTTAATAACGATTGTCTTAAAATGAAAATTGTTTTAAAATTTTTGAAAATCTAATAATTCGGTAGAATAAATTTTATTTGATTCCACCATTGAGTGAGGATTTTTTTAGCCTCATCCAAATCGAAATGAACGATCCCAGCACCCTATTTCCACGCAATATCGGTGTAAATTTATTCGAATATGCTGTTAAATGTTATTATTGTTCACCATACTTTTCTGAATCTCAGTTGTTTTCTTTGTTGATTTGTGTGCTTACACAATTATGGAGATACCTTCTGTAGATAAAAAGGCATTTTCAACTAGCGTAGCCTGTACAGATTGAAATGTTCACAACTTAGGCTGTTTGTTGATTCGTATCCCATGCCATTTGAATTAGTCAGTAATTATTGCATTGATGACTGACCAAATAATTTGCGACAAGCATTACATCAGTATCAAGACCTCAAGACAGTTTGCTAAGTCAGATGAAGTAAGGTAGCACGTTACCGGTAGTCTTAAAAATGACTTCTTAGACAACTATGCGTTTAGCTGGTCAAGTAACATTAAATACTATTATCTTAGAGTTGGTCTACGAAATATTCTCGTTGTCTCGATTTTTAAAACATTTAATTATGATTGTTTTAATGTTAGTATGACTTTATGAATGATAGCGTCGGTACCGAAGTAAATGGTAAAGTTATCGCGCTGAAAACAGGATGTGGGTTTAGCTGCGGTATTGATAGTAAGGAATGCTATACAAGACTAATCACTATTATTTTGTTGTCAGTTGAAATACTTTTAGTGTAAATGGAAGAACCAGTTTGTACAATGGACGTTGAAGAAAAACCAAAATTTGAAACTGACAATGCAGAACAAAGTAGAAAATCATCAAGGTATAGTTACGCAAATTTTTAGTTTGGGTAGTCAATAAATTCGGTTATTATTTCTGGAACAATTCAATTGCACGGACCAATATGCTCTAGATTTTTTGCATATTCCAAAAAATTTGTTTCCTTCGGCTCAAGTGCTTTCATTTTTATGCACAAAGATAAAACTGATTAAAAAAATAAAAGCAAAGAAAGTAAACAAAACAAGACTCTGGAAAATGCGAAAACAAAATAAGTTACAATGTAAAAAACGATTGACAACGACGGACCACGGGAAATGAGACTTCGATACTCTAGGTCTAAAACACTCTTTTCAACACGCAACTAAATAGTCAACGATTGTATAAGAGTACTGAAAACGATCACATCTGAGTGCCGCAGAATCGAATCCCAAAGTTAACGATTGTGTGAAATGATAGTTTGGAGTTGTTAACCAGTAAAACTGTCATCACCCCCCAGATCTTTCATGCATCAGGAAATTATACTCGGTTATTTATCTAAGCCTGTTTCAGATTATGCATTCACTTCCGTGAATAATATAAAACAATATAATTAAATATATAACTTTCCGAATCACACAAAATTTCCTCCTGTCACGCGCACGATCAAAGGGATTGAAACTGGACAGCTATTATTTTAGGTGTTAATCACGCACTGGTAAAACTCATCAAATCAAATCATTTATTCCTGATTCGTGAATAATTAAAATGTTAAAAAGATCAAACATCCGGTATCTATGGCAAAATTAAGTAGCACAATTTTTCAATCTTCATAATTTGTGTATATTGTGACACACTGTGAAACATTTTAACTTATTATCGCAACTATTAAACGTGCGTTTTAAAATTGTGGTTCGTAAACATGTAGTTGATTTTATAATTTGATTTCATTTTCAGAATAACCTGGAACAACAAATTTGAATTTATATTCAACGTCGTAGGCTATAATGTTGGATTAGGAAATGTTTGGAGATTTACTTATTTGTGTTTCAAGAACGGCGGGGGTGAGAACTGATTTTGGTGATATGTTTTGGACTGTACTCGATTAATATCAATATATTCATTTTGATATTGCTAGGAACGTAAAGGTAGTAATTTTAGTTCATTTCTGCATCACGTGCTAGCTTCACAAAATATATAACAAATAAAACAGAATAGAAGAACTTTACTGTCTCGTTTCATAAAAGATTATCTGGACGAAAACACGACAAACCAAAACATGTATTTTTTAAAATCAATTCATAATCTGCTTTTTATCTTTGATAAAAATCCCGAAGTATTCTATTCAATGCTAAACTTTGACATGGCTACTGTTTTACGTTGGACAGAGTGTAGACATGTGAATAATACCAGACATACCATAACATTTTTATGTTATAGAGCAATTTTACACTGTTCAGGTGCATTTCTTATTCCCTATTTAATCGTTGCTGTATTCTGTGGAGTGCCGATGATGTTTATGGAAGTTGCAATAGGACAAATGACAAAACGAGGCTGCATTGCCGGAATAGACAATATGGTACCATTGATGAGGGTAAACAAATTTCAATGTAATCCATCACTCTTAAATATAGGGAACCATTTTCTGTCTAGACTAGCAATATTTATCACATTATCCGGAACTAATCTTCATATACATATCACAAGATTTGATTTTTTTTTTCAGGGTGTCGGATATTCATCGATTCTGTTGACAAGCTATTATCTTGTTTATATTGCACTGGTTGTAGCCTGGTGTATAATATATTTGTTCAGATCATTTACGTTGGGATTACTACCTTGGGCAACATGTGGTAAGCAGAAAATATATTCCAATTGAGAGTATGGAATTAAAATTAGATTAAAAAATAAGTAAACAAAAATTGCTTATGTCAGAAATTGAAATAAAATTGAAAAAAGTGAATAAAAATTGACGACGATGGTCAAAACATTAGAAAACTTTTTCTGTGGTTATGGGGAATTAACATTGGAAAAGACTCAAATTAGACGTCAAAACAGACTAAAAGAATACTCCCATTATAATCTCATTCTTATCAATGAATGTTATCAATTTTTTATATATTCCATTCAATAACGAAGCGTATGATTGGGGCATATACGAAATTAATTGTTCATTTTCAAATATTAAATAATTATTAAATTTTTGAAAAACATATGCTTCACAGATAATCAATGGAACACAAACGCGTGCATTCCTATTATTGATGAATACGGAAATAAAAGCCATTTTTTATTTTCGAACTCTTCCAACGACGTCGTCGATGCTACGAATACATCAGAACCCGTATTATCTACAGTCGAATTTTTCAAGTAATCTACGTTTTACATATTCTTGTGAAATCTTATTGTATTAACTTGTTGTTGCATTCCACTGTTAGTCTGATACATTACGTATTTTGAGACATAACTATTTCAATAATTATTTATTAATTCTATACTATATATATATGCACTTGGAATTCTTCACTCTAAATAATTTCCCATTCATAGCCTTTCGGAAAAGGATTGAAGTGTTTACGAATAGTGGTAGTGTATCTTGACGTCCATACTTTAGGTAACCATTTTACTAAAAATTACAATGAACAGAAGTTCTATACGAAGTTAGCCGTAAACTATTCTTTATTTACTATTATTTTTTTTAGTAATTACATATTACAACGGACGGACGGAATTACGGACATGGGAAGTTTTTCAAACTGGAAAATATTTGGATGCTTTGTTGCTGGTTGGATATTAATATACATTTGTATTGTCAAAGGAATCAGAACTACAGGAAAGGTATTCTACTCCAAACCTTACTTGTCCCATTTTCCATGACACCGGATATTTCTATGCTAGTATTTATTTTACAATTTCTCACAGGTCGCGTATTTAACTGTTTGTTTACCATATATTGGAATGTTTGCGCTTTTGATCAGAGGAATAACATTAGACGGGGCAAGCAATGGAATTTTATATTATGTTACTCCAAATATAACGAAGCTAGCTGATCCACAGGTAATTTTTCACATCCTTTGCTGAATCAACAGCCGTTCGAAATGACCGTGTATTTCGTGCTCTTTGATTATGTGCCTTAGAACGTTTGCAACGCGTGTTTTGTAAAATATAATATGTATATATTTTGAATCGATGTAAATATAGCACTGATACCTGTTAAAAGACAGCACTCGTATGCAAAGGCGCCGAGCGAACTTCATCGACAAAAGTGTACGATTTTGTATTAAGAAAGCTAAATTTATTGGTATTCAGACTAAAATTAGGACTTTCAAGTACAATACATAAAAGAAATTGGACAAGCTTATATCATACTGTCTGTTTCGATCATATATTAGTCGATTTTCAGGCGTATACAATTTGTTTTAGGTCTGGTTAGATGCAGGAAGTCAGGTGATATATTCCCTTGGACTTGCTTGTGGAGCTGTCATTGGATTAGGAAGCTACAACAAATCCAACTTCGATTGCTACAGGTAATACTCGTTATATTACTCTCACCGACTTTATATTTTTAGTATATATATCAAGCAAAATTTAAACCACAAATATTTAAAATCACCAGAGTTTGCAAGTCTTACCGAGTGTTTTATGTCCTACTTATAACTTTGTAGCAGGAATATAGTCAAGTGACTGCTATTTCCTTGAAGAATTTGACAGGTTTCACTCACAAATATTTCGATTACAGAAATATATTTGTGTTAGTGTACAGCGAGACTCTTGAATCACTTAGAATGTCCTAATCCATGTTAATCTTTTTTATACATTGTCAGTTTATTTGTATTTTATTTCTATAGAAGTTCCTACTTTTTCGTTCTCACCTGCTGTGGCAGTTCTGTGTTTTTTGGATTCGTCGTTTTCAGCTTCCTAGGTCACATGGCTTTAGAACAAGGATTAGATGTTCAAGACGTATTCGAAGGGGGTTTGTATTTTGTTCGTCTGTAATAGCTGTTTCTGATTTTATATGTAATGTGTTAGATTATAATAGCGTTGCATAAGTTGGGTGTAACATTTTAAAGAATTGGATAATTAAAAGAAGACTGTATTGTCGTTTTTAATCATTCTGCAATAATCTTTTTCACCATTTCAGGACCAGGGCTCGTGTTCCAGGTTTTACCAGCAGAATTCGCACTGTTGCCAGGATCCCAAATCTGGTCTACAGTATTTTTCATAGCTTTACTCGGACTAGCTCTCGATGGCTCGGTAAGACTAGAAATCTAAACGCTTTTGACACTTAAACCGTTGCACAATCCTGGTTTTTAGGGAAATTTCTGCTTTGAAAATTCTACTTTTATTGCGGCAATCTGTCTTTAGGGATCGTTATCATAAATTCCAGTTTCTTTTGCCAAATACGATCAGTGTCGATTTAATTTCAATGCTGCGATTGACATATTTTGAAAACGTAAAGGTTATTATGGTGTTATTAAAAAGTCTGTGCTATTCCACTTCTTTTAATAGTTAATATAGCATGTGCCTGTTATAAATGACCATGGCTTGCCAAAGAATGAGTTTGTATGAGATAGTTTTAGGGAAACTTGGCGATAAAATCGTCGTCAAATTCGGTTCGTGCCAAACTAAAATATTGAAATCATTATGACAAAAATTATTTTTAGTATGAACCTTTGGAAGGAATAATCACCGCACTAGCAGATTACTATCCTTCGCATTTTGGACATCAAGGGTCGCATTATTGGAGAATTGGATTGTGCTTGGCACTACTGATTGTTGGATTACCGCAATTATTTGATGTGAGTACGAATAATGACGAATTGTATCACTAAATTCAACCCTGGCCAAGCTGCAAAATCTCACAGCGACCGATATGTCTTTGTGTTTATTAGAGGAAGCGGTTCATACACGCTTGCAGAAACGATATGTGCTCCATTGACAAGGCATTGACAAAACGTACAAATCAACTGATATTGTAATTAGTCTATCACAGATACATTTAACGAATCGCTTATTTTACAGGGAGGAATTTACATATTTGAGGTAATCAATATGTATGGTGGAAGTGGCATCTGTATTTTATGGGTAGCATCTATCGAAACAATGACGATAAGTTGGATTTATGGAATTGATAAATTTTTCGACGACGTCACAAGTATGATTGGATATCGACCATCAATTTTAATTAGACACTGTTTAAAATACGTGACCCCAGCGATATGCATGGTTAGTACAGTCATATTTTTTGTTTTGCAATCAAATATAACGATAGATTTATTCGATTGGAATGACTATAGAATCGAATCCACCAAACTTTTTTTCTACAGATGATATTTATTGCAATCTGCTCAATGTATAAACCGCTCGAGATGGGGAGTTACACCTATCCCTGGTGGGCTGATATGATCGGATGGGTGATATCAATATCGGTCGTTGCAAGCATACCTATCATTGCTATAAAGGCATTACTAGAAGCTGAAGGCACGTGGAAACAGGTTCGTGAACAATTAAATTACATGGCATTCACACAATATATCAGCTTACAAATGCGTAGCTGTGCGGACGATTAATAAGTACAATGCATGAAACGCGTAATTTCCAGTTTAAGTTTTTGTATCGCACTGTAATTTCAATTTCCCTTTTCATTTTCTTGTGGCAAGATAAGTAGCATTCTGGAATAGATATAACCACGCATATATATATATCCCTGTCAAAGGTATAAGCCAAATTATAAATATCGAATTCTTCGCAATAGGGAGTCCGAGCAAAATTAAAATACGAACAAACTTCGTAAACTTCGCATTTTGGCATTTCCCTGCACTAAGCATATCTAACACAGTTATTCACACGCTCATGAAATGCGAATCTATTCACACTATTTATTTTCTGTAGGACGACAGGCTTTAAATTTTAATTACTGTTATATATTTGGGCGACTTTGAGACGATCTTTACTATCGATTTTACGGTTCACAGTAAAGGTATGGAAAATATCATTCATGATAAAAAACAATCCAATAATAGAAAGCAAGAGCATGCTTGGATGCTGCTACGAATTATGTGCAGCCGCAATGGCATTATTTTCCCATACAACTTTTTAGTGGAGTGTCGAGCCGATAGCTAAATTTTAAAACAGCCACCATATGGCAGTGACGGTTTCTAAATTAGTTGAAACAGTGTCAAATCAAAACATCAAGGCGCTGATTAAATATGGGCCAGCCCAAAATATCATGGAAATCGAGTTGTGCTCTCAAAAGAGTTAAAAATTGAAAGTTAAACGAAACTTTGCAGAGTAATTAATGTTTTTGATTTTTAGAAGTGGAATATTTGCATCACCCCTAGACGCGAAACAAACTCGGAGATGAGGAATAAATTCGAATTGGATAAGTTTATCAACGAAGTTTAAAGCAGCTCTGACAACTGAACGATTGACATATTATAATTGAAGAATTTTCTTTGTCTACATATTTTTATATTCCGAATATATATAATACATGTATTTTTAAACATTGACTGACACAAACTTTGTCAAAGATGTGTAGTCCAATAGATACACTACTCAGCTATCAGAAAAACCTATTTGATTGCTAATAATTCAAACTGCAACACAAGAACATTGAAACGACGCTGAAACGGAAAAATTATATTTCAACGAGCAATTTATTTGATGCTGTCATTCATTGAGCTGTTTTTATATAATTTTGCAATTATGATCCTATGTTGGCAACAGTCTCCCGATTAACAAGTTCGCGCAAAATCAAACTTGAGTTATGTTGAGGCGAAGCGTGACTCCTATTCTAGTGTTGAAGACGGCGACTTATGCATTGCCGTTTCCAACACTGACTCTCGATCTCGACTTCTCGATGTCTAAAATTAGACTCGAGAGAGATCAGAATTTGCGCTGTTTGAAAAATACTACTTTCATTGCAGCAAAAGTAGACATCAGACTAACACTAAAAATACTAAACGTAAATATAATCGAATACATGCTTGACTCTTCAAAGTGTATAGCTTTCAGATTGCAAAACAATCGACAGTTGATTGAAAAACAATCTCCTAAGATTAAATTACTATTATCAATTCTAAATATAAAAAAGGTAATTAAAATCTTGCATTGCAAATCTGCAATCCGAGGTAGGTCTAATCGAGATAAGCATTACGCTATTATGCAAAAGCGCGCGAGAGTATCGCGAAATTGCAATCAGGAAAATCGTTGGCGAAAGCATCTTAGGGTGTTAAAGTCGGTGAACTCCGGGACCACCAGCGCCTTGAATTGTAACATAACTGAATAAAATGAGGCGAAATAGTTTAAATTTTATTTTAATCCTGTGATGTCGGCGATTTCTCCTAAAGAGCTGCTCCCATCTTCACTTGTTTTTGCTACGTTGAGAAGCCGGAGTTTCTCAGATATCGCATATCTCACACATCGCATTCATAAGGATACAAATGCATTAATTTTACATCGTGGCATCAGTGTATAATTTTTCTTACGCATATGAGACGAAATTGAAAATGAGAGCAATGGAAGCCGATCGATACCGTACGGTGAGGCCATAGCTAAGCGCCGAGCTTGCTGGAGTGATCGGCGGGAAGGCGCCAGGGCAGTAGTTTTCAACCGGGGTTCCCTCATTGTTCCGCCACAACGATCCTGGGGAGAGTCTATACATATTAATATAAAATAAATGACAAATTAACCTCATATCTAGCATGGACTGGTAACCCGACGAGAGGTATGGTGCTTCATTTGGTTTAGCCGTATTATCGGCTTTCCTCTCCCCCGGGGTAAATATGTAAATCTTATTCTATTCCTACATTACGACATCACCGTAAATTTAAAAGAAAATAGAATTTTTTTGTGTGTGACTTACCTTGGCCTAAATAAAAGCGTTATCTTTAAGCTGCATATTTGGACATTTACCCCGTGTTTCCTCAAAAACGGGACTGGGTCTTATTTGAATTTTCTTCCGGAAAATAACACTAAGGCTTATTTTAGGGGGATGTCTTTTATTTATCAAAAACAAAATTACAAATTAGAGAATCACGAGATTCTCGAATATACAAAATATGAAAACCGATATCCCTTTACTTATAAATAACCCTTTTTATTTAAAACAACTGCTAAACATAGATTAATAATTATTTAAAACGTGTAGGAGAGATTTATTGCTATCGACTACCGTAGGTAAAAAAATCGCGCTATCGACTGTAACAAAGTAACTATAAATAACCAAAGTGACTATACTTGGACTGCACTAGGTCTTATTTTAAGGGAAGGCTTCGCTATTTGATTAGGGCAACCCTCCACCGGGTTAGGCCCTCGGTAGCGAAGAATAAACGAAGACAAAATGACGAATTACGCCACCGCTGCATCGTCGATACCTGCAACCTCGTCGTCAACACCTGCAACTTCATCAACACCTGCGACTTCAGCAAGAATTGCCGCCGAGGAAGACTCTCCAGCATCAACAAGACCTCTGTCGCTCTTCCCCAAGACTGACCGGGACTTCGACTTTGTCAAGATCATGGACGTCACCGGAGAAAACATCACTACTCAGAGGTATGTGCAACACATCAGGGGTCTTTTCGAGGGAAGAAAAGGACATTGGGTGCTTTCCTTTGCTGCAACGGAAACCCCTGGTGTGAGCTATCGGGATGAGTTTTTACAGGCGACTGGTGGTCAAATCCAAGTGCAGGTGTAGCGAATGAGCATTGTGTAACTATGGATTATAATGTATTTAACCCTTTCATTTTAATAGTGCGTTCCATTTCACACAATAGGTCATTTTATTGGCGCAACACTGATTACTGATTACATGTACTGGTTTTCTCGTATCGACCAATTTGATGACGTATCGTTCCGGCTTGCCGAGAGGGCTGCATAATATTGTGTTTTGATTCACTTCTGTTTTACTGCGTTAGGTGTGATGTGTTCTGATTCACTTCTGTTTTACTGCGTTAAGAGTCAAGTGTGTTTCAATTTTATCTGTTTTGGAATGTGCATCTTCCTACAATATACAACAACGATTAGCATCAACACTGTGTGCTTATTATCGTCTGAAGGAATCCAGATTGGAGTCACATTCCATAACGCGTGTCAAAACAATAACGCGGGAATCGAACTTAAATATATAGGGTGATAGTCAATATCCCTAAAATCCATCTCATCTCTTTATCCCTATATTTTGATGACCTCCGACGTGTAAAGCCACGCAACCGCTTGGAAATTCAATTCAACTAGTTGGAAATATCAATTCAACAACTTGAAAACGAGAATATCGGTTGGAAACCGAAGACTTATCGATCGATAGTTAGGGGATCCCCCCAAAACAGAAACTGCAGTTTCGATTCATCCGCTCTTGTAACTTGCGCACTGTGCATCGCACACACACACTCGGCGGGTTTCAAAATTCTCTCGCTTTACAAAAATCTAGATCACTATATCAATAATTGATCGATAACTCGCTAATTATACGACATAATTCGCCCAAAATCAATAGGCTTCTGGTCCGAGATAAGATGAATGCACATGCAAAATCTGGAGCAGATTCAATCTCGCTTTCGTGAGATATCGCGTGCATCTAACAGACACACACACAGACATGCAGACAAATACCTATCAATATACTTACCGATCTTAAGATCGATAAGTAATCAACTTTATGATGGTAATTCAGCAATGCAACAATGAAGACAGCAGCCTTTCCAAATTCAGCGCATCGACTGGGGCCGTCTCCGGAAATGTCAAATCAGCAACAATCAAATCGGCCGCGAAGACTGAGAAAACTCCCACGCCATTTAAGCAAAGACTTTATTCTATCAAGCGAATTTCAAATGGATATCTGACCATATTTCACTACACATTACTTTGCTTGTCATGCTTTGTATGGGAACGCAAGCCGTTGAGGTACCAGTAAAATTATGTCACAAATCGTTACATGGACAGACTTACGCCATACGCAAACCAGCTATTTGCAATCGACCCAAACTTCATACAATATAGAATTGTTCAGCAAACATCAACGAGACATCTACCCTTCTTACAAATGTTGATACCAAGAACGTACAACGACCTACTGGCGAACCATTTCATGGCTGTTCCCCCCCCCCCCCCCCACTCTATTAAGTCAACTCGATTCCGGCGGTCGTTGCGAATTGTATATGGTTTGTGTCTTGCAATGTATCGCCTCGTTATTAATCATCTTGTATTTTATCATTTTAATCGTCTCGTATTTTATTAATTTGTGTTGTTTCTTAGATATCATGAGTTCTTTTACTTCATACAGGATTTGATTCAGGTTCAATCTCAGGGATTCAATGGTTCAATAATCTGTCAAATTACTCATTATTCAATTTACAGAATTTTTTCCTTATTATTTTGTTAACGCCTATTTTACAATCTTGAACACCAAACCAATTTCGGCGGAGTTCTCAAGTACTAATTCCGCCATTTGTTTCTTCTCAGGCCCTTCCTTCAAACATCAAAGCCGTTTCACATTCTTTTAGGTTCCTTCAAGTATTGTCGCCATTTTGTTTACTATTGCGTTACAATTCCATTTTAAAATGTTAAGCATTTCTAAGCAACATAGAGAGAGACCCTTTGAATTTTTTTTCTCGTATTTTGTTTTCTCTCGTAAACGGCGTATATTCTCTCGTATACCTTAGACATTATTCATCATATCGTACCAATATCTTTTATTAATTCGTGTTTTTTTTCACTTCATCTCTCGGCGGTCGGACTCAAAAATTTTAAAAATTACCAAGTTAATTTTTTTTACTGTCGAGGGGGAGTTGTGTAGCGAATGAGCATTGTGTAACTATGGATTATAATGTATTTAACCCTTTCATTTTAATAGTGTGTTCCATTTCACACAATAGGTCATTTTATTGTCGCAACACTGATTACTGGGTGCTCCCGAAGTATGCGAACCAAGATGGCGGACATCGGAACGTAACATGGGTAACAGGGTAGGGTTAGGCGATAATTATTTTTCCAATTTTCCTTATTTTAGTCCTATTATCAGTTCGAAGACTAGCCAAGAGCCTACCGTAGTATTTATACCTAAAATTATGGCCTAACCCTAACCTAGTACACATATTACATTCCGATTACTGATTACATGTACTGGTTTTCTCGTATCGACCAATTTGATGACGTATCGTTCCGGCTTGTCGAGAGGGCTGCATAATATTATTTGGTTCACTTCTGTTTTATTGCGTTACGTGTGATGTGTTCTGATTCACTTCTGTTTTACTGCGTTAAGTGTGATGTGTTTTGGTTCACTCCTGATTTACTGTGTTAAGAGTTAAGTGTGTTTCAATTTTATCTGTTTTGGAATTTTGGATTGTGCATCTTCCTATAATATACAACAACGATTAGCATCAACACTGTGTGCTTATTATCGTCTGAAGGAATCCAGATTGGAGTCATATTTCATAACGCGTGTCAAAACAATAACGCGGGAATCGAACTTAAATATATAGGGTGATAGTCAATATCCCTAAAATCCATCTCATCTCTTTCTCCCTATACAGGACTATTTCATAGGAGTATGTCTGCCAAGCAAAGCTCCAGTCAAAATATCGGTACGTGGGATTTCTTTCGCGGCAAACTTCACAAAAGTCTCCTCAGTGATCAACAACACTGGGTGTGGAAAAGTAAGAAGTGCCACCAGAAACTATTACCGCGGAACAAGTATATATAACAGCCACACTTCATTTCTGATTAATGATTTCAAAGATGATCTCCTGCTTGTTTTCATAACCGTTGGTGGCTGGAAATGTAAAACTTTCCTTCCTCGTGAACTTTACATCCCCACTTTGCGGAAGGTGCCTACAGATCGGTCACGTATTCAATCAATGTGAAAATGAAGAGGTATGTATAGGCACTGTAAGCAAGCTGGGCATGTCCAGAAGAATTGCAGCCTCCGAAAAAAAGAGTATCCACGTCTTCGTGAGTCGACAAACAAACATACAACAACCAGGCGAGGTATGTGAATTTTCATCTTTTAGCTCGGATGCAAGTAAGTTAAACTGGTCCAAATGTGAAGACCCTGGAGGAACACAAGTCCATCTCCACAACAACGAGAATCAACAAATACCATAAAGCCATCGCGTCTTAACCAAACTTCAACTATAGGAAATACACCGTTCAATCCGCCATCAAATGGAGAAGATTGTGTGAAGGTAAAGTTTCACAATCTTAAATCCCGGGACTTAATACCGCCTTCTTTGTTTAGCGCATCACCGCATGGGATCCTCTCCTCTCCAGCTAAAACAACATGCCTCTGCCACGACAACTGGATCTTGACTTAACCCACTCGACTTTGGAAACTGACTATACAAACAAACGGAATCGAGAAGAAACATCTTCCTCTGAATCCTCGTTTGCACCACTCTGGAACTGAAACTAATTGGAAAGAAGAAAAAATGATCGACCACAATAACCCACCATAAATAGTAGCTCACATCGTATGTATAAAACGCTCGTGAACTGGTCCGGATGTGAAGACCCTAGTAGAACACAAAGTTCAACTCCACAACAACGAGAATCAACAAATACTAGGAAGGCATCGCGTCGCAAACTTCAACTATTGGAAATACACCGATCAATCCGCCATCAAAAGGAGAAGGTTGTGTGAAGGTAAAGGTACACGATCTTAAATCCCGGGACTTAACACCGCCTTCTTTGTTTAGCGCATCACCGCATGAGATCCTCTCTGCTCCAGCTAACATGGAAAACAACATGCCTCTGCCACGACAACTGGATCTTGACTTAACCGACTCGACTTTGGAAACTGACTATACAAACAAACGGAATCGAGAAGAAACATCCTCGTTTGCAACCACACTGGAACTGAAACTAATAGGAAAGAAGAATAAATGATAGACTACAATAACCCACCATAAATTGCAGCTCAGATCGTATGTATGAAACGCTCGGAAATCTCTCTTTTTACTAAGATAATACCATCCAATATATAGCGGATGTGATGAGAGGAAGTTTGTGTGGTGTGGTGATATTTCCTTGGCAAGGAAAATGATCCGTATAAAATCACACTTCCGTCGATACACTCTGGGCTGGATTCCAGGTGTATCGATCTGATCCGTATTAGTAGTAAAAAAAATAAGGGAAGGCTTATATTAAAATTTCAATTATTCATTTCATCTCATGGATCAATTTACCCGTAAATATATACTATTATATGCGCGTCGAGCGCACTGATAAACGACGTCAGAGCGTTTCCGAAGCGCCTGTTGGCGCCTGGCGGGCACTACGATCTTCCCGATTCAGCCAAAGTGACTATAATAAAGTGTTATAGTCACTTTGGATCCAGCGACTGCTGGAATGGCGATGGTAGACTTACAGAAGTACGAATATCACTCTGTTCAATTTTTTGTTCAGGCTCCACACTCTCATAGATTAAGAGGCGAAGCCATGTTGCGATTTTCAGATTGTCGTTTTCATTAGTTTTAAATTTTATTTTTCGCTATCCAAACGTACCGGTACCGTAACTACGGACACGCATGTACCGTAATACATACAGGTGAGTTACCGGTACCGGTATATGAAATCATTTAATGAAATACCAGTACGGTATCGGTAAGATACCGGTACGGTACGGCGTCTCAATACCAGTCACTACCGTACAGCCGTACCTGACTGCTTTACCGGTACTGTACTAGTTCGAAATCTAAAATGTGAAATGATCTCTAGGGCAACCCCAAAATGCAGTACCGGTACCGGTAAGTGTGCACTTTGTTATTTTGGCAATTTCAGTAAGGACCTAGCAGGCACGTGGGACATAATCATTTTAAAACTACCCAATACAAATTGGTCAGATCACTCCATATTACAGTACCGGTAGTCTATTTGGACTGTCCAAATTCATTTCCTGGTGAGGTGGTTTTTGCAAATTCCTATTTGAACTGATCTACCTGCAGAACTTGAATAGACGACATATCTCTATATTTAACTAGACAATGCAGTGATTACCGGTATGTGATATGTCAGAACTAGGTCATACCCGAAATATCGGACTGGTAAAATTAGAAGGGGCTATGGTTTGCTAGATCATTGATAACCAAACTATTTGGCTTTCTTTTTCCCTGGTTACTATGAGAATACAATTTTTGCTAGATAAAAATGAGCCTAATTTGCATAGTGCTGTAGTGAGGTAGCGAACCTGTTTCAGTTATTTTGCCTATCTTCCACTACAATTGGCCAAACTATATGGCCAATGTGGAAACTACAAGAACAATTTGTAGGAAGTAAAACAATTTATGGAAATCGTTCATATTGTATTTTTAATTGAAGAGGTGAAGTTTTCCCTGTGTTCTCTGTGGTGCGCCATGTCACTCATGTGTAATAAAATATTTTTCCTTTTTTGGGCACGATGGCCTATTGGAATAGCATTTGACTTAAATATGCTGGTGTTGCAGGTTGCGTATCTCTGGTTCAAATCCCATGCCCAACAATTCTCCCAAAGCGTAATAAATTGACGAAGCAATGCAAAACCAGAGAGATTCCAAGCCTTTAAAACTAGTAGATCTTTACATTTCATTAGATATCGGTGGCTGATTGTAAGGCCTTGTTCTTAGCGAAAGATACAAATAAGCGTACCGAAAATATTCTGCGAAATAATCAGTTGGCCATGCAGTAAATCAGCCACATTTGACTAAACCCATTTGGTACATATTAATATGTTCTCATTAATGTTACAGAAATTATCAGTAAATCATTACTAGAAATATGGAAGAACAATTTTATGATGCAGAAGATGATCTTGAACCACTTACCCCAACATTAGAAAACATTGTTAATGAGAAAAGCCTTAAGTGGATTTTTGTTGGTGGTAAAGGAGGCGTTGGAAAAACAACATGCAGTTGCAGTCTTGCCGTTGAATTGTCAAAAGTTCGTGATCTTGTGTTGATCATATCCACAGATCCAGCTCACAATGTTTCTGATGCATTCAATCAAAAATTTTCTAAAGTTCCGACAAAAGTAACCGGCTTTGACAACTTATTTGCAATGGAAATTGATCCAAATCTTGGTACAGCTGAACTTCCTGATGAATTTGCCGAAGACGAAGATAGTTTCCTCGGTATGGGGAAACAACTAATGAAGGAAATGTTTGCTGCATTTCCTGGCATTGATGAAGCTGTCAGCTATGCTGAGGTTATGAGACTCGTAAGAAGCATGAATTTTGATGTTGTTGTTTTTGACACTGCTCCAACTGGTCATACCTTGCGACTTCTCAATTTTCCTGACATGGTTGAAAAGGGTTTGGGAAAGCTACTTAAAGTTAAAAATAAATTAAGTCCTCTTGTTTCACAAATGGGAAAATTTATTGGACTTGGAGATGAAGTAAATACGGAGAGCATTGCAGGGAAAATTGAGGATATTTTACCGACTATAAGAGAAGTTAATAAGCAATTTAAAGACGTAACCATGACTACATTTGTTTGTGTTTGCATTGCAGAATTTTTATCACTTTATGAGACTGAACGTCTTGTTCAAGACTTGGCAAAAATTGGGATAGATACCCATAATATTATTGTCAACCAACTTTTATCCCAGACCCAGGAGAAACCATGTAAGTTGTGTGAATCCAGACGCAAACTACAAGCAAAATATCTTGACCAAATTGAAGATTTGTATGAAGATTTTCACATTATAAAAATGCCTTTACTTGAATCTGAAGTTCGAGGAATTGAAAAAGTTGAGAACTTCTCACAATATCTAATCAAACAACATCCAAACTTCCAGAAAGATTAATATCTGTTACAATTTATTATCAGAATGTCGAACATTTTAATGTCATATACTTGATGCATCACATTTGATATTTGGAGCACCATATCATTGGCGCTTCAAACAGCTTTGAGATTGCATGTGATACTCAGTTTCCGACATTCATGCTGCATCTTTCTTACTTTCCAAATCCTGTATTATTTAATCAATGACAGATGTAATTTTGATGCAAAATTTGGAATATGGGATGACATTTTTATTTGTAATTGAACATGATTGACATTATTTTGTCTTATGGCAATTATGCTGTTCTTCAGTGGAAATACAGTGCCATAAATTTTGATAACAAATACACTGATCCTACTGTGAATTGAGAGATGGTGATAAATACTGTATGTATGCTTTCGGGGAAGTATGTATCAATAGGAAATGAACTTGTGTTAGTTATAAACATTCATTAAGAGTATGTGATTGCTTTGTAATATGGGCTATAGATGATGTGAACAATGTTTGTAAATTTTATTTGTCGAAGGTTATCTATGTGATGTGTTGAAATTGTGTAAATTTTTATGTTCTGAGTTGTACCAACTATTACTTTCTAATGTTTTTCTGGACTTTCTTCTTTTATCCGGACTGAAAATTTGTGCCAATCAAGTTTCCTGTAGAAATAATATAGCAGACTTGGCTTTAGCTAGTATGACAGTGCAAAATCTTGTCACATTCTTTTATAATTGTGTTAAGTCTAGTTAAACTTAAATCATAGAGCATTGTAATTTTAGTTATAGCTTGATCTCGTTTTTAAGAGATGCTTATAGTTCTGCTATCACTTTTTAATTTTGATTCTGAAGCACTTTTTAGAATTAAAGAAAATAGTGCTAAATCTAAATTGAAATACTGCCAGTTGTCATTCCGAGAAATGTTTTATTTTTTCAATTTGTATACAGTCATAGTATGTTCTCTTGAAGTATGCATTATATGTTGTAGCAGACTCAATTTGAGAATAATTGTGATCAAAATATCTATTGTTATTGTGCATATTATAAATCAAAATATAGATCATTTTGCTTGGAATAATTTTGTCTTGTTATTTTAGAATTTATCTTATAATGTCATTAAGATGTATAAGGTGAAATAATGGTTGCAACCAGGAGGAGTCACAGTTTGGACAATAATGTCGGTAGTAAAAGAAAAGGAATTATTCATGGACGTCGAAGTAATATAAGGAAACATCCCAATTCCGCAAATAAATCTTTTCGAGCTACAAAACAGCAACGTGACTCGGTAATTATTTTAAATTTATATTTGACTCACTGAGATTGGATAGAAAAAGTTAGCAATGAATTAGACCCAGGGTATGCGGAGCTGATTTGAAATCGCATTGGCTCCAGATTTGGGAGACCGGTACTGGTCTATAGCTCTGGCACCAGAGCATCGTCTTTTTTATCATGTATTTGGTCCGGGATCCTTAGCCATGGATGTTTATTTTTGTGGAGTGGGACTCGCAACCATGACACGAGGGTTTCAAATTTCAAAAAAACTCAATATCACAGATTGATCCTGAAACTTTTAATTATTATTAGAAATTTAATATTGAAAAAAAAAATAAACTATGAAACTCAGGTTCGGGCTCTAGCTTTTTTCTATTATGTTAAGCTTGGCTCCAGGACTAACAAAACGTCACAGATTTGGCTATCTAGCCCTCTGTGTATCTCACTGCAACTTTTTGTGTTTTTGATTAGCTTTTTGTGGTCATTGCACTTTTTCTTCTTGTGCTTCTTTTATTCTTCATCAATCTTGTGATTCTTTACTGTAGTTTATTTAAATCTCAATATTGTTCATGGGTGATCAAAAAAGTGAATTGACCCGAATTTCATAATTTCTTGTCAACCTGCTTTAATAGCTTTAACATTAACTCTCGTCTGTTTCAGGATTTTGAATATGAGGATGAAAAAATTCAAATTCGTCATTCGGCACGGTTACAAGGAGTTAAGATACCTACAAGTGAACAGAGTAAAATTTCAAGCAGGTGTCTTGATGAAGAGTAAGGAAACTAAGATATTTTTTAAAGGGTTCCAAATTTTTGAAAAATAAATTTTGTCGAATCTCAAAACCCAAGAATATGCTCAAACAAGCCGTCTTCAATAGGTTTTCAGGGGATAGAGTGCATTTGTTAACTTGTTGATTTGTTTCTGTAGTTTTTGACTGCTCCATCAGATCTCTATTCATGGTTGAGAGGAATACCCAATCACATATTTTACAATAGTTGTATACTTTCTTAAATCTTTTATTCTTTTGTAGATTTACGAAAGAGACAGGTATCCGAAAGAGAAGCAAGACAAGAGCATATGGAATTGAAGAACAACCTATAAGGTATAAACTTTAAGATTTGTAGGGCATGCATTTCTTCTGTGATTGTGTTATGAAATTAATCATGAATCAGTGTGCTTGCTTCTGTAGTGCTTCATCAGGTCAGTTTGATATGATTATTTTATTATGATTTTCTAATGATGAAGACGGACCACTCGCCATACTCGTTCTACGTTCACATCTCTTAGTGAGGACTACATTCGTAATACTATGGATGCCGCTAGACAATCAATACAATCTCATAGGTATATGCTTCGACAATTTCTGTTTGCTTCTTTGCTAAATGTTTTGTGAAATTTGACAATTCGCCTTTATGTTCTGATATGTAAAGTTACTGAGTGTGATGGCCTAGCAGTTATAAATGTGTTATACTTAGCTGGGTTGGCATTACATCCGCAACTTGGCATCCGCAAAAGCAGGAAAAATTTTAATTCATGGCCTTCTGACACGCATGAACAGTTTATTACTAGTTCACAACTCTGGCTAAGATCTGGGGAAAAGAGGAAAATCTTTTTTGATCTTTAAACCAGGGTGGTCCAAACCCAGGCCCGCCGCTTCATTATCTGTGGCCCGCGTCTCATTTTGCCAAATAGCCATAAAAATCTTTCGACATATGGTTACATCACTAATGTTACTGAATTACCTAGTGTTATGGCTGGCTAGCAGAGACAACTAACTAAGTTAAAATAAAAATCAAATAAGGAGTCTATTGGCCTAGGTTTGCTATGCATGATAACTAACTATTGATATAATGGCCAAACGATATAATTCCTGTCGGGTGGTTTTTCCCCATACATAGATGTCAGAAAATTTTGTAATTACCCTCCTGTATCTCAAATTTGGTAAAATTCGGTGATCAATCAATCTGCAGTTATTTGTGAGTTTGTAAACATTACTTTGAAAAGAAAGTTGACGAATTCAAACAGATTTTTGCCTGGGTATGGAAGGGAAAATACAACAGTGCTTTCTTACTATGTCCGCAAATTGTTTTGGTGACAATCCAAAACGTCATTTTCTCCTCATGGCACTTTCTCTGTTATGAAGAGTTTGAAATCTTACATTAAATGTAGATATAGTAAGATTTTTGCACATTTTAATATTTTTTTTTTGTGGTTTTTGCATGTTTTACAAAAAATGATCAATGTGTTTAGACAATAAAAGTGTTTATTTCGTATTCCACTGTTTACCTATTCTCAGCACTATTGTGGCCCGCGAACTATACAAAAATAATAGTGTTGCCCGCGAGACCGACAAGTTTGGACCACCCTGCTCTAAACTGTAACTTTTTATTGAAGGGCTTTGATGAATATTACTCCACAGTATAACTAGATATTAGGGAGACTTTTTTTTATTGATATTGGAGGAGCAAAATTCCATGTTCACATATTCACTCTTTTTCGTCATTATACAGATCCTAATTATGGCATTTTATTCTACTGTTTGTAGGTTGCTAAACACCCTATTTGTAATTTGAAAACATCAAATTATTTTTTTTATCATTTTTGGATTAATTCTGCATATTACAACTGATATGTCAAATCTGGTTTGAATAGTACTTTTTGTCCTTTTTATTTGCCACACATCAAGCATTTGTATAACAAATATATTGAGGTGAAGGGGTTAATGTTCTGCCCAACTTATGGGTCAGGAAGACCAAAGTTGTAATCCCCCCTTTGTATCAGTAAGAAAGGGGTACAATCTTGATCAGTCTGTGTTGGTGGTATTTCTAAGTGAACTCCCTATTTACCGGAATATGTTATAGTTCATTCAAAAGGTTCCATTTAGAATTAGAATTTGAAATATTTTTGCTTTCGCATGCCATAAGTCTTCATGAAGTAGTCCCCTCAACAGCAACAGTCATATTTTAATAAGATGTTCTTTTGCAATTTTGTTTGATATTGATTTTTTTGTTAGCTTAATTATTTGGCGTTAATTTTTTTGTTTTTGTTCTGTTTTACAGCAACAGTCATATTTTAATTAGATGTTCTGTTGCAATTTTGTTTGATTATAATTTTTTTGTTAGCTTAATTATTTGATGTGAATTTTTCTGTTTTTTTTCTGTTTATATTTATATTTAAATGTGTTGAAAAATACCAGTAACTGACGTTTTTTTTTAGTGAGTAGTTTGAATCGTGATAAAATAAATATATGTTGCATTGTTACCATCGGTTCTTTTTTGTTATCAACAGAAGAAGAAACATAGTTGAATATTCGCTTGATGAAGATAATGAGGAAGATAACAATGGACAAGGCAACATTACTGATAACAAATCATTAAATGCGAAGGCAGAGTTACGTGATTTGTTGGCTGCTCAAGGAAAGAAGTTATCTGATATAAAGGTGAACATTCTTTGTCTTAAGCACTTCAGAACGCATTAGGGGTTGAGTATACATACAACGAAACGTATTTTCAACTATGAATTGCTGCGTTTACATGTTCTATAATAGTTGTTGCTCTGTTTTTTAAAATAGCTGCTATTATAAATGTAGAGTTTGGAAATATTTCCACTCGACTTAAGTTGACTTGAGCCATTCAAAAAAAATCTGTGACTCCACAGACTCGAGTTAAACAAAAATTTTGAACCCTGCAGGATTAGAGAAAAAGTGACTCTGACTGCGGTGTTGAAAAGACAACTCTGTCACTTTATAATATTGTATTTCAGGCTTCTGCTGAGCCCGATATTTACAGCAGTGTCAAATCAAGAGTTCGTACAAGCACCAGGCATGGACTATATGAAGAATTTTATACACCTGAATCGAGCAGAAGAAAAAGAAAAGATGATGATGAGCAGGAAGTAGAAGAAGAAGAGGAGGAAGGAAGCCAGAGTGAGGAATCTGAGGAGGAGGAAGAAGGAGGTGGTTATAGTAAAATAAGCTGGTTTCAAGCTTTGATCAACTTAAACTAAGATTTAGAATTTTAATATTGAAAATAAAAAGGTTAAAAAGTATAGAGCAGTGGTTCTCACCCTTTTACGGCTTGTGGCCCCCTTCCGGAGGCTTTTTGCACTCGTGGCCCCCTTGTTCACCATTCTAAAAAAATTGACGTGTTAGATTGTATTATGTATTTGCGACCTTTTATAGAATGCAAAAACAAACCATGGGTAAAAAAGTCAATGCTTTTTAGATTAGTAAACGATCATTGGAAATCTTGCGCTTGGGACTGTCTGACTAGGTTCCTTATATTAGGCACCGCCTTTGATATAGCCAGGTGATTGTCACTGTCAACATCAGGACGGTTCCTAGATTTTGCTTTGTTGATAACAAGATAGATAGAAAAAATAGATTCGCACAGATAGGTTGTGGCAAATTAAACTAGCAATGAAAAAGCTTTCTTACTAAGTAGTAGGTAAGAATCGCAAAGGAATAACCAAAAACTGGAAAAGTCTTTTTTGCTTGATTTCAAAGCAAACTTGTTAGCATACATCGGCAGCCATGTCATCAATAAAGCCAAAGCCAACGCAACTGTCGTTCCATTTGAGGATTGGGAATTTACATATAGGCTTCTGCAGTTATAATATGATATCGATCGTTATCTCGCAGTCTCGCGAAACTGCCAGTCTGCTGTTAGATGGCCTACTAACAAACTATTCGGATTAGTAGATTCTAAATTCCATTATGCTCAAACAATTCGCACACACAAAAAAGTGAATACACCTAGTGACTGAAGTAATAAAACTGAGGTGAACGGAGAATTTTCTTTTAAATGAAAAGAATGCAACCGAAGTCGCTTTATATGAAATTACTAGCTTTGTGTCATGGCCCCCCTTGAACTGCTGCGTGGCCCCCTTGGGGGCCCCCAGTTGAGAACCACTGGTATAGAGTTTAATATAATTATGAAGTATGAGACTGTTCTAAATGGAAAAATAATTAGATTTTCAGGAGCTGGAACTACTAAATTTCAGGTAGCTACGGCTTCAGCATTATCAAATGTGGTAAGCTTTGGCTCTAGATCCTGTACTAGCACCAACAAAACGCAATGCTTCCAGGCTCCAGCTCCCCAGCCCCATATGCTAGGACCTAAATAAAAGAAAACATTTTACAAGATGCCACAAATGGAGAAAAAACTCAAAAGAGGTTTGATTTGTGTTGATAACTATTATGTAGTTTTCAACATTGAAATGGCAACCTTTGACAACCTTTTTGAAAATTTCCACTATACATTTTTTCATTTTTATTTTTTCATCGAAAGAATTAAAGAAACATTTCCATTTTCCATTGTATTTTTTTGTCCATACATTTAAATCTGAATCTCCGTGCAACTGAGACAAGTATCTGGTTAACCATTCCAAAACCCAAAAATATGTAAATGCTTTACTATTCGCAACATTTCATTTACCCAAGTATTTACTTTATCAGAGGGACAAGAAGAAGAGACAGAGGAAGAAGAAGAAGAAGAAGAAGATGGGCATCCATACAGGCTGAGAAAAGTTCGGGAGGCTCCACAACGTTACACCATAGGTAAGTTTAATATAAGCTATATTTGACTTGTACCTTACACTTTACAATTGAATTTTGATGGGGAGGTGTCTGGGTAAATTTAACTAAAATTTGAGCCAGTGTTGTGTTTAAGTCATAATTTTTGTGAGTTCAGTATCAGTACTCGAAGCTGGAGTAATTTTTTGAAATAAATCCTGTTAAAACCACTTTCAAAGGTATTTTATGATAGGCTCCCTAGTTGGTAGATGCTCTAGGCAGAGGTTCCCAAACTTTCATGAACTGTGAATCTGCTCTTCTATAAATAAAACTAATTTTGATTTTACTGATTTTATATCATTCATTTTATTTGCTATTTTTTAATAATAAAAAGTCAACAGACCAAACTAAAAGAATAAATTTAAATAAATTTAAATTAATGTAGTCATTGCAAATGATACCTAGTTAGCATTTTGAGAAACGCCACTCTATTGCATCGTGATAATCACTGCTCTATTTATTTAGTTCGTGAAGTCCAGCGAAGACGTCAGCGATCACTTTTCGAGGAACTGCCTGGATCTCCAGTTAGACGCAGACGAAAACGACAGCCCAGAGCTTCTCATATGTTTAGTAGAAGACGAAGAAAAGCTAGAGCTCAGGGAAACAGTAGCACGTCCTCAGACAGTGATTGTTCTTCCTCTGATGAAATAAAATTCAGGAAACGTCAGAAAAAGAGCATGGCACGAGCACGAAATCAGTAATAATAATTATTTTTTATATGACGCTTATTCATGCTGCTTTATTCGAATGAGCCCCTGGACAAAAACCAATGTTATTCAATGATATGTAAGGCACTACTAATTATCAGAAGGACTGGAATTCTTCTGTTTCTGCATTTCCTACCCAATTGATTACATACGCTCTGGGTGAGGTGATGTGCATAGGATTTAATCAGAGATGTGTATCTTGCTTGAACAACTAGGTCATTTCACCAACCAAATAGTAAACAATCAGGACGGGAAAAATAATATTGAGAAAATTTTAAATATTGAGGGAGAAATCCATTTTTTATGTGTTTTACAATCAAGGCCATCACAAGAGGATTTTTTTAAGTTAATTTTGCTGATGTTCAGGAAGTTTGGACAAAATGATTTTGAACAATTTGGATGAATGATTATTTTTGTAATGAATCAATTAACTTATGCACAATCTCATAATACAAAGTTTTATCACCAAACTATTGTTAAATATTGAAAGCTGATTGATTGTAAGGTGAATAGGGATAGATTTTATTATTTGTATGAAGTAGTAGAAAATTATAAATATGTGAAAATAATCAGATGGCTTGTAGCTGGCGCTACTAAAATTTATGGTAGCTCCAATTCTATCTCTAACTGTAGGCTTGGCTACAGTTCCAACAAGAATCACAACTCCATGGCTACAGGCTCCCAGTCCCGATAGTAACACAAGATTTATTTCATTGAGCAAATCCAGCTTTAATATCATCTGATGTATTTATTTTCATTCTAGATGTCTACCCATTAATATGACGTCTAAAGATATTAGAAAGCATTCATTTGCAAGAGATAGAAAGATGCTTAATCAATCCATTGCTGATATTGATCCTATGACACTTGATTCATCTGTGAGTACTGAGTAAAAATGCTTTTTTTGGTATTGTAATCTTTGGATCTCCTGAAGTATGCGCAGCAAGATGGCGCACAACCTGAACTCAGGTTCTGTACCAGGTTAAGGTTCAGGTTATGCGACATCTTGGTGCGCATACTTCAGGAGTACCTAATCTTTTTATTTAAACTCTCTCATCTTGAGAGTTTGGAGGATTGTATCAAGTCAATGGATGTTTTCGACTTGTTCATTTCTGTAACAGTGTCTAATCAGCAAGATGTCAATGTCAACGTAACAATTGAAATTTTAGCAGACGCTCAGACAATTTTTTCACTCTGAGTCTCTGACAGATTTTCAAGTATGGTTGTAAACATGAGCTTATTTTCTTTCTTTATCTGTTTGCCATTTTTAGCTGCTGTTTCTATATTTAGGTTTATATCCAATAACTTAATTACCATTTTGTCTTCCAATCAGTTTTGGTCTAGTTGAAGTATATCCAAAATTATTTATGAAAAATCTGCGATATACTAGAATAAAATTAGCTTTCATAACATTTTAATTCGGTGACAATTTTTTTCTTTGTTTTTCAATAGTTTGCTATTCAACTTTTAGAGTTACATGTGAAAACGATGGGGAATCATTATTCTTTATTAGGCGTTTGCGAGAATTGTAATTGTGATACTTGATGATTACTATCATTATTCAATTATAATTATTTTTGAAATACAAATAAATTGTCTTTTGTTTGGTTTGGTATCTTGTTAACGATATTCTTTGTTGTGATACCTACTAAATTATGTAACTTATTTATGTTAAGATTACATTTTCTTCTGTTGGCGGACATACCAAGCACATCAGAGCTCTTAAAGAAATGGTTGTTTTTCCTCTCCTATATCCAGAAGTATTTGAAAAATTCAGTATAACACCACCAAGGTAACTGTTATTTACCTTTTTTTTATTTTTGGAAAGAATATGGTAATAAAGGTTCCGGTTCTATAAAGATAGTAGCCCCGTACACATTAGTAAAGGGATTCTCGAACTTTTTCAGCCCCCTTTTTAGAATTTGTCGCGTCTCACCGCACCCACCTCAAAAATACCTCAGAAATACCTAGCTAACAAAAAGCTACAAATAACAGATAGTGAGATGGAAGTATGTTTTGATATTTTACATTGAAGGTTACATTATTTTCTTCAGAGGTTGTTTGTTTTATGGACCACCTGGTACTGGTAAGACATTGATGGCCAGAGCTCTTGCTAATGAGTGTTCAACTGATGGTAAAAGGGTTTCATTTTTCATGAAGAAAGGTGCTGATTGCCTGAGCAAATGGATTGGAGAATCGGAAAGACAATTAAGAGTTCTTTTTGATCAGGTATTTTGTTGTACATTCAATATCAAAGTTTAATCAACATCATGTGGGTTGAATAACTGCAATTTGCTATAGCTATTGCTGTTTTGATCGGGTTGATTTTTAAATTCAGCATTGGTATATGAAACACATGTTTTCTACCACAATTCACTTTTAATTGGCCTACATCGTAATCTGATTTTGGTTCAAGTGCTTTTAATATGTGTTTTCAGTCTATCAGTTATTTATATCCATCTATACTCTATTTACGTGTCCTAGTTTATCATTTAATATTTTGTTTTATTTGTCATTGTATGAGTGCGTCATGGTTTATCTGGAATAAATAATGGTTCTTGTGTTTTTGAAATCAAATTTTTCTTATCTATTTTGTTATCATTTCCCAGGCTTATCAAATGAGACCATCAATTATATTCTTCGATGAGATAGATGGTTTAGCTCCTGTTCGATCAAGCAGACAAGATCAAATACATTCCTCTATCGTTTCCACTTTACTTGCTCTTATGGATGGATTGGATAGTAGAGGAGAAATAATTGTTATCGGTAAAAAATTAAACTAATCTCTTGGGTTATGTACTTATCTATACTGTCTACATATGATACAGTCTTGACTTTGATTCGATTCGAAGGAGCGACAACTCAAGCTGAATAGTAACTCACTTTGACTTGTGACTCCAATTTTGAAATTTGTGGTGGCTCGAACTTGACCCATTAGGTGGCCTGCGACTTGGCCTTGGTGTTTAGATACATTACCCAACACTAGGTAATAGTTTTTACTGTTATTAACCAATGTTCGATTTACCTCATAGGGGCAACAAATAGAATTGATTCGATCGATCCTGCATTGCGAAGACCTGGTAGATTTGACAGAGAGTTTTTATTTCCTTTGCCTGATAAATCAGTAAGATATTTACGTTTTAATAAGAGTCAATACAAGGGTTGCTCAAGCTTTCGAAGCGAAGTTAACGCTGTAGCTGCTCAAACAACTCCAAACAAAAAATGTGATGTGAAAATACAACCCGAATTTCAATTTTGGTTCAAAAAGTCTGTCTCGCACAGAACGATGAACCCTATTTGGCATGGGACATACATGTGTAATTGAATATTGAGTAGGTTTGATTTCAACTAAATACGCCTGTCAAGAATTGCCTTTCGCTCAAACATAAAAAATCATCAAATTTTTGCTGGGTGTTATTTGAGCAGTTATCGTGCAGCGTTCATTTCACATCACATTCACATTTTTTCAGCCTTTTACATTGTTTATAATATATATTAGGCACGAGAAGCAATTTTACAAATTCACACAAAATCATGGAATCCCAGGTTGAAACAATCATTCATTGACTATCTCGCTACGAAAACCGTTGGATACTGCGGGGCAGATTTAAAAGTAAGTTTTCCACTTTTATCTATGGTTATGAATTGATAAATTCTGATGCATATATTAAATTGCAATCATTATTTTAGGCTTTATGTACTGAGGCTGCTTTATTTGCACTTCGACGCAGATATCCACAAATTTATGGTACAAGAGAGAAATTACAACTGGATATAAGCAGCATCAAAATTCTTGCTGCGGATTTTCAAGTCGCTGTGAAGGTAACGATGCATTTTTATCAGGTTATTAGATCAGTCTACAACAGTAGTTTTTTCATGGATTAAACAATCCCATTATGGAGACTCTCAACACGTGTGGCCCTCTTTTCTAAAATATACCGGTACCTACTAGAAAGCAAAATAATGAAGGCATTAAAAATAAAGTGATGCATTTCATATTTGGTCCATGATTAGCAAAGTTTAAAATTTATTAGAAATCAATAAATTCATTTGTTTTTATTTTTAGAATATAATTCCAACAGCTCAAAGATCTGCATCAAATCCCAGTCGCGCATTATCATCTACTGTCAAACCTCTTATGATTGATTACCTACAAAAAGCAGTTCTTCAACTTGCAAAACTGTTTCCAGTGCTCAGAGGTTAATGTAGTTTTTATTTGATTTTAATTTACACTACTATGTTAATATTTTATTTTTGCGAAAAATTCTGCGAAAAATTTACAATTGACTTCCTGCTTGAAAATGGATGAAAAATTTTCAGCATATTCAGGAATGTTCTTGTAGATCAGGATGGTGTAGGGCGTACTTAACTATTGCTCTCTGCCTTTATGTTATTGGATCTATTTGCAGTGTCTACAAGGATACTATGCAAAGATTCATATAAGGTATTATAGGAAATCTTATTGGAGTTGTGTTCATTTCTTTTAACTAAACTATTCAAATCCTGTCACAAAACTTGTTTGGACTTGCTGTATATTCCAACTTCTGCATTTTATTATATAGGCAAGTCAAAGCTAATTCAAAAGATTCGTTCCAAAATTGAAGGAAATCAATCTAATGGAACGAATCATATGAACGGAAACGATCATTCCAGCGATGTTGAAAATGATGATGAAATAGGTGGAATTATGGGAGGAATTTATGATGGAGAGCCAGGTGAAACACTAAAATGCTTTGTAAAAATTAACATACGATAAAGATAATTGTATCTCAAGCGGGTTATTTTCTGGGTCAGGGAGAGAGTTTCTCAACCTGGGAGCCAATGAGCGAAGGGCAAAGGCTTCACCAGGTACCAACTGCACTGACCATGTTTATTTCAAAGTATATCGACTGTAACTTGTCTAATTCTTTGACTTTTGTGTGTTGACGTTTTATTATTAAACGTGTTGCGTAGATAAATGATGGTAACACTTGGAAGCAAAACGAGATATTTTTATTGAAGCCCAGTGGGCCACAAATGTTAAGAGTTTTTGGAAGAGGGCCACGAATCTTGAAAGTTCGACAACCACTACTGCTCTTGTTAGTGGAACGGCTATTTTAGAATTTTGAGGGGCTTTAATTTCATTCATTGCTGTAAACCTTATCAATTGTTACCTGCTGGTTATATGCATGTTGAACAGCATACATAGGCCTCTGTTTGTTTAAATAACTGAGCAGTTTACTCAAATTTTACATGAAAACCGAAATGATTATCAGCAATGTAACAAGTTTTATGCTGGATTTTAGATTTGAAATTGCTTTAAAATCACTTTTATTGTATATGAACTTGTGTGCTAATCAACCTGACTTTTTTTTAAATACTCACATGTTTGTTTCAGATATGACGAACCATTTTACTTCGATAATATCAACTCTCGTATCAGGAAGTAACAATGGGATTGTTGAATCAAAATACTCTCATTTATTACAACGTCTATCTTCTATGGAACACAGGTTTGCGTTATATTCATCTTTTCCTGTCATAGTTTGATGTAATGTTGCAGCGAATTGGAGCTTATTTTAGCTCTGCTATTGTCATAGTTTGTATGGGTAAGAGTTTCTTCAACGGAGCCCATAACATGAGTGATGGTTTAGCGGTCATAGTGTTAAAACTTAGAAATTTGGCATTGCAGACTACACGTCTCAGGTTCAAATCCGATTTGTGACACTTTACCGGTATGTAATAATTTCAAAAGGCAATACCGGACTGGAAAGATTATGGTCTTAAAAACAGGAGCTCCTTATTTATTGTTAGGTATATTGTAGACTTTATTTGTTGAAAAGGTGTGATAAGCATCGTATCGTGGATATTGGTGCTTGTGTCTTTATGCTGCCCTCCATAGGATAGGATAGGATTTACATATTTATCCCGGGGGATAGGAACGACGATAAGACGGCTTAATCATATGGTAATCCACTGCCTCTCGTCCGGTTATCAGTCCAGGTCGGATATGGGATCAGTTAGCCAGTTATTTGTTTTCGAAAGCATGGACTTGACGGTGGAGAAAGCCGTAACCGACCAGCGGTTACGTGAACCACCCTACGGCGACGAGGAGTCCAGCAATCCTCTCGCACATAATCATCCCCGCATGGGATTCGAACCTGCGAACCCACGCAAGGTAATCGAAGATGCGATGGCAAGCGTATTCCTAACGCTTAGCACGATGCGCCACACCGCCTAGCCTTATATTGACTATTCCTTTTGCTATTCAGCCTGAACACTGTACATCGGCCGAGATTTCTCATATGTGGTGATTCTTCATCAGGACATTCCAGTCATCTCACACCAGCATTATTGCATGATATGGAAGGAATTCCTATTCATTGCATCGACTTGCCGGCTTTATATGGAGTTAGTGTACGCTCTCCTGAAGAATCTTGTGCACAGGTATTCGATTTTATTTTAATAATGATCATGACCTCTAGGCCTTATTCTTGTTGTATACCTTTTGTTGTACCTTTTATTCTGTATCTGTGTATCACCTAAACAATTAAGTATCCCCATACCCTCATGAAAAACATTTCCTTATTTTAGCTTAGATTTTCCTAATTCCCAAAAAATTTTCGGACCGAGCTTAACCTACTAAATTGCTTTTATTTAGGTGTTTCGTGAAGCACGGCGTTTAACTCCAAGTGTAATATTTCTACCTAATGCATTGCAATGGTGGAACGTAGCTTCACCTACTGTTCAAGCTACATTGGAATCACTATTGCATGACATTCCTCCTCATCTGCCTGTATTATTTTTAGGTGAGTGAAATTTCATTATTTTAAGTTAATTCAATTCTTTGTATCAATATTAAAAGTTGAATTCGGATCAAGCCTTTTATCCTTTTAATGGGAAATGCTATGAAGTTTGTAGATTGCTAATGTTACCAGCAATGGTACATGGCTTAGTGGCTAAAATCATTGGTCTCAACTATGTTGGCAATTTGGGTCTTTGGTTCAAGCCCTATCTCCTCACCCAGGTTGTATAAAATAGGGAAGGCAATGGCAAACTGTAGAGATTCAAATCCTCCCAAAGTAGGAGCTTGTACATCAGTGAAAGCTCACAATGATTGTACTCACATCCAGAACTGGGGATATAAGATAATTTTTTTTTTTTTTTCTGCATGCTTAAAAAAACCAGTGTTCTTCAAGATGTTTTCATCCCCACCTGCTTGGCACAGCAAAATTTGTTTTGGGACTCTCAGTTAATAAAATAAAGATAAGTAAAATTTAATAATACAGACAATATTGAAAAACAAAGAAAATAAATTGATAGTACCCTCAATGAGAGGTGTTTTCATATTCCCGCACAAATATTGCATATGCGCTTTATTTCAGTGATGGTCAGCATTTGTACTGATTCTAAATCTTTCAAATTCAATCAATATTTTGTTTTAACATGAATTAGTGTCGAAAATTTTTTTACTGTGATCCCCTTTGAGCTCTTTTGCGACCCCTACTGACCTCTGGGACGGGACCTCCAATTTGAAGAGTCCTGCTTTGAACAATAACATTTATTTTTTTTTCAAAAATGGTCAGTCTCACTCACTGATTTCACTTATATATCAATTTTTCTATTTTTTCAGCTACTTCAGATTGTACATATCATCAATTACCCAGGGATTTTGCAAAAATTTTTCATTCTGATTTTTCTGAAGTTTGTGAAATCAAGGTGAATTTCAGTACTGAGAAGAGAAGAGAATTCTTTGCTTCAATATTTCTTATTCATGCTATGACACCGCCTCGCACAAGCAGAAGACGAGGTAGATATTTTGTTTTATTATCATTTTCATGGACATTGCTCAAAGCAAGGTTACACTCACTCGCTCAGAAAAAAAAGGAGACTCATTTTGAAGTGAATTTACAGGCAGCACTTAGGTTTCGAGAGCTAGTGAGACTATAGAGAAGTCATGGGGTAGAGTCAGCGCATTTTTTGTCTGGTAGCTACATTCTGACAGTTGCTCCTTTTGAGAGAAGCTTTGAATTGATTTCTGAGTCTCAATATATTCTTTTACAACAAGCTCCAATAAATCTACTGATCGTTCTTCATTGTATATAGATTTTTTTGACCTAATTCTATATTTATCTTCAATTAAGTTCTAAGCTGTGTAACCCAGTTGACAATTAGCTCTCGTTCGCTTGCGGTACTAACAATTTAAGAACACACCGGACAAAAGTAATATTAAGTCAGAAGTATTTTAAGAACTTCTGTTATATAGAATTCGTTACCTCATGGCTGTTTTCTTGATTATATTCTGCTTCCTGTCTCTGGTCGTTTTTACTGATGCATATTTTTACGCTTTAATTCTTTATAGTGTCGGTTGATCTTGGTACTTTAGTTGTCGTCTGTAACTTTTCCGGTATTACCTGCCTTTCCTTGGCAAATTTTCTCATAATAATAAATTTTATTTGAATTTTGTTTTAGATCAATCCAGAGAACTTCTTCCTAAAGCCCCAGCACGTCAACCAGCTCCTCTCACTGAGGAAGAAGAAAAGAAATTGGAAAAAGAGGAAGAATCTACGTTCAGAAATTTGAGATTGTTTTTGAGAGATGTTCTCATGAGATTGGGAGGAAACACTCGATTCAAGGTCAGGAGATTATTACTCATAAGATTTTTCATATTTTTCCAGAGGAAGGTTCACTCCGTTATGTGTGTTGACACCATAACACATTATGTTCAAATACCATGCTCATCAGCTCACCCATGGTGTAATAAATTGGGTAGCCAATGGCAAACTAGAAAGAAACTTTCAAATATTATATCTCCGCACCTTTCATTAGATATGAGTAGATGCTTGCAACAGAGACTTGTTCAGAGAAAAGGCATTGGTACTCCCATAGTATGTGAACCAAGATGGCGGACACCGGAATGTAGTATGTGTACCAGGTTAGGGTTAAGCCATCATTTTATTCCAATTTACCTTATTTTAGTTCTATTTCGAGTTCGGGGACTAGCCAAGTGACTCCTGTAGTATTTGTACTTGAAATTATGGCCCAACCCTAACATGCTTCACATGCTACGTTTCGGTGTCCGCCATCTTGGTTCAAATACTGCGGTATTACCAAGGCTCTGGTGTCTTTATCATCTACCATGCTATGACAAATTTTTTTTGAAATTGCCAAAATGAGTTTTGGCTACACTGATTTTTTCCTCTATAATTAGAAATCTTGCGGTATTCATACCTGTGTTTGTCTCACAACCTTGATTAGTTCGTCTAATGTATAGTATCTCTAATCTTCAGATAAACGTCACTGAAATCTTGAATTCTTTTCTTTTAGATCTTTGCAAAACCTGTGGATTTTGAAGAAGTTCCTGATTATGTCGAAGTAATAAAGAAACCCATGGATTTTTCTACAATATTCACAAAAATTGATCAACACAAATATCAGACTGTTGCTATGTTTCTTGGAGATATCGATCTCATTTGTAACAATGCACTCGAGTATAATCCTGATAGACGTCCAGAAGGTAAGTTCTTTTTATTTCGTTTATATCTATAACAAGAGAGCTATGCTCAAATATATGGACACGTAGCACCACATAATTTTGTTGACGTCATGGCAAAAAATAAAAGTAATAGCCCTCTAGCAAAAAATACAATCTTCACTCATCGAAAATTACAAAGCAATTGGTCCAGTAATCGTAGATAAAAGCGACCTTTTGAAAACGTGTCAAAGAACAAGAACGAGAAAAGCAACAACATAATATTGAAACGATTGTTATGTTAACTACGTGTCTAATTATTTAATGCCAGCAACCAAGTCACCCCAATTACCCACCAACAGAAGGTTAAACACCCACTTCCCCTTCACAGCTGGTTGGTCATGGTCAGTCACCCGTGTCTGATGACATCACTGATCATGGGTGGGTGTTTTGAATGTCTGGTTTAAATATATAAATTAAATTTGAGCTATGACTAGTCATAGATCAGACTGTGTATTATTGTGTTTATATTCTCAACTGTATTCATAAATTTTATCTTGAGTATTTATTTGTGCAGTTTATATTATTCTTAATTTCTATAATCAGATAAACTGATTCGACACAGAGCATGTGCAATGAGAGACATGGCTTATGCAATAATTGACTCCGATCTTGATCCTGAGTTCGAGAAACTTTGTTGCCAAATCATCAAATCCAGAGAGCGGAGAGGTGTCAGCATGAATAAATATGCTCCCAAGTATTACCCTGTGGTACCCAAACATCTAATGGTTCATCCTGTTAGTGGAGAAATTGTTCCGAAGCCTGTTGAAGAACAAACTAATGGTGAGTTATATGTCCACATTATTGGGGTGCAAGTCCCTCAACCTTATCTCAAGTCGAGTTGTGGGTCATTGGAGTTGCGGGTATAGTCTGGGAACTATAAGGTTTGAGTAATATGACTTGTTCACTCTACTCCTGAGTAACAGAAGGTGCTTTTTGAGTCGCAACTTTTGAATCTGAGAAGATTTCATAAACAACGGTAAAGTTGATAATATGAGTCATATTGACACCATCCGATCCAATTTTTCTACTCTGCTTTGTGTTGTTACCCCAGTTTCCTCAACATTGTTTATGTACTGCACTAACAGTACGCTCGTTACTAATAAAAAACTTCTGATTTTTTTTCTGTTATTTCGATCAACTATTATTAAACTAGAAAAGTGCTTCCCGTCTTCTAGTCTATCACAAGACAATTTCAAGTGCCTCGCAAAATATCAATTCATTTCTTAAAAATTTATTTCTTATCTGGCTGCATTAAGGACTTGTCATGAAATGCTAAAAATTGTTATAACTAATTTTGAGAGAAGTATGATTCGCAAGTCGCAATATCGAACATTACATCGCATTATTATAATTAATATGCACAAAAACGAGCTTGTAAGTAGAAATAATTAAATGTGCATGTATTGTAAGATTTTTTTTGATTCATCTTGATGTTAATAAAGTCAAATTTTATTTAAGTGCTTCTCGACCAGTATTAAGTTAGTAAATGAGCCAAAACTTAGAAAAGTTTGGAACATTTTATTTTATAATATTTATTACGTCGCACTTTCATGGCCCGCCAGTCTAAGCGGGCAAAATTTTTGGCCCCATGTTTAAAAACCTTCCCAACTCCTGCTTTTTTAGTTTCTCTAATGGTTGAATTTATACATTTTTTTAGCTCAATCGAATCCCCCCACTGCCAGCACTGATGTTCAAGTAGAGAGAACTCCTTGGAAGCCTCCACCACGTAGAACAGCAAGTTCTACAAAACCAAAACGCAAGCATTCAACTTGGGCAAGGGGGATTGTGAAAAGCTCGAAAAAAAAGCGAAAAGAGATCAAAAGTCTTCTGTCAAATGAAGAGGACACAGATAACGGTGGAGAGGAACAAAATGGTGGAAATGCAGAATCACATGACGAAAACGAAACAGAAGATGAAAAAATGGAACCCGATGAATCTAGCGATGTAGAATTGAAAGAGGATGCACAATCTGATAAAGAAAAATCGTCATTGAATGTCAGCTTTAAAGAGGTTGTGGAAATGAATATCGATGATGAGCAAAATCCAGAGAATCTCTCGAAGAAGGATGAACAAGAGGATTCTGCTACTCATAAAGAAAATGATTCTTCTCGAGTTGTAAATGGATTTGGATTAGATTACGAACTACAAGATGAAATGGAGATGATTCTTGATGATAATATGGAGGGATTAAGTATGATTAAGAATCGGAAAGAAGATCTTGAAACAGTAGAAGAAAAATCACAGGAAGAACATACTGACAACGATACAAATGCACAAGAAAATAATTCGGAAAAATTCAATGGAGATGCAATAGAAATTCTAGATACAACAGGTGAAAATTTTGTTTCAGGAAAAAATTAATGTATTGCTTGCGGAATAACTCTGGGACCAAAATAATGTACTATTGATTTTTTTACTTGACTATTTTGCTTGTACTTCACATCCACACTTTTTGTTAAGAAAAATATTGACTCCAACACCTAACTCAGGGTTTCGCAAAACTTTGCCTTGAGCTCCGAACTGTGAAATCAAGTGGTGATATCGAAAACTTCGTGGAGTGCGCCTAGCCTTATTTGACATAATAACGCTCTATAAATTTAATTCATTTCGAGTTTTTGGCTTCTTTCGTCACTATTAAAACATTGAAAATTTGCAAGTCTGATTCTCGATTTCTTGGAATTCTGTAATTTGACTATGCTGGTAGCATAATCTATTACACAACATTGCAATCTCAACAACATTACATAATTGTTAACAGTCATAGTATCCTTGTGCTTTTAGAAATTACTCCTTCACCACCAAGAAGAATGACACTTCGATCTAGAGATCGCACTACCTCAGAATCCAATTCAATGTATCAGAAACAAGAGGAAGAACCAGAGCTTCCTCCACCTCCTTTTATTGTGGATCATAAACGACTCATGCATTTGTTGGAAGAGGTTGTCACTGTAAGTTGGAATTGGGTGTAAGCTTTAAATTGGTTTCTTTTTCTCTTATTTTGTCACCGATTAAAATAGTTACACCAATGCTTCTTAGTCGTTCACGATTTTTGCAACCTTTCGACGATCTCCTGCATTTCATTCATCTATCATGTTAAAGAAATATTCGTAGGCATCATCAGATGTTGGTGATAAACCTATAAAAATAAACTCACCCATGCATAGAAAACTTAATGGAATTGCAGAAAGAACATACATATGTTAGAGTGACATTCGGCAACTATAATAGTAAACTAAGCTTGAATTGTAATTCTCTCAATTGAAAGCATTTATATATGTATATTACCATTTGTTTTCTTTTTTTGTATTCCCAGGTTACTGACTCTCGAACATTAGAAGAATTGGAACGAATACATTCCACATTGTCAAGATGTGTTGACAAGCACAAACTGTCATACAATAGAAGAGAGATGGTTGAAGTAATAATTTATTTAATTAAAACCTTGAATTGTTTTATTTATTTGCACTGGAATTGTTTATATGGGTCATATTGCATCATCTACTCCAGTGGTTGCAAACTGTAGGCTGCTGAGCATTTTCTTGTGTGCCTCAACTAATTTCAATGATGGCAATGATCAGGGATGGCCAATACCGAATAGTTCACTATTTCGAATACATTCGAAATTATTTTTTTCGAATATGAAATTTCGAATACTTCGAAAATAAAATCCACTAATTGAAGCTTATCTAAATATATGTAGGAATTTCCATACAATAAGCAATGGAATAACTGCTATCTAGAAGTTACAACCTAGCTTTATTACCAGGCATTTCATATTCCAGTATATATTTTATATACCATGAGTCATGTTAACAGAATTAAATTAATACGGCAATAGTGGTATCGGTGATGGATTTGAATATTTGCGCAACACAAAATCATCCTAGTGAAACGCCCATACTCTTAATTAAACACCAACCATTATCCAAATTATTTGCCGATAAGCGGGATAAAGTATGAGTTATTTTGGTTATTGTGAGTACAAAAATGCGAATCAAAAATTAATTATATTCGGGAACTATACCACACATTTTAAGTCCGCAGATCTCCGTTGTATGTTTGAGTAATAATACTTTTATTGTTTTATAAATAGGAATCAAAAACTATTTATAATCGGGTAGTTTATCACACATTCTAAGTTCACAGATCGCCGGTGTATTTTGTAAATACGAAAATAGGAATCAAAAATTAATATTAATCGCGAGTTTGCCACACAATTTATGTCCACAGATTGCCATGATATTGTGCCGAATATAATTAGTTTTTAATTCTTATTTTCGTACTCACGAAAAAATAGTCACACGTTGGAAAATAATTTATACTTTATCCCGCATTTTGGGAACTAATTTGGATAATGGTTGCCATTGGTTTGTATTTAAAAGTATTGACTTTTTACTAGGATGATTTTGTGCTGCGCAAAATATTCGAATCCATGACCGATACCTCTATTTGAAATGCCTTACCGTGTTAATTTAATTCTATTATCATAACTCAAATGTTGGTAAATCGGGCAGTTTACCACACATTTTAAGGCCACAGATCGCCGTTGCATTTTAGAAATATAGTTTTATTATTTTGTAAATACGAATCAGAATTTAATTCTAATTGGGCAGTTTACTACATATTTCATGACCACAAATACCCGTGGTATTTGGTATTAATACTTTCATTATTTTATCAATATGAAAATAGGAATCAATATTTTATAATATCGGTCAGTTCACCACACATTTTATGTCCACAGATTGTCGATACAACCATGAGTTACGTTGAACAGAATTAAATTAATACGGCATGACATTTTAATAAATGCTGTTACCAGTCATGGATTGGATTATTTTGCGCAACAAAAATCATCTTGGTAAAGGATCGATACTTTTAACTATCGTTATCAAAATTATTTGCCAGAAATTATTTTCTAATAAATCGACTTTTTTTTCCAACTTGTGACAATTTATTTGATACGTAACAATTACGGCTATAAATACCGTATTTCCCGGCTAATAAGTCCACATGGCAAATAGGACGATGTCTATTTTTAGCACTCAAAAAAGGGGTTTTCATATAGGCCTCCAATAAGACGGGTAAAAAAATTGTGTCCCTGTTGTTCAGTTATGCTAATATGCGCTAATAATTTTATATGTTTAGAACCAGATCATTTAACTATATTTAACAATTGAGCGGTAAATTTGTGTTGTAAAGCGGCAACCATTTTGGACAACTTATTAACCCGAATGTTGAAATAATTTTGAAATGTGATAAGTACTACACTGTACGTCCACGGGTTATTTCACAGCTGTGTTTTCCTGTCCCTGTCGTGTTCTGCTGAATCGGCAAAACGAAAGGGTCACAAATCACTTTATCTCGGTGGCCGTGTTTCTCTTTAAAGTAACGATTAAAGCCTGCGATTAAATATCATGATTGGCAGGCCCTAAGACCCAAATATAAGGTTACACGAATCATGTTTGAGAAGACTCATGCGAATAAAAAGCAGGCCACATCGAAATAAAATAAACATACTTTCTCAATTAGACGCCCCCACCCTGCCTAGAAAAGCGACTCATTAGACGAATTTTTGACGTAATGGAAATGAATTTGTAAATTAAAAGCCTTGTAGACGAATATCGGCAATGTTCACCTGCGCAAACGTGCAAATATGTCGCAACACTATGCGACGTACCGTCGCACAGAATATAAACAATCAAAATGCCGATTCTATTTCATCGTCATTACAATACGTGAGACAGCGTAAAAAGTCGTTTGAATATTCCCGTAAAACGAAACACCACGTTTACGGCGAAAAGTGGCTACTATTCGGAATTATTCGAAAATCAGCCGAAAAGGTATTCGAATACTTTGATATTCGAATACATTCGAATATTCGATTCGTTTTGGACAACCCTGGCAATGATACTCGAAAAAGTTCTATAAATCCAATATTACATATAAATTTTTTGCCAAGTGGTTTTTGTTCATATATCAAACGATCCTTAAGTTCATTCCAACTAAACATATTAAATGTCCCTAATAAGTCTATTACATGGTTAAATTTAAAATTTCCAACAAGATTGTTGGGATTTGAAACCTTTTCCATTTTACTGTTTTGGCATCACTTTAAACTTAGCTGACCAATGATCTACACCTTTTTGTCAGAAGTTGAATAGGAAATGTTTCAGTAAATCGCTTCCAGGAAGCATGCTGTAGCCTTTATTTCTCCATGTTAAAATTTTGACGGTTACAAAGTTAAGATAATGATTACATTTTCTGTTGAATTCTTGCTCTTACCGGTACCTCAAAACATGTCTATCTGATGGAGTAAATGATGTGTATCATTAGTTCATGATAGAGTAGATAACAAATCCTTGTAAAACTTACAGTACTCATAGCTTTTGAGCAACTGAAAGGTTTTCATTTCCAAAAGTTTTTTGGTTAATAGTTTTTAGTATTGTATATCTTTGTAACTCATCAAATATTTTCAAATCCTTTTTTAGGATTTGGAAAAAGAAATCCAAAATCTATCTCATTCAAGTGGAGAAATGCTATCTACAGATTCTGAGTTTGTCTGAAAGAGAACGTATTAGTAGAATGACAAATGTTTTTGTACGAATGGAAATTGTGGATGCAGATATGGAGCGATCGATTCTTAATGTTGTTTACACACTGTTAGTTTGTTCAGATCAAATAGACAATTTTTTTGTAGTTTTGTATTTTCGGTAGTACATCCTGCTGCCTTATCTTATATGCTTCATTCCGTTAACTTACTTATAGGCAAGAAAGGTACTGCATTAGAATTCTTAGATGACCTCAACTTTTGCTAGCTGTTGTGTGTACAGAAAAAAATTGCCTGTTATTTATCATGACCTGTATAACAGATTTATTCCTAAAAGTAAAGGCTTTACATGTGGAACAACTCAAATAAACTTTTGTTTTTTGCCAAATTGTCAAACGTGACTTAATTCTACTCAAGAAATTAGAAGGCCATGCTTGGTATGTTTTCGGTTACAAAATGAAACCGATTGCTCTATGAATGTGGCCATCTTAGACACCTCAATTTTGCTTTTGGACGTTTCTCAAATACTGTCGTTTATGTTGAGATAATATTATAGTTTAGAACTGTTGTAGTTTTTGCTTGATTTCAATTTACAACCAATCATATTTCCAATTTTTACAAAATTTGATTGTTTGAAACCAGTGACTTGCAATATTTTATTGTTGATTTATCTATTCTGTGAATTCTGATATCCTCAAATGTTTGATAGACATATAGCTTTGTTCACTATCTCATAGCTGAGTGGATAGATATTTGCTGAAAAATAACATACTTGTGCTGTTTGTTTGTAGTCTTAAAACTAGTTTATGTTCGTTAATGAAATGGTTCATTTCATTCAAGTTTTTCATGTTCTTGACTTCGTAAGTAAAACTGAAATACGAAAAAATGAGGGTTTTCTGGCATGGTATGGAATGGAAATGATAAATGTGTGTATGTATGTATGTTTATTCGTCTCGTAAAGGCAAAAACACAGGAGTTAGTAAATATCAACATTGAAGACGGGATGTATACACAAGACCATACTGGCCTAAAACACATGAACATGCGGCATACACCCCTTATGATAAGCATAAAATGCAATAAATCGAATAAGTATAATATGGTCCTTCATACAGACAGCTGTGTGAGGAGGGTGGATTAGGCAACATGGGTAACGGTGGAGTATGCCCAACTGTTTGTACAAAGGAGTTGGTAGGACAAGACAACATCAATAAATAGGGACAATACAACATGAAATCTAATATATATACATGAGAATAAAATTTGGACATATAGCACCCTCGAATAATGATACCACATACTGTAAATGGGAGAAATAGTCAAGTTTATAGGAGAATGTGCATATATGGTATGTACCACTCTCAAGGGTGAGTGTCTTAAGTAATAAATGGCTAATCTAGCAAAAATGCGTTCCTTCCAGGCTTGGGGAAATGTAATAGGTTCTGTCAAGTTACACACTTTTTCAAGGTACTTTGTATTTTATAGTTCTGAATACCGCTAAAAAAGATCAGGATTCAAAAAAAGGATATTCAGGTTGCATTTCCATAAAACCTATCATGATCGCATTTCAGCCAGACAATTCAAAGGTATAAAAGTATATTGAAATAGAGAACAATAATTTGAAAATGAGGTTAGGATGGGAATCACAAATTTATCCCCAGGATAGAGGGAAATCGATTAAGACTGCTTAACTATATGGCGAACATGGTTAGCCAGTTATTTGTTCAATACACATGGACTTAATGGTAATGTGAACCATCATATGGTGGCGAGAAGTCCAAGTCTTTTCAGTAGAACTCGTTCGGCAGTCAATCTAAAGGCAGAAAATTGAACTGATGGTTTTATACCATTAATTTGCTAGTCTGCCACGAGTGTGAACTATTTGAGACCGGATGTAGGCTATCCTACATCCGGTATAGACTGGTAACTTGATGACATAATTCACCATATGATTAAATCAATTTACCTGGGGATATGTATGAAAATAATATTAATTGCCCAGTCAACAGGCCATTGTGAAAGTCATCTTACCAGTGCCAATCGACCGTGATATAAAAGTACGATGCATTGGGCAAAAAGAATGAATTCAATTTAAAAACATGCAGGCCCCTACAAAAAACAGGCGTGCAGTTAGTATCTTTGTATCGCGAAGGGATTTACATGTTTATCCCGTGGAGAGGAAAGTCGTATGACAAACCGTGGCCACCCGTCTTGTTACCAGTCTATGTCGGGTATGGGATTGTTAGCCAGTATTTGTTGTTTTCGGGTGCATTGAAGTGATGGTGGAGGAAGCCTTAACTCACCAGCAGCTACTTGAACCATCCTGCGGCGGCGAGAAGTCTGCTACACGAAAGCGTATGTGTAACACTGCACTGCCAAGCTTGTACATGGAAAAAAATTCTGAGGTCAAGGGTCGGAGTATTCACATTTCATGTATTTTCTTTGATTCTGATACTGTTGTTCGCGGTTTTCTGCTCAATTTGTGACAGCAGAAAGTGGCTTGTTTCAAGTTTTCCACATTCTAATGTTTCTCCTGGTGCTGTAGTAGATAAGACAATAGCTTCTTGTTGTTGTACTCCGGAAATCTATCAGTAGAAAACTTTCTATTCCACCATGGCAATGGACGCCGGCAATATACCTGGACTTATTGATGCACGGTCAAGCGATTTACTCACACAAACCCAGCCGGGAACGTCTGAAGGTAAAATATGTTAGATCTGAAATCAAGAACTGCTGAAATTCCTTCTAAGCCTGTTACTGCAGAACTGTGTACGGTACGGTACTGGTATCTTCGTATCTGTGAATCTCTGTAATCAGCAATGCTTTACGGACCTTTTGCCTCACCATGCAGTTCTGCATGGCACAGCGCATTGGCAATATTTTGCAAATAATTATCGCTCCTGAACCTGCAGATCTGTGAACCCAATCACAGGTCTCGTGTAGTTTCGTACCTAACGTACTTCTAGTGCAGTAGTGGGTGTAGCATAACAGTTTTTTGACATGTCAATCCTAACCCCCACCTGACTACACCATCTAAAAATCACAGTACTACGGTACAACATCACAATCACGTTATAGAGCTCGCCAAATATACGTACAATCGCTAATCAAACTAACTAATGCTGTAATGCCAGGGATTTCTCTCGTATCGCAGTATCAGGATCGTGTGTCGATAACCAATGAGAGAAATACCTTGCTCTATCTTGGATGATCGTCTGCGCGTTTTGGACGACCATCCGAGGGCTTTACTACCCTCTGGAATGTCGTTGTGACGTAATTTTTCGGTGACGTAGTCAGGTGGGGGTTAGGATTGACATATGCAAAAATTGTTGAGCCAGGCCAACTAGAAGTGCATGTGGTACTAAACTATGCCAGACCCAATTTTCGGTCTTTGAATTTTACCAAGTTTGAATACAAAATAGTTCTAAGTGAAATAAATTTTGTTATTATTTTCAGATTTATTGAGAAATGTATCTGGCGTATCATCATTAGAATCTGGAAGTAGTGCAGCTGCATCACAACCAAATTTACTGTCAGATAGTTGTATTACCCAGGAAAAACTTCTAACATTTTGGCAAACTCAGATGGATGAAATTCAAATTATATCAAATGTGGGTTTTTTTTTTTTTTTCACAATCTAATTGCTCACAGGGTTAGTATCAGTGTTTTCAAAAAGTTTTATTCTTCAATGTTGTTAAACTTTTCAGAGTCTTTCATATGTATGTATGTATGTACGTAATGGACGTGAATTCTCCCAGCTTTGGTATTATTAACTCTAATCATGGTGTAAATTTTAGTTGATCTCAAATACTGATTTGTTAACAAAAATTTGGCAAAATGCTATATGCTATAAGAGACTGATCATATTTTTATAACAGTGACCATATCCCTATTTAAATTGGTGCCTTTGCGTAATGATATTCTATCACTATATATAAATTGTATCGATTGGTACGAGTTATTTAGGAAGTTAAATTTAGATGATATTACTCACATGGTACACTCATTTTACCTCTCTTCAAATTCATAAAAGTTGAATTGAATGTTGTTGGATAAAATGATCTGGTGGCTAAAACATTGGGCTTATAACTATCTTGTAATCGGAGGTTAAAAATATCGGATTTAACTTCCATGTCATCACTTCGCCCCACGTTTAATGAATTTGGGCAAGCAATGCAAAAGCGAGAATAATCTGGTGCTTCCAGACAATGGTAGCAACTATGAACGCCTGTAAAGAGGCTTGTTCAGTGTAGAAGACTTATACCATGCTGTAACAAAAATTCAACGAATGTGACTTGACCTTGTTTTTCAAACAAATTTCGGTTGACATTCTTCAAGTAATATACTTTTACCATTAAAACTAATTTTTAAACTTTTGTATTTAGGAACAATTCAAAACCCAAGAACTTCCACTAGCAAGGATTAAGAAAATAATGAAAATGGATGAAGATGTTAAAATGATTTCTGCAGAAGCTCCTTTACTATTTTCTAAAGCTGCTCAAATATTTATCACCGGTACAGTAAAACTGTACTGATACGAATAGCATTTATCAAATTTTTGAAAAAGTTTTATGGATAAAAGTTGTATAGGCCTAATGCATCCCCTATTCAAACTTGGGATAAAGTTTCGACACTTTCGATCCTTTTTGTTCTTTGTTGGATCCCTCAACATTTTTTTCCAGGAATTCTTTCCCCCTCACTTGTATTGACAAGAAATGAAATGCTGATGCATAATTCTATGCTACAATTCTTTATAATCTCACAAGCTCTTGGCACTTCAGTGGTTGCCCGTAACCTGGCTCAGAGCCTAGTCTCCTTTATATACAGAAATTGTTCATGGAAGAAAAATATGTGACATAATAATTATGGATCATATGAATAACTGAAATATGTAAAACACGTACTGAGCTTTATAATATATGTGGTCTCAAATATATTATTGACTTAATGATCTTCATAATTTTTTCTTTATTTCTAGAATTAAGTTTACGAGCTTGGATTCATACAGAAGAAAGCAAAAGGAGAACATTACAGGTAAATCAAGAAATAGATTGAATCGTATTTATGGTGCGCTCTTTTCGATTTAATTTTGTTTAATCCTTGAGAAAATAGTTGAATATTTGAAAGTGGTTGTCTCATTGTTAAAATTAGTTTGGAGACTGTGTTAAATATAACGAATAGTTGAAAATAACACACTGATTTTATGGTTGACTGACTTTTAATAAAAATACTTTGGTAAATATTCAAACTATTATTAGATTAAGCAATTATTTCTTTGCAATATTTTCAAATGAAACTTTTTCATTCAAAATTTCATCTTTCTTCCTTTTGTCTTGGAACCCACATCTTGCATGTCTGTTTTGTTTTATATACAATTATTTATTTATTAAGTCATATTTTTCGTATTTCAACATACCTGTTACCACTTGAATCTTAATTTGAAATTTGTTGTGCTTTTATTATTTTACTTACTGCACATCATCTTTTTTATTTTCATTTCAGAGGAATGATATTGCTACTGCTATCACGAAATTTGATCAATTCGATTTTTTAATCGATATCGTACCCAGAGAGGAACTCAAAACTCCACCAAAAAGAAACAGCTTTGTGAGTGAGATATTCTGTATTGAACTGCAATTTCTTTAACTACGTTTACTTCCTTTTGTGCTGATCTGCTTGAACGAGAAAGTGTTGAAGCGATAAAAAAAAACATGTTCTGTTTCTGCAAAATAATGGTATGACTGTAAACTTTGTTAGCAATTATGGATGAATAATCAAAAAAATATAATTTTTGTTGCAGGGTATTATTGGTGGGTCAGGAGATGCTCCACAATTTTTCTATTCATCCCCACAAGTTGGCAACAACACAACAACCACAGTAAACAATAATTCTTCAGATACAAATACACAATCTGCAACAGCCTCTGCATTGCAAACAGGGCAATTATTACTGGCCCAGCAAAACCAGGTTTGCATTGTCTTTATAATATAAGTAAATTTGGAAAAGTGATTAACACTTTTTAATATTTATTGTTCTGATATATTTTTCAACTAAATTTCAATGTGATGTTATAAAATGTTTTCTTTTTAGTTTTAAAAAATAAGTTTGAAAAAGGTGCATTCAGATGTTCAATCAAATACTAATGTAGACATAGACATCGTAGAATTGTATAAAACAGTGTTTTTTTGAACTTTCGTGAATTATCGCCTCCTTCAAAAATTCCAATGGCCTCATGATCTTCCAAGTAATTTTTTGCATCATTCATTAATAAAAAGCAAAAGAATAAATGCATTATGACCAAAGAATTAAAACATATTACATAACACAGTCAATTTATTGTAAACTTTACTTTCCTCTTCGGAGAACAGCTTGATGGCCAAAGGCCCAGTTTCAGAATCCCTGGTTTAAAGTTAATAAAAAGTGAATATTTTAGAATATTTGTTTTGTTTGTAATAATATTTCAGAATGGTCAACCAATGACGCTAACGCCAGTCAATATGGACGGTAGTCAAGTATTACAACTTTCTCAACCTGCACAGGTGCTATTTCTATAATCCTATGATATTCTACTCTTTGTTGTATACCTTTTAAGCATGTTTTAATTAGAGATGTACCAATACCACTTTTTTCGCTGATACCGTTCAGAAACCAACGAAAAAATGCTAATACCGGTCACGAATCACGATATTCCAAAATGCAGACATTCTGAACGGATGTAAATATCATTTTGATTGCACAGGATGGAAGGGTTATAATAATTTTAACTCGTCAGCGAACAATATTTACAGTGAACATTATTTCAGCTTGAAGATCAGGTCTTTCATAGGGTGAGGGCTTGTCCTATTATATACATCACATACTTTGAAGAGTTTAAGGAGGCAGTAAATGCCAACACGTACGTACATGATCTTTCCACAGCAAAAAATAAAGTTTGTATACCAACGTATACTTCAAAACATTATCGGTCAGGTCAAAGAGCTGAACTTATTGGAATTATCCGTCTATTCTAGTCAGGACTGATACAAATATTGATACTGAAATTATAACCGATATTGGCGATACCAGATACATCGGTACATCTCTAGTTTTAATAGACTTTCTTCAATAGTTTCAATTTGCTGAAAAATTGTCTGTTATTTGTTTTATTTTAAATATACTTTACTGAACCATTGTATTATAAGACCTCAGATGCAAATTGTATTCGAAAAATAAGTTTTTGGATTATTTGATTTTCAAATAATTCATTTTCTATCGTTTTATTTTTATTTCAATATATACATGTATACAGTTTATGTAAGAGGTCGAGACTTTCAACAAAAATAAAGTTAATTTTTCTATTTAATATTCTTCACCCAGTCTGGGCAGCAGAATCAGCAAATTCCCGGATTATTGATGAATCAGTCGTCTATCAACAACAACAATCAAAATCAACAATCACAACTTGACAAGCAGTCACAAGAACAGATATCTGATCAAAGTTTGCTTAACATGCAGCAAAAGCCACCTCAGACCGCACAACAGATTCTTCAGCAACTTGTCAGCAATTTGCCCGGGACGGCTGGTGGAGTACATACTGTGAGTTTTTTTGTTTCAATATAGTGCAAGTGTATGGTGGCCCATCGTTGTCATTCGTAAAATTGAAAAAAAAATAAAAAATGAAATAAAAAACTTAAAATAAAAGTAAAATAAAAAAATAGTTGTGAAAAAACATAAAAAAAAAATAAAAAAACATTGCAAAAAAAATAAAAACAGAATAATAAAAAAAAACTTGAATAAATGTAAAATAAAAAGGTTGACAACGATGAGTCGCCTCGTGGCCCATCGTTGTCACGCGTTTCTATTTTGAGAAAATTTGGTTCTGCTTAGGACCAATGTTGTCATGCATAATCCTACGCGCACAAACGGTGTTCCCTGGGTTTCTAACTCATTACTGATTTTCTTGGGCAATAATCAATAAATTTAATTTGCAAATGTTTTATAAACTCTCCATGATACAAGTTAAACTAGAAGTAATATATATATATTTAAAATATTGATATGAGAATATAGAATTGAATACGAAAATACACGTAAAAACAAATTTCCCGAATTTTCGTACTCAATTCTATATTCTCTTATCATTGTTATAAATATATTACTTCTAGTTGAACTTGTAGCATGAAGAATTTATAGAACATTTTCGTTTTGAATTTATTGAATATTGCTCAAGAAAATCAGTAGTGAGTCAGAAACCCAGGGAACATCGTTTGTGTGCGTAGGAATATGCATGACAACGTTGGTCCCAAGCAGAAGCAAATTTTCTCAAAATAAAAACGCGTGACAACGATGGGCTACGAGGCGGCCCAGCGTTGTCAACCCTTTTATTTTCTTTTTTAATCACGTTATTTTTTTTACAATAATTTTTTTATTTTACTTTTATTTTAAGTTTATTTTTTTTTCAATTTTACTCGTGACAACGATGGGCCACCATTATAAGTGTATCAAAATTGTTCAAATTTTTAGCATTTTAAAAATTCAGTACTCAAATATTATATATTAATTTCATAGCCAGACAAACATTTGTTTCTGATGAATGGGTTTGCCCAAGGATTTTTCTGCCTTTTTCACTGAATAAGGTCTAGTCGGCAGCCGCTGATATGGACCTGGATCTTCCAGGCTCGGCTCTGCCTTGCTTGAAAGCACCTGACACGAGATTTTTTATTTGGGAGGAACTACTATTAGACGCTTAGCTCCTTAGATTGGCTACAAATGCTTAAATGCAAGAAATATAAATTAGGATGACGATATGTGTCCATCGGATCATCGAATGAACCCAGAATAATATATATTTATCCTAATTTTAATTCTGACAGATTCAATTAAACTCACAAGGACAACTTCAGCTTGTCAAGGTACCAGAAAAATCACAGGTATATTTTATCTGTAGGCTTGTTATCTTATCTGTGGTAATTTTTTAAATATGGTGTTTCATTATTATAGGCACAAGGCTCATCCAATGCAGAAGGCACAACTGAGATTGCCTCAGTAGAGGGTGGTCAAGTATTTAATCTTCCTGCGAATATAAGCACAGGCAATGACCAACAAAGTCAGGAAGTCAATGCATTGTATGTCAATTCTGAAACTTGATGATTTATCTGGTGAGTGAGCTCTACTTTATTTTCTCTTTTGTTTGATTTAGGGTTGTCCTAAACATGCAATTTGAGCAAAACTTTTCATATTTGTTCATGCTGCATTTTACACAAGTCAAGTTTCAATTTGCTTTCAGAACACCTAAAAAGCGTAACTTTATAGCAAAACTATAATGATGTAGTATATATCAGTGTTCTTTAAACTTTTTTCATTGCGACCCACTTGACACGGCCAAATTTTTGTTGGCAACCCTCAGAAAAATAAAAGGAAAATAAATTTAGTAATAAGATTGAAAAAATAATAAAATTGACAACAATAAGTAGTAGTGGTGTTAACATAATTTAATTGATGATAGGATCTTTTCATTACATTATTTATCAGGCTGTCACATGCTTCAATGCAAATTATATGAATATGATCTTTGACAGATTGAAGTAATGTTTCAGATGAATATATAGCTGTGTCATATTGAATACTCACCCTGCACAATGAGATAGAGCCGAAGAAAAAATGGTGATTTGGTTCTCAGTACCGACAAGTAAACGAGCCGAATTCAGTTAAAAAAGTACCATCCCATGGAATTGATTAAAAAATAACAAGTAAAATGAAGTGAATAAAAATGTTCATGAGTAATGAGTAATAGTTAGTTTTGCTGCCTGCTTTATAAGGTTGCCTTCCATTTGTCGAATTATTTTTTCATCTTATGAACCCGCCAATGTCTTACTGTGTATAACAATCACTGGACTAAATTCAGTGAAGCTGCAATGGAGTATTGCTCTCTTATGAGTTGGTTGGACACAAGTTTCGCAAAGCAATGAATAAATCCATGCTAACTAGTTTAAATTTTGTGGTTAGTGGTGTGTGAAAAGATTTCTGTCCTCTTTTGTAGTGGAAATTCCTTAGCATTTTAGTGTAGGCTAACAATCACTGCTTATTGATGTAAATGGTCAGCTTTATTACTTTCCATATTGAATTGAGAATGTTGCGCTTTGAATTTTATTGCAATAGTTTCAAACTTTTGTACTTGTTTTTATTTTTTGTGAATAAAAAAAGTCTGTGAAAGTTGTAGCATAGTTGTTGGTTGAGGACGAGGTTTATTTTAATCAGATATTGTATAGATTATGTGATGTGATGAAAATAGTATTTCACGTATTGTGTATCCAAGGCATGACCTTGATTTGGTCTATTGCCTGTGGGGTTATTAAGAGATGACGCAGTCGATTTTGGGGGTCTCCAAAATTTTGTGGCCCACTTGTGGGGATCTCTCTTCCTATTAATACTCGTAACCTTCTGCGGGAGTATTATATCCATACTAACGGTGAACATACCATGAATTCAACTTCATATGCTTGCTTCAACCATTTTCCCCATAATATATATACCCATGGCTGCCATCGATAGTAACCCCCAAAATAAGGACATCAGGAAAACGTAATAATAGAATAACAAATAACGAAATGTTATAAACAAAATGTAATCATGCCAGTGCGACCCGTGTCTAATCATACTTTGCACTAGAAAGGATTTGCTCCAGCAGTTCTTTTTTCGGACCTCCTGAAGTATGCGCACCAAGATGGCGCACAAACTAAACTCAGGTTGTGTACCAGGTTAGGGTTCAGGTTAAGCGACATCTTGGTGCGCATACTTCAGCAGTACCCTTTTTTCTTAGAAACTATCTGTTCCATCTCACATTTAAGTTATATTTTAATTCAAGTTACACAAACTGATTTTGGTCGGTAGGCTATTGTTTTATCATTGTGTCAATTAATTTGCTGTTATTATGCAATGAGAGCGCGTAGCAATCAATTAGGTTGTAAAATGGCATTTCTAGCAAATCGAATTGATCAGTCTAAGTAACTGGTATAAGAACCTTTACCAATAAAATAAGGACATTTCTTAGAAATAAGGACAAAGTTATCCCAAGACGAGGACCTTCAACATAAGGACAAATTTTAGAAATAAGGACGTTATGGCAGCCCTGTACATACCCCAACTTTCTTGTCAGACACTAATTTTTTCAAAATTCCGACGTATTTTTGCTAAAATTATTTATATGATATGCAGTTTTATACCTGCCGTAATTGGGAACGTTTAAAAGTATTCCCACATCTTATACTCTACAAATGGCAATCCCCGACAGCGCGGACACCAACAAAACAAGCTTTTGATTCTCAGGACACATTTGTCAAAGTTTTAAAGAAACTAATGAAGTCATTGGTGCAATAAAGTACAGCATCCCCTGAAATAGTTTTTTTTATCTCTGTTAGCAAGTCATAAAATAGTCTGGCAATCGTCTCCAATCACATGGCAAAAATCCCGTAGAAAAACGTAGATATTTCTTTTTGTTCGTCCGGTGGATCTGGTTTTGGATAATAGGCAACCGATATTCGAATAAAGAATGCTACTGTGCCAAGAATAAACGCTGACATGTAAATCCAGAAAAATACTCGATCCAGTATGAGAGCACAATATTCCCAGTCGTCGCATGACTAAATATAAAAAGAAAGGAATATATATACCGAACATCAACTGTACTGGTACAACTCGTTAGATGGCAATGGCTTCAGTGATCGGAATTCCGGCTTAATCGAAATATTTAAGGGTATTAATATTTTGTATGTCTGAGTTGATTGGCATCAAAATATCGTCATATGCCATTATTTAAAATCTGAGCAAGTAGAATTTTCATATTCATTCCGCGAACACAAGCTGGGTAACCAGAGATTGGGCCTGCGTGTTCCTAACGCTTAGCCCAATGCGCCAATGTCAAACAAAAGTTTCAAATCAACAAGTACCTGAGTGACACTAGAGGAAATTGGCCGCTGGTCTGTGTTACTCGATGTGAAGTATATAGGCTATAAGATCTCTCTATTTAACTTTCATTCGTAACTGTCTATTTCTTATAACTCGTTGAAACTAAAATACGAATGCTTTCATATATACCCTGGTATTGCGCAGACTCTTGTCGGCATTCTTCCGGTATAAATATTAAAATTTCGGACCTCCAGAAGTATGCGCACCAAGATGGCGCACAACCTGAACATAGTATGTGTGTAGTATTGTGTACCGGTTAGGATTCAGGTTGTATGACATCTTGGTGCGCATACTTCTGGAGCACCAAAATTTCTATCCCGTGCTATTTGTAACCTGTGCTTTTATTTCTTTATCCTTGACATGGTTTGAAATCCAGTTAACGCCGTCGACAGCAGGTTTATATTTATCTGGTACTGGTAAAAGAGCTGCAGGAATTGCTGAAGATTCCACTTTTCCATTTGCTGCCGGTGTGACTTCGGTGAACCCAGTCATGTCTTGAATGTGTCTTGTTCGAAATCCATATCGCTTCGCCTAAAATTGTTATTTCTTATATTGTAAATGGAAGACGTTGCAAATATATACAAACGAACCTTTGATTGAATGTGCTATAGATCCTTCTAACAAGAATTAAAATTTGACCTACTTTATTATCAAAAAGCATTTCGCTTGGCGCCCGCCATGCAGAACGACTAGCTTTTGCATCTTTTGCTGCCAGTTCCTTTAATCGTTTCCTCCTTCTTTCCATTGCTATACAAAAGGGAATTAGAAATGTAATGTAGCTTTGAGAAGTGAATACGTATTGTATTAAACTATTTACTTGACTTTGTATTCTTTGATTTTTGAAGCACACAAAATAATAGGACCTACGAAAATGTCATACCTAGTTGCCATGGGGAAGACGGTATAGGTCGTTGCACCTTCAACAGACGAGCCACGTGTCCCATCAAGTATTTTCCCATCCAATGAGGCATTCGATGAGTTGTCGACGAACGAAAGTGAACATTGCACACTATGACGCTAAAATGATGAGTGGCATAACATTTAAAACTAATAACAGACACCTATTGTTGTATTATTAAACGTTCTCTAATTATTTGCAGCGTTTTTCGATTTATACTTTCCGCGTTCATGGCATGGTGATTTCACAAATTGTGTCCAAATAATATATCTCCACTCTGATAATACACTTACCTAAACACTACACAATTTATGATGAGAGCCATAGAAAATATCAGGTAAGCAACAATCAGAGGAATGGATCGCGATGTTTCTGGCATTCTCTGTGCGATTAGGAACAGGAATACAGTTTCGCCGAGAAGTGTTGAAACAGAAAGTGTCATCTTTTGAGCTGTAACACAGATTAATACGCTGGGGCCTATTTCCATGAAGTACTACATTATTCGGCCATAACTTTGCTCAGAGATGATTCTCCTTTATTTCTCGCTTGCTTTCAAGCAAATTTTCACAATCGCGTTCACGCGTACATGATACCATGTGTGCAATGTTGACACTGTTACGTGAATATACATAACTAAACTATACACTCAAATTCTCGCAGCCAAATGATGTCAAAAGAGTCATATATATATTCAATCAATATTCTGTGCGAAATGTCACACAATAATACAGCAGACTATGTCTTTTATTCTGCAGCTTGAGGTAAACTATTTGATTCCAGACTACCGAAGTATCCTTAATTTCAAATCACGCTACCATGTAATAACTTATAACATAGCGCAGTTTATTTCGATGTTCGGGAGTTAAATTTATTTATACACTTACCGGATACAGCCGGAAGAAAAAAGGTGAAACAAGAGAACGTCATCATCAAAATGCAAGGTACAATCAAGTTCATGATGTAAAATTGTGGACGACGTTGCAATATAAAGTAGAATATGACGTCATCGTATGGGACATTACCTCGATATGTCATTGCGGTACTTATAGGCTTGCTTATGAGGTCCCATTCACCATTTTCCTGAAATGCTATAAGAATTTTAACAATTAAATTCGCTGCATTAACTGATAGTGTCCACATATGCCTATTGGCAAGATAAATAGATTACTATTACACTAAATACTTCATTGTCAACAACAGTAGATCTTGAATCGACAGCTTTTGTTAAAAATCGATCTAATCTTACCGCTTTTATCTATTGTAATGTAGTCATCAGCTGTCAAAGTCATTTCGTCAGAATCATGAGACAGCGAACGAAAAATCATTGAACAGTTTTGCCAGTCAAATGGAAAAAGAGAAACCTGTAAAAACAAACGTGTATTGTTTGTTACTCATTATCAATTTATACAATTTGCTACTTTCTTCAAATTTTGCAGTTTTTTCCTCCTCCAAAAAATTTTTTCAGCCGCCAAACACGGGTGCCTGTGACCTCTCACCCGTTTACAGTCAGTGTTCCGGCTAAAAATCCTGTGCCCAAAATTGTTTTTTTTCCAAAAACTTGAGTTATGTGAAATTTTCTACCGCATAGCTGATCCTGATCGTGTCGACGAGAACTGCTTCAAGTCTCGCATCAATCAGTATTTACTAACAAGCAATGCCACAATATAATTCGTTATAGTGTCAGCAGCTCTTGGCATTTTAGTGGTCGCCGAGATGACTATCTTCAATCTTTAGGTGAATTCTCGTGACCTTGCTTTGAGAAAATATTCTTTAAAAAGATCAGTGCAATTACAACTTAGAAACCGAGGAAAAATTTCCGATATAAATTATATGGAGTACTTTTCCTTATCAACTGAGGTTTGCAGTCTTCCTATATTTTTTGGATTTTTCAAGTATCTTTAAACACTTACCTCAATTTCGCAAGAACTAATATACAAAGAAGGCGGCATCCATTCCATCATTCCGTTAGGATATACCAGCACATCAGTGCGCAATGAAACATCGAACTTGTCATCTTTGCTGAATATATTAAAACAGCGAACACCTCTGAAAGCTGATTGGTTAAAATGGGACGGGGAGTGTAAATTGTTGTTGTTTTTCTTGTTGTGGTTATTTACTTAACGACCAATCGATTTCAAATTTTTGTATATAGTGGCTAGACCCCAAATTTTGCTGTTTTTGATAATTCACGGGCACATCTTTTAATGACATCTGGCACAATTCTCCATATATATATATATGACATTTGGTTCAATTCTACTTCCATCTGGCTGGGATTTTTCTGACAATGCGGTATTCATTAGACCTTAATGTCGATATATTGGAGCCTATGCACAGTTCCACTAAAAAAACAAGCTGATGTACGATAAACGCGTTTGGTTCGTCAACTGTCTTGAATAATTTTGTAATCTTTCTTTTTGTGTGTGTTTCGCACTGTTTCCCAATTGCTCCCGCCCTAACGGAGTGCGCGTTGAGCAACAACCGATTGTCACTGAGCAGAGGTAACTACGCAGTTGTCAAGTTGTGCACGACAGAAATTAGGAAAGGGAAATACCTGTTTTGCAGTATAATTCTCGGAACCCATACATCGTCTGCAGGAACTCTAGACACGTTGACTCCGCCATACTCGGATTCATTCCACATCAGTCTATAATCATACCACGTATGGATCATATATATTGACGTTGTCATTGCCTCAGTTTTTTCACTCTGTCGCAAATAGTTTAAAGTTAGACATTAATTAGTAAAGCTAATCGAATAATGGGTAGAAGAAACGTTATTCATATCGCTTCTCAGACCAATTTTAATGACTATTTTAAATTCTAGATTGATTTTAACGAGCCAAAAACAAATATTAAATAGAAATCAAATAGAAAAGGAACGCAAATGGCGCTTTGAGGGGTTCGAAGGTCATGGGTTTGTTCAGTGTTCTGACTTATGTTAGACGAAACCGCGGGTCCTAAATATACGGATTCACTAAGAGAAAGGGCGAGACAATAGACGAGAATAGATGAGTTCTTCAACAATCAACCACAAAGCATGCAGAACCCATTGTTACATTTGTGTTACTCTACTTGTCCCTAGTGTTACTGTTTGAAAACTCAATTAAACAAAAAAAAATAAAAATTAAAACACTTACCACAGCAATTACTTGAGACAATGTCATCGAAAGGTGAATTTCTGTTTTATTTGAATTTCCGCTTTCAGGTCGCGCCTTAAAATAATAAAATACTTATTTCAAGGAATAATATATCCTGATTACTTTTTTATGTTAAAATAAATAGTTGCGGTTGCGTCAGAAAAGCCTGTTTTTGTAACCTTTTAATGATAATTTTCAATTCCAAATATTGTTTGATTAAATTGGTATAGTCAATATGAATGCTTGTATATTTACATGGGAACTTTATAAATCACGATCACGACTACGATCGAAGCTAGAAAATGAAAGTGTTATCTTGGAGTATCCCAAATTTCGTGACATGGATTCTAAAACAACAAAATTATCATCACGCTACAAAGTAAACGCTGACCAGAGATATTTACTATATATGCTCACATTTTTATCGTAGCCATCTAAAATTTTTGATAGAACTCTGGCTTCATCCGTATTCCAATTCCCTTTTGCCAATGCGTAACATACTGAGATGAGTACAAGAATATAAATTATAATTTGCCGAGACGCAAACATTTGATCTCACTATTGTTATTTACTGTATTAAGATTATGAAAAAATATTTTTAGTGAAGATAGTTCAGCCTATAACATCTAAGAAACTTGTACAATTTATAAGTCCAATATACATTGTTTATTAAAAATCTAACAATTATTTATTTGAAAAAATAATCAATTATTGAAAAATCTATAAGCATGTTTAAGAACAACGGCACTATCTTGCTTATATTTTCAAAACGACAAAAATGAATTGTGGTACATAGACGTATTTTATTAAATGATAAGTCATAAAACTGCATAATGAGCTCAATTCCATTCGCTTTTAAATTTTCGTCTCGGGTGATTACAACAAACTATTCAATCATACGGCTTTAAATACAAATTTGTGCTGTCGTTTGCTTTCCCCTAATATCAATCTGACTGCCTTACGTCTGTAACCCATAGCTAAGTTACCTTAATCTACCCCTCAGTTGTTTTAATTTATTTATTAGGCTCGTAAACAGAATAATCGAGAGTTATGCTTTCCATACTAACGAACTTAACTAATTCATTTCTAGTTTCCATCTGTACGATGATAAGTTTAAATTATCATGTCAATTATGCCAATGAACTTGCATCTATATGCATAGAGCGTCACAAATACATCACGCTTTTGCTGTTTTCACCTATGACCTATCCTCGAATATATTACTTGTATGGTGAAGGCAGCTGTCAGTCTGGGAATGAAGAGAATGAATCATAAAATGTCCCACTGGGACATACATTGATTTACGGCGACGGAACCCTTTGATTTTCGATCCGCCAACTTGACAACACAACAAAACATCGGCAAAGGTGTTGACAGGGAATGAAGAAGATATGAATTATGGCGCTTTGATTAAAATAACAATATTTTATGCGCCCGCATTCTGAATTCAACATGGTTGGCAGAGAAGACGATTATAAATACCAATCTACAAACGTCGAATAAAACTGCCCGTATACAGATGAGAAAAATGTCGTAATAACATTTTATCTGTTAAGCTTTAAATTAGACTTATACCGATAACGCGTTATTAATTCTCTATCGAAATCAGGCGTTCTTAGGCGCTCCGGAAGTATGTGTACCAATATGAAGGTAACTAATTTTGTTCGCCTATTTTACATAAAGTTGTGTAAGGGACGGAAGACTGTGGGCAGGGGGTGTATTCACTTGGCTAACACAGACCTCGAACTCGTAATAGAACTAAAATAAGGAAAATCGGAATAGAATTATGCTTTCAACCATAACCTGGTACACGTGCTACGGGAGTACCCATTTTCATATGCCCGTGTCAGAGGTCATGAGAAATTGTTTATTGATCCAGCCCGTCTTCAGGGGAACCATCCAAGTGAGTGTGACAAGCCAGACTTGGAACGAGTCATCTTCAATTACTCAAGTAGATTCGTTTTGAAAATAACTGAAGTCAATACGAGTCCAGTTAACGCCGGGCGGAAACAGTTACACATCTGCTACTCATAGGTGTATTATTAATTCAAACTTTTTTATTAAAACTGTGAATGACCGGAATTTTATATCTATATGATACAGTCCGACTATTTGATTATAAATGCGCAAACCGTATTAGATATTTTATTGCGAATCGTAAATTTTTTATTATTATATATAATACAGATTTCATTTTTGTATTGCACATCATTTTGGCGGAGCTCTATTGAACTTTGGAATGAAAATTTGTTTGATGCTCATTTTACAAGCCCGTTCTATCATATTTGCTCGATTTTTTTTTAAAATTGAAGTTCACATGGAGTTTGAAATTGAATTAATTTCTAACGGCATATCTTTGTTTGAAAGTTATTACCAAAATACGGTGTAAAACATTGTAATAACCGTATGAGTCATCAAAATTTTCAAATGACGGAATGTAAATATTTATTTTCAGTACAAAAGATGCATTCAATTTTTAACAATTCTTATTGGAATACAGTAACACGATTTCCCTTGCTATATTAAAGCCATAAACTCGCGCGCTTGCAACTAGGATTTGACTGTAATGTGTAGTACTTTTATACATATCTCAATATTAATCAGTTGAAGATATTAAAATAGGAAAATCCCCTCTCGTGAATAATGTTTCGCCAATTCGCTAGTATTTTGGTTTGTCTCTGAACGAAGGATTTCAATCTCTGTAAAAAACCGCAATCTGCAGTTCGTGTATTCGTAACGTTTCTCCACATTACACCTTTAAAACGGTAATAACAACCTTTAGGTGGCGTTGGAATGATGTTATGACAATCAGAATTTATACTGATGCTATACTAAGTACGGAATATTTAGTTTTATAGAATGGCGGAAACGGAAAATCAGATCTCACTTAAAGTAGCTGATTATGTGGTTTTTGGAGCAATGTTAGGGATTTCATTAGCAGTCGGAATCTATTTTGCTGCCAAAGATCGAAATGCCAACGGAAGTGTCGGCAATTATTTGCTGGGCGGCCGGTAAGTACATCAATCACCACTATATTCTAAGATAAAACGATACTCAACTAAGACAAGAGAACAATGCGAAAATATATGAACAAGAAGACTAAAGCGAAACAGCAGTCTAGCTCAGGGGGCCGCAACTACGGGGTCGCGACCCAAATTTGGGTCCCTCCGTTCTGGGTCGCAAAACAATTTAAATGTGTCATAAATATGAGCATCGCGTCAGTGTAGCGTATTTATGTATAACAACTTTATAAAATTCTGATTATAATTATATATTATGGATGTTTCCCCTAGTATACACTTCGTCATTTACTGCCGTAACATTGGCCAATCAGCATAAGTGCACAATTTGACGTAACAATAAACATTTCAGAAGCGCTCAGATAGTTTTGCCATTCAGACAGTCTTTCGTGGTTGTGAATATTACCTCGTTTTGGCGTTTTTTGCGGGTTTGTTAGTTTTAAGGGTGTTTCGGTAAATATAAGTCCTAATCAAATAACTAAATAATCATTTTGCTTTTTCAAAGTTTTATTTTGAATGCAGTAATCAAAAATTAATCTAGAAATAGCTGTGATAGACTAAGCCTAACTTCCATGCGGCACATTTAAATGTAAGGTTGTTGAATGTATTGAATTAAAATGATAGTTTGAAACATATAAACCAGTTTTTATATATGCGCCAACTTGCAAAACCATTCTTGAAATCAGTACTAATAATTTTGCAATGGTAGAGTATAAAGCGGAAGAATTTTGCTGGGATCGAAAGTCGGGGAAACATTCATTACGTAGATGTTTGCATTGTTATTATTAATTGGTATTATTTTACTACGTAGACAATTGTGTTGCTTGGTAGCAATGCGAGGTTAGCAGTAGCCGTGTGGAATTGCATGATAAAGACAGATGATGAAATTTTTCAATTCAAAATTAAATAGTTAGGGTGCTGTTACAATTGTTATTGTAAGGCATTCTTGATTAAATTCAAAATTTAGCGGGGTTAAGTTTTAGTCACAAATAATGATGACAAACTGGTTACTGAAGAATACTCTATAAAAGCCGCGAGCGGAAGATACAAAGGAGAAATTGAGTGAAAACAGAACACCGCATGCACCTTCAAGCATCTTTGCGTCTTCAAGCAGTGGGGATCAACGCCCGACAAAGGACTCATCTTCTCACCCTCATCGGATAGAAATACATCACTCAAACCATACATATAAGCGGAAGTACAGCGAAAAATTTATAAAGCTTTGTTTCACGTATGTTCTTATAAATGATGAGTCACGTCCTCAATGTGTTGTTTGTTCCGATGTTCTTGCCAGCGGGAAAGCCTGAAAGCAGTAAAATTAAAACGCCATCTTACAGCAAAGCACCCAAAATTCATTGACAAACCAATAATTTTTTCCGCCGATTAGAAAAAGGATTGTTAAGCGAAAAGAAAACAATGACAAAATATCTAAGCAAATAACAAGATCGAAGCTTTTAAAAAGAAAATTCAACACTGGACTGCCCGAGACGAAAATGGAAGAATGGATATGTTTTCTGAGCTAAACGATTTTCTTGAAGAAAACGAGTTCAGTCAAAACATTGTGAAACAGTCCATAATCAGTCATCTTCATGATCTTTCGAAGTGGTTTAATAAATATTTTCCCGGAAACACAACACCACAGCAACACGACTGGGTATTATCACGTTTCACATTATCAAATATACAACATCTATCATCAGATTTGTTTGAAGCATTGGATGACTTGTCAAGTGATCGCGGGTTGAAGATTGCATTTGATGGCAAAAAAAGTTTGGCTGAACTTTGGATTTCAGTTGCAAAGGAATATCCGGAGTTATCAGCTGCTGCAATGAATGGTCTGTTGTCATTCGGAATTACCTACTTATGTTAAATGACCTTTTCTGCGTTTCATACATAAAAACAAATACAGATCAAAGCTAAAAGTAGATTGAAGTCTTCGAGTCTCCCAAATTAAACGTTGAATTTATATGTTGTGTTCAAAACACAACACTAATTATTTGCATTAGTCATAATAAACGCTATTATTCACGATTTTATGTGATGAGTTTCATATAATTTTGTACAAGAAAATTGCTAGTGTCAATAATAGTCTCAAAATCGATAACTAATTACATGTTTACCAAATGCTTGGGTCGCTAGAAATCGGAAAAGAAATTTTTGGGTCGCGCTGAAAAGTAGTTGCGGACCCCTGGTCTAGCTTACCTTTTAACAGTACCGGTACGTTCAGAAAACTTCTGACTTTCAAGCAGCACGAAAGAGGTCGAAGAACTGCTATAAATAATTTGTATGAATGTTAGAAAGGTCATCACACAAATTTTTTTTTAAATGACAATACCAACAAGAACAATAATGACAAAACGATCCATAGGTTCCTTTCGTGTCCAAAACTCACTTACTTAGGTTGTTTTAACTTCAATCTCTCTTAAAAGGATCAAAAAGAATGTTTGTGCCATTTCAGCCTGTATATATATAATATATATTCCAATTATACTTTGGTAGACACGGAAATTTACATTCGAGTGATGTTTCAATATGAAAATTGCCCCGTAACACGATAAATTTGTATAGCAATACATTTTTTAGAAAAATTTCATGGCTGGCTTCCGGATTCTCGAACTCTCTTACATTTCTATCGGGCGTGAGTGTTCTTGGAATTCCTGCTGAAATGGTGTACTACGGAGCACCTTACGTCATGTGAGACCAAAATTAGTTTAAGCATGAGTTGAGCTATCGTTACATTGTAATATTTGACTAACTGAGCAAAAATTGTCACAAAAGTAACAGCGAATAGAGAAACAAAACGTTAATCCTAAAATCCGTCATTTTGTCAATGATATAATTTTAGATATGCCTATGGCTATAACTCTGGATGTTCAAAATTGAAACTGAATTATATTTATTGTTGTACTCATTGAACACTTCTATGTGTGTATCACTCATTTCAACTCATCAAAACATTCGAGTGTTGGCCCAAAATTATGTGATTCTGATACAGGCTGTCCAAAAAGTTTCGTCCTCGCCCGATAAGGTCTTTATAATCAAATGTTATTTTTTTTTAATATAGAAAAGATTTATAGTCAACCTGTATCTAATTTAATGTTATGGATGTTCGATTTTGTAGTCCCAGTTTAGCATACAACAAAATTTAATCAAATTTGCAATTGGTATATATTGCTATGAATGGGGCGGAATTTTTTGGACACCCCGTATATATATGTTAAATTTTTCGAATAATTTTTTATTAGCTTAGTAAACGATACCAATAGCTTTTAAACTGCTGCGCGGTTTTGCAGGTTGTTACTGGGCATGCTTCTATGCAACATAGTCAGCGCTGAAATGTTTCTTCCGATATACTACAAACTAGAATTATCGAGTGCTTATGAGGTGAACAGCGATATCTTTCAAATTTATTGTTTTTTTTTTGGAGTTAAAGTTGGAAACCTAGAAGTCTCATCTAGCGCTTCAATTTGTATATAAGTTACAATAAACCGTGCATGTAACCGTTGTTTCACTTTTAATTTGCGAAATCAAAAAAATGAATTCCCATGCATGTTTTCCTCCGATTGCCTAACTGAGCACTTTCTATAGAAACTTTGTTTTCATTTATTTCGCATTGCTTCTTGTTTTACAGTACTTCAACGTTAGATTTGGAACAGTTGTTCAAAAAATCGCCACTACAATTTACATAGTTCAGACAATAGCCTATACTGGTGTGACAATGTTTGCTCCAGCATTGGTTCTAAATGCCGGTAAGTTACGCCAATGTGTAATACATAACTGGGTAACTGGGCGTAATAAGTAACTGGGTGAAGCCGTCTGCCGCACCTAGAAACACTACTAGCGAAAAGCTCTGGCTACGAAAAATCCAACTTACGAAAATTTTTCTCGTAAAAATATTGCTTAGGCTGACGTAAAATTTTCTTCATACGAATGGCCGAAAACTTGTAAAACGCGTGCTTGAAGAAGGAATGTCCAATTCGAATTCAATATCCAAATATCGCGACCTTCGAATATTGTTTTTGTGTTTATAAGTATACCGAATATGATGCACATATCCTAGCAACGCCGTCCACATTTTGATTTAAAACATTTTACACTTGTTTCATTTTTTATCGCAATCGAAGGCAGCCGCATGTAGCACGGAAATAAATTATCTTTCATCCCATTGGCCCGTATTTCTCGCAGGTACGTACAGAGTGTTGCTAGCGAAATTCAGGGAGAAGACAATAACAGATAAAACAAAAAAAACTAAATGAAAAAAAAATTGAAAACTTTGAATTTCATGTGTGTGTGCTCATTTTCGTACATTACATTGTCTCTCAGCTGTCAACCTTTGCCGCATCCACTCACTTCCTCCGATCGCCGTCCTCCCACTCTCCGCAGTCTTCGTTTAGCCTGTATACGCAGCTAGTTACTGGTACGGCTGGGAATGTTCGATTACGTGAAACTCGCCAGGATATTCGCATTGTGATTAGGGCTTTCGAAGATTAAAATCTCGGGTTTAAAAAAACTCATAACCGAATATGTATATGATAAAAATAGGCAACTCTCAAGAATCCGAGTTGTTGGTGTAATTAACGATATGTGCGTGACAGGGATATTTTTTCTGATTGACAAAAGATATTTACTGATGATGGTATTGTGCAATCATTTTTAATATACTTTCCAATTTTCATTTTATTCTATAACGTATTCTTTATAGTGGCAGAATTTTCATTGTGGGGAGCGGTTCTGTCCGTGGGGACGGTTTGCATTCTATACACCACACTGGTGAGTAGCAGTAGATATCGAAATAAGTCAATTATTTGGGCGTTAATATAAATTATCAAATATTATTGGTGTTCAGAGATTCATGCTTTAAATGAAACTTTTTTGTGCTTAATACTTCTACTATACTGAGTTATTGGTTCTGATCGTGAACTATTTATAGGTGACTGCAGGGTAATCTCGATCCCGGTAGAGTTCATGGTCTTACAATAGGAACTGAAAAATAATTAGTGAAAACGAAAATTGACTCTACTTGGCGAAACTCGATTTTTAATTCAAATTGACAAAAAAATTGAGCGAATTCAATTGCTTTTAACAGTGTATAGTGTAAATGGCTTCAAAAAATAATTATAATCATATTTTAGGGCGGTTTAAAAGCTGTCATATGGACTGATGTCATACAAGGTTGTGTATTTCTGGCGGTATTGTTGATAGTTTTTTTCATGGGTGCAGAACATGCTGGTGGATTCCAAAACGTATGGAAAATATGTCGCGATGGCGACAGACTCGATTTTTTTAGGTGAGTACATTATGAACATTACCGCTGGCACTGACTGACTTTTTAATCCAAATACGTAGAAATATTGCTATAAGTAGTTCACTACATCGCATTTTATTATGTCCATCGTGTCTATTTTCTTCACATAGAATCGCTTTACAGGTTTGACTTTGATCCGAGATATCGACTCACTTTCTGGTCTACTGTTTTTGGACTGGGAATGATGTGGACTAGTATTACATGCACAAACCAAGCAGTGTCTCAGCGATTTCTTTGCTGTAGATCAATTAAAGCAGGAAAAATGTGAGTCATTTTCGAGGTAAAAAACGCATAAAATTAGGCAATTGACTGGTTTAAATTTTTATTTCATATCTTTATTGGACACGAAATCTGCTTCTTGTTGTTACTGTTGTTGTGGATAACTTTACCTACTGGATCAATTGCTTTAAAATTTTCATTGTTTTAAAGATAGTTGCTGTCGGCAGCAGGCTATTCCTTTTATTTATTTCTGTGGGGTCTATGGGAATCATTTTTCACTTTAAAGTTTTGTGTGATAGCGTTGTGAAAGTTTTGCACCCCGTGGCGGTTCCGCGATCGAATTTCAGTTTTAATACTTCTTCGTTTTGGTTTCGTGTCCATATATCTAAGCATTGTTTTTTATTATTTTATGCTGCCATACATGCTGACTTCATACTTAATTCCCTTATTTAAACGTTCAGGTCAATGTATTTGGCAACGATATCCAGTTTACTGATAGCAATTCTTCTCTATATAATTGGCTTTATCGCGTACGCATATTTCGGAGATTGCGATCCTCTACTGAGTGAAAAGATATCAGCCGCAGACCAGGTATAGGCCTACTTTTTATTAAAATACGGAGGTAAATGAAGTCAATAGTATTCCGACCAGCTTCCAATGATTAGGACTAGTGGCGAAGAAATTTGACAACGTCATCTTAATGCAGTTGTTCCCAACCGCTGGTCCACGAAGCTCTTTTGCCGGTCCGCAGAGAATTTTGTTGCTTTTTTTCGGCGTAAACCCACTTGGTTACCGAAAAGAGGAATTTACATTGTTTTATTAGACTTTATTTGCCTTCGGTCGTATAAATGGGCGCTTTACGTCTTGTGGGCCTTGTTGTTTGGTATTGCTATATGAAATTTCAGACCGTGTAAATTTTTAGTATTGTATATCATAGTCTTTTCTCAAACCTTTCTGCTTTCGTGAACACAAAAGGTTTCTTGCTTTATTTAGTTAGTTGATCGATTCCATCTCACACACCTGTTTCTCTGACATAAATTGCATTTCAACTCTCATTCCAAAGCCCATCTAACGAGGGCAATTCTTCTACGGTAAATCTATATCTAGGTGTGATATCGTAGCACAGCAGCAAGCACTTGTAACGCTCATAACATATCATTACTCTTCCTATTCGTAGATGTTTAAACCAGGTTTACAAAATCAAAATCCAGCTACAAGTAATGTTCAATCAATTCGCGCAAACCCTCTGAATTCCACCACTGCCTATTTGTATTTTGATCATTCCCCAGGTTCTACCTTATATGGTCATGCTCGTCTTTCGTGATCTCCCAGGAATGTCTGGATTATTTATTGCTGGACTCTTTTCAGCATCGTTAAGGTATGCTTAATTAATATGAACTATGTCGCGCAGACACTGATACGGTTCTAATCAATGCAATGTTTCTCTCTTGTGACAGCACAATTTCAAGTGCATTGAACGGAATGACATCTGTAACTGTCGGGGATCTGATCAAACCTCATTTCAACTTTAGTGAAAACAAGCTTTTATGGATTTCGAAAGGTAAAATTCGTCTGTTTGAAATGATCGTTCCGATTTATGTTACACAGTTTTACATAACTGTGGAAATTTTTTTTACCCGAATTTTATGAGTCATGATATATTTTTTGTGAATGATGAGCAGATGATTGAAAATAATATTAACGGAGAAATCTTGCAATACAAAAATATCACTTGTGGATTATACTTACATATATAACTTATATATATATTTTATCAGGCTTGACATTGACATACGGCATCATCTGCATTGCATTTGCATATCTCTCTTCAATACTAGGCGGACTCATACAAACAACTCTGAGTTTACTTGGAATCTGCGCTGGGCCGTTGTTTGGACCTGTAGTGTTGGGAACATTGGTTCCATTTACTAATTCCATCGTAAGACATTTTATATATTTATTAATAACAATTTTCAGACATGAAAACATAAAATGATTATTCTTCTATTAGGGGGCGACAAGCGGAATGCTCATATCTCTTGCTTTTAATATTTGGATTTTCGTTGGATCCACAATATATCCACCACCTCCAGAATTTATAAGAGCTAAGTACATTACGACATCGGGGTGTCCTGTCTCAAATTCTACTCAGAATTTCACCACAATACCATTGACGTCTTCATCATCATTTCTCGCAACAGATACCGACAAAACATTGATCGTTTCCGAGGAAAGACCAGCAATAGCTGATTTCTATGCTGTATCGTTCGCATTATACGCCTTGTATGGCCTTATGGTTAATCTTCTAGTTGGACTCATCGTAAGTTGTGTCTCAGGTAAATTAAAGTATTTAATAACTTGCGAAAATGATATAAAGGTATAAGAAAAAGATATAAACTAACGAACAACAAGAGAGCAATACCCGAATACATGGGCACGAAAGTCAAATAACTAACCGCAGTGCCGGTAGGCTATGTGAACCACAGAGAAATATAGCCGAGCACCTAATTCGCTAAAATTAAAACGAAGAACACCTGTGACGTAGGCGGCCACGCTTGATGAAATAGAAAACAGTGTTCTCGTGAATTAAAGTAAAATAAAGGAAATTTCTCGGAGAAAAATTAAAAAATAAAATAAAAGTAATAAAGTTCTTGAGCCAACTTCACGCTGAAAATTTGAAATCGATTGGTACGTTAGTCCCGGAGAAAGATGATTTGTTTCCCGCCAAAACATTAAGACTAACAACGACGACGATTAAGCAAAGATATCCATATCTCCATTTCGTGTCCACTAAATATATACTCATTAGCATATTTGTAAATTGGCTCATAATCCGCAATGTTGTAAACAGGTGGATTGAAAACACGTCATCATGTGAATCCAAATCATATTTATTTGCCGTTTGAACACAAATTACTTCGATGGTTGCCAGAAAAATTTAGAAGAATTATGAGACCGAATTTTGTTACTACAGAGGTTTGTATAAAATGATTGCTTCACTCCATGGTATAGCTAATGATTATTGAATCAGATCAAAATATATACGTTAACCAATAGGTTATTTTCCAACACATTATGTCACTTAGGGGTTCAAATCTACTGCTTGAACGAAATGTAACTAATAAAGATAACCTGTAGATCAGCGTTTATAAAAACTTTGTCTCTTGTAAATAATAAATAATTTCAGAGTGAGATTTCACCGAAGCAAGAATTAAATCTGGAAGACATCAATAGTAACGGAAATACGTCTGGCAAAGAAAACCCAGATGGAAAACTAAACTCCGGATTTATTGATGATGAGACCATTATAACCACGATGTGAAATTGGATCGTACCTTGGAAGTCGTCATTTTTCGATGCAATCAGGCTAAACTTTCAAGTCAAGCAATATCAAAGGCATTCGAAGAATATTGATAAAGCTAAATCAGATTTGTTAACCAACCTGTTCTAATATGTTATACTAGCTTAAACACAGGAATTCGACATTTTGAAAATCTGTGATTGAAATGTGAGGATCGGAATGAATACAAGTGTGGAACACACATAAAATTGTAGCCTTTAAAAACGGAATTTTTGCTGTCTGTACTCATTTTTGCGTTGTTTTTGCCCAAATCTGTAGACGTTATCTAAACATTATTTTTTATTATATCATTATTGAATATCGCAAATATAATTCATACATGTCAATCAAGGTTACTCTTTCTTTTTAGATTCAAAGTAAGATATCAAACAATATTGCCAAATTGCCTTGAAAACATTTTGAATTGAGTGGTGAGAAAAACTTCTTAGTGCTATTCTGTCTTCGTGAAAGCATTGATTTTAATAAACAATTACATTTCTTTCGCCCTCATTAACTCGGCATGCACAAAAAGCATTCTTTTCTTATTCGACGCTTAGTTACTTTTTGTGACTTTTTATTCGAGTACTATAATCCCTATCTCATGCTTGTAGCTTGACGTGTTTATTTGTTCGCCTTCAGTAGGCATTTTTCATATTACTTTAGGAAATAAATTTTAATTCAATATTATTAGCTTTTGCTCTGGCATGAAATCGATTCTCATACAGATAAATGCAATATTTAAATCAAGATTGTCAACTTTTGATTGATGCTCAATTTACGGGCAAGTCTATTTATTTTCTATTGTTGTCATATTTGACCACAGCTTTTACAGCCTTTCATTGCTACCACCAACACAAATTTGTACAAATGTTTGACTTTAATATTACATAATACATTTCACACTAACAGCACACATGAAATTTAGAAAGTAGTACGATAACGTGATAAAAGCTAACAATAATTTTAAAACTTTTTCCAGAAATAGGGTAGAATATTTCAGCCTTTGTGATCAGAACTACTGTGAGGGAATAGTATTCGAATCACGTATTTTTTTGTATATTTGATAAAAACGATAGATTTAATCTGTATGCGCGAGAAAAATATATACTTATAATTGAGTGTAACGTTAAAATGCAGGCAGGGTAGTATTTTTTATCACGGGAATATATTTCAATAACTTGTATTTGGCATTGAATTTCGACGAATTTGCGTGTGTTAAGTTGTAGTATGTAAGCGATATTCGTTCCCACAAAAAGTTCCAAACAACGAGCATGTTGTCATTATTCATAGCCCTTCTCTTTGAGGTTTTCATGAATATGACCAAGACTACGCGAAATATTATTATACCAGAAAAGGTCTATTAGCATGGCCTGAGTAAAATACCCTTAAGTCTACTCTAGTGGAAGAAACGCGATAAAATTTTAGTCAAGTACAAATATTTGACAGCATCTTTAAATCTGTACAATGGCGGACACAGAGAACGAAAACGATATTTCATTAAAAGCAGCGGATTATGCGGTTTTTGGAGTAATGCTGGGGATTTCAGCAATAGTTGGAATTTATTTTGCTATCAAGGATCGAAATGCTAAAGGAGATGTAGAAAACTACTTGCTAGGGGAAAGGTAAATATATATTTAATATCACTTTACAGTATATACTTGGTGCCTATATGAGAGATATTGGATCGGATAAATTTATCTATAAGTGAAGGTTTTTAAGAGAATCTGCCTATGAAAAAATATAGAGTAAGTACTAAGTCTACTTGGCATTTTAATCAAGTTCGTAGTTTTATTATAAATGTAACTGAGCGCCCACTTGGAAGCTTCTAAAAGTTGGTTTCTTGGAATATTTACTAGAAAAATATCATGGCTGGCTTCAGGATTCTCGTCCTCTCTTTCATTCCTATCAGCCGTGAGTGTTCTTGGAATTCCAGCTGAAATGATGTACTATGGAGGAGGTTACTGCATGTAAGATCAGATTTGTTATCTATTTGTCATTACGTAATATTTAATTTAAGATTAATTGACTAATTGATTACAAGGAGTTACGAGGGCAAAAGATAAAAAGTTATGCCTTTTCGCATTTTCGTTTGGTCCTAATACTTATTTGATATATATATATATATACGTTTACAGTTAAGCGTCTCGAGTAGAAATTCAATTGAATTTGACTTTGTATTTATATTCATTCATCTCGTTATACTGAAATTACTTTACTTGAAACTTTGTAACTATGATCAGTTTCATTTTATAAAATAATTCTTTTTTTTCTCAGTAAACACTCATTTATTTTTTATCGGGTGTGCAGGTTGATATTGTCTATTCTTTTATGCAACGCAATCAGCGCCGAAATGATACTTCCGATATACTACAAACTAGGACTATCAAGTGCATATGAGGTGAATAAATTATATGTTTTTTTCATACAAAAAGTTGCATTTCTGCACGGCATTACTATCCTTCATTCATATTCCTTCGTGATCGAAGGTGAAAGTCGCATACGGATAAACGGGCACATAGATCAGCACTCATTGCAATATAGAAATTAAAAATATACTATTATTTACTATTGTTATTGAAAGTACTATCAATAGCCTACTGATCACAACTTTGTTTCCGTATATTTGAGCAATGCTCCCTTGCTTTGCAGTATCTCGGCCTAAGATTTGGTCCAGTTGTTCGAACAATCGCAACTACGATTTATATACTGCAAACAATAACCTACACTGGGGTGATGATGTTTGCCCCAGCACTTGTTCTAAATGCCGGTAAGTTGTATCGGTGACACTCATATATATGTTTATGCTACATACCTGCATTGGTCAGTCAGAGGCGCAGTATAGTGTGGCTATAATGATACAGCCGAAAATAATCATTCATTGAAAGTCAATAATCGCAGTCAACTTATGGGAGAATGCTTTTCTCTATACCTGTTTTGAATATTACACTGAACACTCCTGACTTCAATTTGTTTAAAAGCGTCCTAATAAACTTGCTCCTTTACTAATTATAAGACTATATAGTAGAAGCAGGTATTTCTTTACTGCTAAGAAGGTTTTATTTCCATGTTTTATCCTTATTTAGATATATATTGATCATTGATATCCTTGTCGCATATCGCATAATTTCAAATATTTGTATATACTGTTATTAACAAGTTATTTTAAATTAAAAAATTCCTTATTTGGTTTTGTAATATGATATTTGAGTTGTGACAAGCCTTTATGAGTCTTCTGGATATGATTTTATTTGTAAGTTATATTTAAGTAAACATCTTCGTCTTTTTATAATATGGCGTTTCAGTGGCTGGATTTTCATTGTGGGGAGCGGTTCTCTCTATTGGTGCGGTTTGTATTCTATATACCACACTGGTGAGTAACAATTCGAATAAGTCGTACTTGAATCTCTTTTTTTTTAATTTGAAATTTCCAAAATATTTCTCTATACAAAGATTAACATTTTGATTTTAAAATTCTCTGCCCTAATTTTGTAGGCATTTGATTGCAAATTTTGTTTGTTTTTCTGAAATCTTCCTTAAACCCCGCTTTACTTTTTTTTTCTTTTTAAGCAATAAAATTACCTGTAGAGATTGTCAATTAACAGCGGAGTTTACGGCCACATTCCATGGATGGCAAACAGTCTTTTTATTCATTAACGTCTATGTTTTGTGGCAATTCTTCTGTAGCCTGTTGTACTTGTATTAATAGTGCTTCTGTAGTATCATAGCATATTTATGCACCTATATATATTTAGGGTGGTTTAAAAGCTGTTATATGGACAGATGTTTTGCAAGGAACTATATTGTTAATAGTATTACTGATAGTTTTGTTCATGAGTGCAGAGGATGCCGGTGGATTTGACAACGTTTGGCAAATATGCCGGGATGGCGACAGACTTGATTTCTTCCAGTGAGTATAGTATACACACATTATTTCGAATTGACTAATTTTATAAAAACACGCAAAACTATTTTTAATCATTTTCTTTCGCTCTTTTTACAGATTTGACTTTGATCCGAGATATAGATTCACTTTCTGGTCGATTGTTTTTGGACTGGGAATAATGTGGACAAGTATTTCATGTACAAACCAAGCGGTGTCTCAACGATTTCTTTGTTGCAGATCAGTTAATGCAGGGAAAATGTGAGTTATTTTCAAAATCCTTTTATACTGCCTGTATACTGATGGGCACGAGTCTCCTAATTTCGAGGAGCGAGTCGATCTTCCCAATTAAGTCCAAATGCCACGAAAGTACTTAGGCCGAGTTTCAAGTCACGTAATGAAGAGTCATTGCTATTCAAAACAAACCAAATCAAAAAATAAAAAGTTATAACCTAGCTAGACTAGTAACAAGCTTAAATAAGCCTTCTGTGTTGGACTCAGAATTGCTCAGATTGCGAATGTTTGAGCACTTCCCGTTGGACGCTTTCTTGCAATGAACCAACGCTATTCCAAAATCCAGAGTAATAGTGAATTGGGTATTGACAACAATTGGCGTAGGAAACTAAGTCTATATGACCGGTTGTTACCTCCGGGTTCAAGTCGAGGGGTCATTTTGTTTAGAAAACTTGACTTGCTCTGAGTGTATGGGAGTCTTATTCGAGGCAAGTTAATGAAATTAGTTTCCCCAGCGATGTTATTTTATTTTATAATCTTTTCCATTTTTATAGAAATTTTTTAACGACTTTCCGAAATAGACTGTAGACAAGCAGTCACTGGGCTACTTTGCCAAAAGGAACTGATATGTTCTGAGAAAAATTGGAATATTTTTATTCCGCGTCAACTACCTAATTCATCTACTTAACATTATGAAAAAGGTCGTGAATTCAGATTTGATTTTCTAACCCAGTGGTTCCCAACCTTTGTTATATCGCGGCACACTATTGAGTACCTCAAATATTCGCGGCACACTATTGAGTACCTCAAATATTCGCGGCACACCTATCACGAAACATGAACATTTCTACGAATAAAGCCAGTTTCCAGCGGTGGCCCCTGTAATTTCGTCTATATTTAAACACATGTTGTTTCCGCTTTACAAAATTATCATTTCCCAAAAGTGCTGTAGTCGAACGAATGGTTAATAGTTACCAATATTATAATTGTTTTCTTACAATAATGTACACGAGAGCGCCTTCAAAGCACCTCACATTATTGTAAAAGATGCGCGGCCGCTTGAGTAATACGTGGTCTTCAAACGCATCCGGTTTTGCTCGCCCTTCTGTATTCCACGTTACGCCCTTATTATTATCGCAGGTATTCCCACTTTTGCACAACCTAATTCTTTTTTGTTACAATTTGATATGTTTTTCCCCTTGCCAAAATCATTCAATAGTGTTATTGTCGGCAAACGCGATAGAAATAGAAAAGGCAAACAAACTGTATTTTATTACAACAATTAATTATTATCGACAAAAACACTAAATTGGTTTGAAGTTGTTATAAACCGCTGGACGTATCTTTTCACGTTATGAATTTCGTGCAAGGCCCGGGCATATATTGATGGTAATGATCATAACATGTACTAGGTCGAAACGCTTATTCGACTTTTCAAGAACTATTCGAAAAAGGTAACCGTTTGTGTGTTCGAGATATGATATTTTAATCAAATCGAATATTTCGAATATTTTTAACGAATTGTCTAATATCGGGTATTTTTTGTATATATACAACTGGCATCCAGAACGCTAAACATTCTAATGTTGGTTAGCTATTTCCACCCGTCCAAGAACCAAGTATTACACAACGGCGAACGTCGAAGTTTGGCTTTATATTCCTGGGAGAAATATGCGTTAAATCGACAAAATATGTTAAAGACAGCTAATAAGGAGTGAATTCGGGATTTTATTCAGATTTTTTTTTATCTTTTGCGCCGTCTCTGATCTTTCTCCCTACCGTTTGTAAATTACCTGTTCCTATTTCAAGTTAACAATATTACCATATCTGACCCCGGAATGCGGATAAGACGACAGTTGACCTTCCTCTAATTTTACTTTTCTATCGTGCCTGTTTTATTTTCGTATTTTAAATAGTGAATAAAAACCCGGCAAAGTCAATGCGTGAAACCTGAACGTTATTTTGAGTTTAAATAATGATTCAATAAATCGGCAATAATGGCAATTTTACTAGTCAAATAATAATTCCTTGGTAAAATTTTGGGAAATTTTTGCACAATACTTTGTTACTTTGTTTGACATTTTCAATTTTACGAAACGGTGTTGGTGCGCTTTATGTAAAACTTGGAATTGAAACAATACCCAAATACGACTCAAATTTGTCGTTTCTGTTTGTTAGCAAGAGCCGTGGGTGATTCTCGCGGAATTCACGGGATTGGAAATTGGAATCACTTAAAATAAATTCACAAATGAAATTACTTCGCGTCGCACCTGGGAACCACTGTGATCTAACCTGTCACGTCAACACAGTTAGGTACAACTCATAATCATGGTGAACCTCATTTATTTTATTTTTTTACTTTTATGTTTAGGGCAATGTACTCTTCGTGGATATTTGGTTTATTCATGCTAATTCCACTCTATATAATTGGATTTATCGCATACGCTTATTTTGGAGATTGCGATCCTTTGCTGAGTAACAAGATAAGTGCAGGAGATCAGGTATTCTTTGTTGTGATCGATGATTTAATTTGTTATTGCAAATATTCGATGAAATTTGAGTTAAAAATCAATAAATACCTACGAAACTTAGATTTCAACCGAATTGCGACAAAGCAATAATACAAAAAATTTGAAAGTCCACGAACAAGTCGTCCTTTTTTTCGTTAGCCTTCGTTGCAAGAATTTAGACTAAAATAGTAGAAAGTTAAAATAAAACTTTTGTATTAGCAATTTTGTATTAGCAATTGAATGCTGATTAATGAAGCAAGGTATGTGCTGTTTTAACGCATGCCATCGCTGAATATCATTACTACCTAACAAGCAGATCTTTAACATTATATATATCAGGTTTTACCTTATATGGTCATGATCGTGTTTCGTGATCTTCCGGGAATGTCTGGCTTATTCATTGCTGGTATCTTTGCAGCAGGTTTAAGGTAAGTTTTGGCTGATTTGAACAGCTCGCCATATACATATAGTGAATATTCAGGCTAATAACCATATTGAAAAACATACCTGACTCCACATATACCATATATAAATTTTCTTTGTGGCTTAGAAAGGTCCCTTTAATATCTACATCTAATCTCAATGCAATGTCTTTATTGTGTACAGCACAATTTCAAGTGCATTGAATGGAATGTCGTGTGTAACTGTCGGAGATCTGATCCAGCCTCACTTCAATTGGAGCAAAAATACACTTCTGTGGGTTTCGAAAGGTAAAATTGATAAATTATAAAAAAAAAACGAAAATTAGGGTTATTCCGTTTTTCTTCACAGAGTAGTAATGACAAAGTCATTGCAAGTTAGTCATCTGTTTTTCCTGGAGGTGGACGATTGTTGGATCATGAAAAATTATCGTTTTACGCTGAGCGGCAAAACATTTGAACTAATTGTACAATTAATGGAGAAAGCTAAAATAGACTTCTCGCAACATATAATCAAAACAGTTTCAGTGAAACTTCAAAGAGTAACGTTTGGAGTTTCCGTAATAAATTTTGACTTCCGACTCGGAAAAATTCAAAATGTGGAGCTCGATTCTTATTCTGGGTGTTGTCTCCAGAATTGGGTGGACGTGTTCACATTACTATTTGTCGATTTGATTTGACAATCGTATCGGATTTTGACATCGCCTTAGATTAGCATGATTAATTAAGGATTGTCAACATTTACTTTGTTCATCACTATCATTTCATTCACGTTAATCTCACACAATATTTTAACACAATAAAAATATATTCAGTCTGGGTATCCATTTAAATTGAGAATGTGAATTATATTATTTGTATAATATCAAGAATATAATTTTCAGGCATAACACATCATATAATTTCTAGAATATTTGTCTTATTTTGCTCGCATGACCATGATTTCCACACGAAAGTGCTGTAAACATATCGCAAGTGAAAATGTTCTACTGTCAAGGACTTTTACTGTTGTAAACATTTTCTATCAGGCTTGACGTTGACATATGGCATCATCTGCATTGCATTTGCATATCTTTCTTCGATACTAGGTGGACTCATACAAGCCACTCTGAGTTTACTTGGAATCTGCGCTGGACCTTTACTCGGACCTGTGGTGTTGGGAACACTAGTTCCTTTTACCAACTCTGCCGTAATGATTATTTTTATATAATAATGAATAATTGTAACTACTTTACCTTGATAATGGTATGTTAACAGTTAAAACGTTGTGAGTGCTAATAGCAAATACCGTACATTTCTACAAATTAAATTGATAAAAAACGAAATATTTTCTCCCATTCTAGGGTGCGATAAGCGGCATGCTTATATCACTAGCCTTCAATATTTGGCTTTACGTCGGATCCACAATATATCCACCGCCTCCAGAATTTATGAGAGCCAAGTACATTACGGCATCGGGGTGTCCTGTCTCAAATTCTACTCAGAATTTCACCACAATACCATCGACATCTTCATCTACATTTCTCGCAACAGATACCGACCAAACACTGGCAGGTCCAGAGGAAAGACCAGCGATAGCAGATTTCTATGCTGTATCGTTCGCATTATACGCCTTGTATGGCCTTATGGTTAATCTTCTAGTTGGACTCATCGTGAGTTGTGCATCAGGTAAATTGAATGTGAATTATTTCGGCCTTATAGCTTGTGAAAATAAGATTATACACCAAGATTATGTTAAAAATGGGACATATAATATAATAATTAAATTAAGTGAATTTGAAATTTTATTATCCGCTGTGTTGTCAACAGGTGGATTGAAATCACGCCATCATGTGAATCCAAATCATATTTATTTGCCGTTTGAACACAAATTACTTCGATGGTTGCCAGAAAAATTTAGAAGAATTATGAGACCTAAGTTTGTTACAACAGAGGTAAATATTATCTATTTTTCACTAGAGAGTTACCTAACAATGAGGATAACTATACGGCCTATTTAGGTTAGTCATTCAATGGAAATAAATATTAGACAGGTGGTATCATAATTCCAGGCAATTGATAATGAAAAAACTTTGCATTCCGCAAAAAATGCCGAGGTACTCATTATCACCTCAAATATTTCAGAATGCGATATCATCCAAACAGGAACAAAATCTGACAGACGTTAACGGCAGCGGGTATTTGGAAAACGGCAAAATTTCAGATAAGTCAGACGGAAAGCAAAACTTTGGTTTTATCAATGATGAAACTATTTCAACCATCATGTGAAATCACAACATGGTATCTTCCTCGATATATTGACAATATTCTGTCCAGAAACCCCGTCATGCATTTTAGATTCATCCAAATTACAATTGCTAGGTTAACGCTGAGAACCTCTGACTTCTGTTGCTGCTTGCTATAGCACATAGGTTAACATAACATGAAAATAATTATGTTATTGTAACCAAAGCCCAGAATAAATAATTTTTGTGAAAAAACATGTTATTTCAGTATATTCTGAGAGCAACACTGGTTGTTAACAATCGTTTATCTGCAGTCTATACGCCATTGTTTTATTGCTGATTACTTTAATTCTCGCGGTTCTGCAGCTAAAAAAGTCTCCTTCAATTTCCAATGCAGTCTTCCAAATACCAATACCCCTAAACTCCTAAGTATTTCGATATCATCGATTCTCGACACGATGAAGTTGTGTCAATAAGCCTGCTCTAGGTAAATTCGGCATCACATGGACAATGAATGATTAGATTATCGTTGAAATCAAGGCATTTTTATCGGAAACAAATGGCTATGTTAGAGAGATTTGTTAACCTGTTGCTTGAGTTGTTTCAATATTTAGGGGCCTACACAACTGCATCAATCCCCGCCCTGTCAACTAGCCCATCGCTAAATGTATTTCTTGGTACATAGCATTTTTTGGTTTTTGCTTCCGCTAATATTTTCATTCTACTCATATCTGCACGGTATGCCACGCTAATTTTGCAAATAAGTTTGCTATCCGAGAATAAAAATAATTTAAATTTATCGGTATCTCAATTAAAGATGGCGTTGCCTCGAGATGGCCAGAGGGTGCATGTGAAAAGGACCTTCCGCGTTCCGCCTCTAGTAATTTTCGTAGATGCACGGCTCTCGCTTTTTTGTTTATTAGCACTAAGATGATTTAAAAATTAGGAATCGACGGTAACTAAACTAAACCAGAATGCGCTTCGTCTGACATGACTTATATTAAAAAGTCATGCCAGGCGAAGTGCATCAGTCGTGTGCCAGGTATCTTGTAAACACATAACCACTTTTACAGCATTACCTGAAGAAAGTTTCCACAAAAATTTTATATTACATTTTGCGTTGATCATTGTGGTATATCGTAAACCGCAGTGGTTCCCAACATTTTTTCAAACGACCCAAATTTTTAATAAAAAAATAAATTTTGTAAAATCTCGCGATCCAAGGATATACTCACATACTAAACGGCGTGTAGTGCTTTTTATGGCCGCAAAATTACAGAATTAATTGACTAATAAAAAAACGTCTTTTTACATAGAATTTATTTCAACAGAAATTAAATCAAATTTGCACCGGTGAGGATGTTGCGCTTGTTTGTCGTTTGCGAGTTTTTGAAATCGTGACGGGGTCGCGGGGGTTTATTTAAACGAAATAGATGCTGCTAAGATTTTACACCGTGATACTCCTCGTATATACAGTTACCACTGAACTACACTACAATACCAAATATAAAATAAACATTACAATTTCCTAAAAAATAAAATCAACCTTATAAGCTTGTTGAAAAAACAACCGGAATCAAAGTCATGGGGAATTGGAAAGTCAGGTTTGTTCGTGTTAGTGGCATTTCTACATGTTACCTCGCTTTCTGCTCAGACTGAGTATTACATTGATCTCTATTGCACACAAGCTCAGTTTATTTCAACTTTAAACACATACGCCTGTATATATATATTACTTGAAAATTATCAGTTCAGATTTGCTACTCCTCCAATTTGAATGATGTTTGTACAAGAGCAAATTTTACTCCAAAAGTTTATACGCACCCAGTTGAAGTTAGGTTTTTTGTTCCAGCGGCTTGACATGAATATCACAAACATTTACTCTTGGCGGAGTACCCAGTGCGTAAACTACAGCATCTGCAATATCATCGGCTGTTAAGCCTTCTAAGGAAGATTGAATTTCGTTTGCTTTCTCTGGTGTCCGGTGGTACATCCTGTGAAAAAATTCAGTTTCAACGGTTCCGGGTGAAATGCACGTCACCCTGATACGAGACCCTCTCATAATCAGCTCGTGTCGCAGTCCCTTACCAAGGGCGGTAACGGCGTGTTTTGTAGCTGTGTAAAGGTAGCCGTGTGGATTGTTTGCTTTCACTCGGTGCCCGGACATGCTGTTTATGTGTATCACATGACCGTCGTCGACGCCACCGCTCTCCATGAGTTTTACAGCTTCACGAGTGCACAAACACAATCCCAGTATGTTTGTAGAAATCATTGAGTTCCATTCAGTCAATGTTCCAGATAGCAACGGTGCGGGATGGCAGAGACCTGCGCTATTGACACATACATGAAGAACCCCATACTTTCTTTTGATTTCCCTAAACATGTTTAGAACTTCGCTTTCGGATGTCACGTCACATTTAACAGCAAAGACTTCTCCTTGTTCATTTTTGTTCCAAATATTGCAAAATTCTTTAAGCTTTGCATGATTTCTCGCACATGCCACCACTTTCATGTTGTGTTTCACTAAGTGGCCGACAGTAGCTTTGCCAATTCCTGATGATGCCCCGGTAACCAATGCAATCTTCCCAGCCCATCTCTCCATAACTTGGGATAACTAATTTATCGTCTTCGTTGAGATTTACTATGAGCTTGAATAGACAACTCGTTCTCCACCTTGTAAAAAAAATGCTGGTTGGATGCCTTTTCCTAATTTTTTTTGTTGCAAAAAGAGTAAAAATGCGCTAAAACGGTCGTGTTTGATACTATACCGTGAGCGGCTGGCAATTTCTCGAATAAATCCGTTGCATGGGAGTGTCTGCCTGAATCAATCAATACAGAAAGGGGGAAATGAACCAGACTCCAGTATGACAGATAGGGAAGAACCAATGAGGGATAGCTTAATTCAAAGTTCCGTGACAACTGAATGCATCATACATAACGTCGCTGCAAACACATTTTTTTATACGTCATGCCTGATACCTAAACAGCTAATGTAAAGAAGCCTACAATCCAATTTCAAACATTCCAAAAAGGGTTTGTACGAACCTTCTGAATGCCATCAGTGCAGCAAATCCTGATCTTGCATAACCAACCACTGAATAACTTCATATTTCCTGTGTCATCGACTTCAAATGAACGAGTTTTATCAATAGCAGGGAATATTGCAAGTAGAGTACGGTGTACTCTTTGATTCAGTCCCAGTCTTTATGGTCATGGCAAGAGTATTAAAGTCACAGCGAAATGCTACTTAAACGATTAACGGCTGACGCTTTTTAACAGTGTAATGAATGAGAAATGTGATACCTTGATATAGGGTTTTATTCAACTTAAGTTTACAGCACTCTTAGAATTTAAAGTAAAATATAACACAAGTAAATGTTATTAAACAAGAAAACAAATATGTAGCGAATTGCTGATGCTAACAGTAAACGGTCCAATAGCTAAATGAATAAAGTTGAAAAAATTAACACACTACATCTACAGCACAGCGATATTTTATGTAGCGAAAAATATAATCTTCACTCACTGAAAATTTCAAAGCAATTGGTCCAGTATTCGAAGAGAAGAGCGACTTTATAATGATGACGAAAAATAACAACAAAATATTGAAACGATCGAAACATAACGATCGTTTCGTTATTTTGTTGTTGTTCTTGTTGTTATTTTTCGTGTCCAACAATTATTTACCAATGTTAATTTGCTTCACTGGTGTACTTCATCAAAAACGTTTTATTGCGATTACTAAGATAATTGCATTCATAAGACAAAACGTCTTGAAGGCGAAATCTAATTTGTTTAAACAAACGTTGAAGGGAAATTAGGCACAGACAAGAAAAATTGATTTGCTTTAGGTTATTAAATATTTTCTTTTCAAGTTTTCGAATTTTCTTTTTGCATGATAATAAACTTCATATTCGTCTGCCATTAAGTCTTCTTTTAGCTTTTTTCGTGATTCTGGTGTCAAAAAGTCTCTTTTTATGCTTTCCGTTGTTCCACTTGTTTCGTTGTGAGTCTTCCAGATATCAAGTGCGCCTTGAAAATAGTCCGGCAACATCCACTCAAATAGAAGTAAAGTTTTCTCAAATTCCTCTAAAACCCCGATCACTGAGTACTTTTCATCGACATGCCTTTTCGCTATTTTAACGCGTGTCGCTGATCTTATTTTACAAGTATTGCCCATCCCACAAAAATAAAATCCCATGTTAAACATCATCGGGTTGTGCCTGTTACAAACGCCTATCTCCTTTAAAACACAGTCATTAATGTTTTCTCTACCTGCCTTTGGTGGACTGCGAGATTTATTTCTACTGGCATCACCATATTTTTCGTAGTTAAAATGCGAAACAAAACGTTCAATCGGATCCCTCACGATGTTGATATAAACGGGACGAAGAGACTCCGGGTACATGTCGAAATCAACATATAAAAGATGCCTTTCATAAAATGTTGGGGGAAAGATATTGATAATATTTTGTTGAAGTTCCTTCAGTTCCACTCCCTCAAGTTTGCGTTTATAAATTTTGTTGTCTGATATCACCTTTATTTTATTTCTTTGTGCGATGTTGATCGCAATGCTTATCAGAGATCTACTTCCACATTTTTCTATTCTGTTATAAAACACGTTCCTATTTCTCAAATTGGGCAACGGATATTCCCTCGATAAAGTTTGCCTTTTTGGCCTCCATGAAAGGCCAATCGTCTCATTCTCGTCCAATTTCCAGTAATCCCCAATTTTCAAGCAAGCTACCAAGATTATAAGAACCCATAAAATCCATCTAAACTTTGGGATCATGGTTGGAATCGACGCATTTTTTATGAATTATTGTCCAGAGTACGAGTCTCCCCCGAGGATAAAATTCAATTTCAGAGTGATCGGGTTTCAGTTATTTGAAGCCGAAACGCCTAAGGGCTTTCATTACTGAATACATTTTAATAGAAAATGCAGGCTTGTTCACACAGTTGCATGGAAGCGAGCAAGATTATCGCACGAGGACGTTAAAAAAACACACTATATACACACACTGATTAACCAAACTTATTTTTCAGTGAATTTTTATAAATGTTATGTTCGAAGGGCACCATCAAGTAGGTATCTAGGTACATTTACGAATTTATATTCATATAGTATATGGATTTCAGATTGTACTCATCTCTGGTTTTGATGATTGGAAAATGGACAAACGAAACAGTATGTATTCGTAAAGTATGTCAAAAAATCTATCTGTAATAATATATCAATTGCGCGCTGAAGGAATTGGGCGGCTGAAGGCATCACGGTTTGATATGGGATTAGACCAAAATTCACCAATTCCATATCACAAAACTAATTATTTTAATTTACAGGCTATAGGTGTACGATGAACACGTCCTTTTATAACAGAATGAATTCTGGAGGTTATCGTTCACTTAGTTACTAGATGTGCCACAAGAGCCATTCCCGAGTGCATACAGTACTATGAATGATGCCGGAGAGTCAGACAATACAGGAGTTCAGCGCTTTCTACTGACATCCAAGTCAAAATCATATTTCCATTGCAAGGCCACTACGTGGTAGTTTACTAGACCAGCAGAACTTTTATTCTCAAGTGAAAAACATAGATGTCTTGCAAGCATTCAAGTTTTGCATTCGAATTTGAAGACAATTTTAAATCAGCTGAATAACAAAGTCAGAATTGTTTTCATCGAATGTAGAATCAGTTTTTTTAACTTGGAATCGGAACTAAATGGAGCTCTTTCCTCATCTCAGCAACACCTACTATTACAGTACATTATTTTGGTTATTAATCAAAAAAAAACACATGTGCTAATTTTGCAAAATGTATTATATGAGCAAGCAAGCTACATGACTTGAAATAACCATACGCGTAAAGACCAAACACGTGATAAAGATTAAATAAATATACATCTACTATCAAACAAGAAAAATAAAGAGAAATTACACACCAGCAATGTACAATATTCAATTGCAAATGCCGAAAACTAAATCAGACATTGGCATGTGATAAGTGATAAGATGTGATAAGTCATGAACACATACATTTAAATGTTCAATGAATGGATAATGGCTTCAGCAGATTATACTTCTGCCTGTTCACAGTAGGCAAAAAAGTCATATTGAATACTTTTTATGCACCAAGTAAGACAAAATACAAACTCAGCAGAAAACGAGAAATTACCAGCCTCTTGCATAACCATGGTGTCTTGCCAAAGCCGGCAGAGTACAAATCAGAAACATACATATCCATTTTAAAATGCTGAATTATTTAAAATAGGAATTGAACAAATGTATAGTCCAAAATAAAAAAATTAAGGTATCAGGGCAGTTACTAATACTGACGAAAAAATATAAACAATCAACTACATGTGATGGATTACTATTTATCATGCTATCATTACAGACTATTGTCATGCGTTTGGTGAGGGCAGGCTATAACTAGCAAGTATTTCAAATTTGTGACTCTATAACTAATTGCTCACAATAAATTTGAATGTAAAAATGAATGGTCCTTCATTTGACAGTACATGGAACATTGATTCCAATAAAACAATTACTTGTTCTGTGGCCATAACTCAGATTGATAAGTACAGGCTCCGATAATGGAGCCAATTTACGTTCAAAATAGAACAGAGTATGTCCATTACATCAGTCAAGTACAAAAATTAAAATTTTAGTATTCAACAATTTTAATAAAATTGACTTTTGTGGAGCACAGTCGTAATAATGTACTGATGATTCCTCTAATTTTAAACAATTCGACATTCGAAAATTTCCAAATTTCGAAAAAGTATTAATTATAAACATCACTGTCATACGAGACATATCACTTGTTGAAAATATGCACGCCATTCAGAATTTGGCAATTCTGAGAAGATATCTTCGATTTCACAATATCATCACCAAGACTCAATACAGTGGAAGGACAAAACAAAACAATTGACAGGTGGACACAAAAGTAAAACAGGAATACTTAAAACAAAATCACAAAAATTCATTTTATTTTGCGATGATACAGCACAAAGCACAATAATTGCAACACATTATGGAAGACTTTGAAGCGACACTCGAGCAAATATTCGAATGACTGTTCAATAAGCAACGGATCCAATATTCTAATTGCATAAAATTTTGACTACCCAAAATGCAGAAGCAAATAGGATGCACCTATGACAGAAATTTTTCTGAAAAAACATTGTTGGAAGCAAATGAAGTTGTCCTGTTAAAAGACGTCCACCAAATGTAGAACCGAATTAAAAGGATAGAAGCCACACGATCACCTCTTTTGCTTGAAAACTAAAAATTTATTGGAAAAGACAGAATTTAAAATGTTAACATCTTTCAGTTCGAAAAATGTGTTACCAATATATATAGTTCAAAATTTTTTTCTTTTTAATTTATTTTGAAAGTACTTAATTCATATGTTTCAATTTAAAATCTATTTCCTACTACAAAAATATAGTCACGAAAAATTTTTTCTTGGGAAAAAGACACTTCTAAGCCAACAGTGCTCATTTGTATTCATTCTGAAATCTCACGTTATACCTTCATACTTTTTTTTATGTCTCAAGTTCCAGATGCATATGAAAGATAGTGGAGGTATATTTGAACAAAATATGGGAAATGGTTCTACAAGAAATTATCAGTGTCGAGTGAAGAACAACATGTACTATAAAACGATTCATGCAGGAATAAATGAGCAGCTGATTTTGATTCAGAGGTTGCACTAATTCGATTTAGAAACGAACCAGACGTGAGCTCTTGGAATGGCAGGTGTGTATAATCATAATCAAAATGACAAAATTCCAGTTCAGGGTTGTCCAAAACGAATCAACTATTCGAATACATCCGAAATTCATTATGTTCCATATAGTAAATTTTTGAATTTAGAAATAATCCAAAAATTTTTTATTTAAAAATTAGGAATTTCAAGCCGTCAGACAAGCAGATCGAAAACATACAATACATCAATTGGTAACAAACTGCACAGACAACCAATGACATTTGTTTGTGTGATCAACATGAAGATATAGTGAATTATTAAATTTTCCACATGAACTTGCCCCCAATTTAGAATGCATTCAAAATCCCATATTCAAAATTATCTTTTCAGAATTTATTAGGAATATTAAAATATTTTGGTTTGGCCATCCTTGTACCAGATCCACCCTTTATCAGAAATGATGGAGCGAAGCTTTTTAAACAAAGTATCGAATTGCTGCTACCAGTAAAAATTTTTCCAGAAAAACTTCAGAGTCTAAAACAGCGATGTGTGCCGCTCGTCCAATCATTGTATTTGCATTGGCTGTCGGTAACGCATGAACGACGTGGTATCTGAAAACATAAAATATTCATGACTCATTGAACTAAATTACATTTTTTCCTCAAAAAATTCATACAATAATAATATACTTTATTGGACACAAAGGATCTGTCCAGGAGGCTTGCATTAGGACACAAAAGTTTCCAAGACGTTACCTGACTAAATTCAATTTCTGCTTATTGAGCACTGGCTTCATAATGTTGTTTAACATTTCCTGGTATGGTGGTCCAAGAGTTTTATCACGAAACGATTGTTTGCACATTTCAATTCTTGCTGAGTGATACGGCACGTAGCGATCGGATGCTGATGCCACGAGTAGTATATTACGAAAATACTCGAGTCCTATGAAGAAATGAGAATAATGTGAGGGATAAAAAAGAATTATTTTTATAATTTATACTTATAGTATAACTTTATTAAGTGTATTTTGCAATGTATATTGTGATATCATTTATGGGTCGGACGATGTGTTGATATTTATTTAAATATTACATGACATTTACGTGCCAATTGCACATAATGCATTTTCTTGCATTTCATTATTATTATTTTAATTCACTGTATTTATTATAAAAAAATCATAAATTATTAGATAAAATTACATAACACCATAATCAGCATACTCTATGGTGGAGTTTCATGTTTCAAGATTCTGACTTTTTCAATAAATTTTACTTCGTCACACAACTATACCAAATATACCTACAGTAAGTTTCTTGAATATTGAAGTTCTAAAAATGTCATTCCAGTACTTGCTTGGGACTTAATTTTCCTCATAAAACACATTATTGTTGAGCACATACTGACTTGCAGCGGTTGAAACTAGAGTTAAAATCCTTAATCCCATATTTCTTACCTCTTTTTTTGCTCAGTTTATAAACATAAGTTTTCCTGAGATCTGCGTGATCCTTGCAAGCAAGTTGAAGAAGACAAGCTGATTTCTTCCATTTTTGAATCAACCAAAGACCTAAATAAAACAAGATTTTTACTGTTCTATTTTTAAGTAAGACAATATCTTCAATAACAATTTTGATGATACTGAATTAATTTGTGTTAAATCCCAAACTACCAACAAATTCGAAGTATACTGTAATGAAAGTCTTGGCAACACTATTTCCATAAAAGTCTACTAAACAATCAAAACAAGCATTGAGAATTAAAGAAATTTGAGAATATAAACCAAGGATGTTAAAAACAAAAATAATATTTGAATCAAGTTGATATTCATTGTATTTAGTATTTTTAATTCCACCTTTTCGAATTTAGGAATCGTTTTGAATAATTTTATTCGAAACGACATCAATCACTTTAAACAACTGAATTCTCATCGTGAAACCAAAATTGTCTTCATTTAATTAAATGGTACATTGAAATGGAACATTATTTCGTTTAGGTTAGGGCCATCCCTGTATGAAACTTGGGATTAGGTAACATAAAAATATTTACTTGGCTGGCCTGGGGGCATTGAAAATACAAACTCATGCTAAGTGATAATATCTCAATACTCATATTACAGGGTGCCCTCCAAAAAAATAAAAATAAAACACAGAATCCAGGTCATTTGGAACATATTCTAGAGCGAACATAACTTTTGTGAAAAGCGTCCTAGATTACTAATACTATACAGAAACAGAAATTCAAATGTTAAATAAATTTTTTTCATTTTCGTAGAATTAAGAATTTATGGATTCGTTTTTTTAGTCACCACCCTGCATTAGATCAAGCATCACTCTATAAACTTCAGTTATCAAAATATACAATATTTAAATTAATACCTGTATTTACAAGTGCACTGTTGTTAAATATAGTTCCGAGGTGAGGTCCAGAAAATGACAAAAATGTATAAAATCTTGATTGAAGATGTCGCATACGATCATGCGCGACAGTCGATCGAATCAAAAGACAACCCAATGAATGTCCGATGAAACTAAAAAAAAATTGATGAAAAAATTTTCTGCCAAACTGCAGAAACATGATATGCTATATACAGATCCACAGGTGCTCCCGAAGTATGCGAACCAAGTTGGCTGACATCGGAACGTAACATGGGTAACAGGTTAGGGTTAGGCGATAATTTTTTTCTAATTTTCTTTATTTTAGTCCTATTATCAGTTCGAATACTAGCCAAGAGCCTCCCGTAGTATTCATACCTAAAATTATGGCCTAACCCTAACCTAGTACACATGTTACATTCCGATGTCCGCCATCTTGGTTCGCATACTTCGGGAGCCCCGATCCACAAGCGAAAAAAGGATACATAGACTTCATCTCACGAAATCCTAACTTTCATTAAAAAAGTTTTTATTGCTATTGGACATGATGTGGCCATACAGGTATTTTTCTAAATTGTTGTTGCGGCGACTTTTTTGTATGAAAATAACGCTTCTTTTCTTAACTAATCATTTCGAATTGCCAGCACTTAAAGATGGGAGTGGTCGCCAGATTCCTATGAAATCCGACACTGTCGCCGTTTATTTAATTCAATTCAAGAGAACACTTCCAACCACTCATTCCAACCATTATTACTGCCTACGTCACAACTGTCCTTCAGTTTGACTTTGCGAACACAGCAGCATTTTTGTGAGTCACTCAGGCTACCCTACCGATACTGCATCTCGTTATTGAGATCTTCATGTCCATATATATTCGAGTATTACTCTCCAATTTACCTTATTTTTGTTGGTTCTCTGCCTGAAGAATAATTCATGTCGATATAATCCAAGATTTCTGAAACTAAGCGATCCGTCATGGTATCAATATCGGCATATGTATCATCTTGATTTGCTCGAGCCATTAGGAACGAAATATTTGAACTTGCTGGAAGTCCGAGTTGTAAATAAGTGCGGACGAGTCGAAGATCATTCGAATTACCTTTAAAAGTTAATTATTTGGTTTACTCTGAGAACTAAAATTGTATATCGAATTCTTTCTGTCAAATTCTGAATTGACTAGGATTATGAGCTAAGATTTCACAATAGCATTAACTTGTAACATTAACAAATATTGATACCCGAATATCCCTGTATTTTAGTGATTTAAAACCCTTGTATATTTGATATAAATATTTTATAAATACAGATAAATCGCTCCCAAATTTACCTTCATATTCATTACTTTTTATAGTAGTAGGCTTGGTGGATAAGCTCACCAATGCAATGATTGCTAGACTTCCTCCATTACAGAGTGATTACTGTCACCGCTGGGGCTTTCACTTCCAATTATGCTTGTGCTACGTAACAAATTCAAGAGTGTGAATTTACCCTATACCCACTCTCGACATGTAACCAACCATATTGTCCCAGTAGAATAAAATTAGGTTATCTCACATTTCAAGATTTTGAGAAACTCTTTTTTTTTGTAGACATTAAGCACTACCTAAAATCAGAACTAAAACAGGTGCAGGTTTGACACTCCATTTTTATGAATTGTCAGTATCTATTACTATGCAACTCACCATCAAGACCATGAACGCAGACAACTAAATGAGTTTCATCATTGTTTGAAAAATTTCTTGTAACTGATAATCTCTGTGTTAAATATGGTGACAGAGGAATAGGTGGAGGAATATCAGAATACAGAAATCCAGGAAAATGAAGTCGACCAAAAAGTTTACTCTTCTCTGCGATATGTCTGAAAGTAAAAGTCAAGAATATTAGGCCCAATAACTTTCACAGAAACTAGTCAATAAACTGCAAAATTTGAGAAAAACAAATCAAAGACAAAACGAGAATATCGGTCAGAGACCGAAGACTTATCGATCGAAAGTTAGGGGATCCCCCAAAACAGCGCTCTTACTCCATAGTGACACCTTGTGTCTCCTCACTAATTAATTAACAACTCGCTAATTATACGACATAATTCATCCAAAATCAATAGGCTTCTGGTCCGACATATGATGAATGCACATGCAAAATCTGGAGCAGATCAGATCTCGCTTTCGTGAGATATCGCGTGCATCTAACAGACAGACAAATACCTATCAACATACCCACCGATTAACATCGATAAGTAACAAGTAACAGTATCAATTTTTTGAATAAAGCAACGGCTCGCAAACTTTTTGTTCGTGTGGCCCCAAATTATTATGGGGAAAAAGTCACAGAGCACAAAAATAAGTATGACGCTGCACCCCCAATGGGAACCGCTGCCCGCTGTGATAAAGGATTATTTAGAATATTTGTTATATAGATTCAAGTTGAAAATATAGACCAAGATTTTTCAGACGGGGCTTTTAAATTAAATTGAAGTAAATAATCTGCAATTAGTTTAATTTTTTGACTGTGATACAATTACTATATTGATATTGTTTGTTAATTTTTATATTCAAATGTGCCGCCTAAAAGAACTGATGACAACAAACATCTGAAAGGCAAAAATATGTATTTTAATAGAAGAGGTTCACATGTGCATTTGTTGAAGGCCACAGAACTAGAAAGTTTGAGAACTACTGATAAAGATGAAAAAAGAAAAGATTACTGGTATGAACAATTTGGGTCATGACTTATATTCTTACTTTTTTTCTCTCTCTTTTCTTAACGGAATAACAGCATTAAACAGATCTACACTCGTCAACAGGGATGATTCTGATCCATTCAAATTGACATTGGAAGGTGGCTGGAAAAATATAAGAAATTATTTTCAACATATCAATATAGAAACATTCTATCACTGAACAAACGGTTGAAAAATATTGGAATTCCATAAACAAAGAGAGAACTATTCAACAAATCCAAATTGGTGGATACATTTTACTTTCTGAATTATCAGAGCAGGGTTTTTGAAGCAAGGACTCATCGATTAGGGGATTGTATTTAGGTGTGGTATTACTAATATACTTCACTCATATTTATTTAGTAATATGATTGTAATACTTCTTCATGATCACTGAAACAAAGTAACTAAGCTTCTACAAGAAACATACCTTTGTAATCCTTGTTTTGCTTGATGACTTTGCAGTGACTTTAGTTGTTGTTGTTGTACTATTTATACTTGTTGGGACAGTGGACGTTGACGTACTAGGGATTGATGAAGAACATGCATGGTTGGCATCCTAGCAAAGAAAAATTAGGAATAAACTTCCACGTACAACTGAAAACTAAACTAACAGACTATTACTAAGTATTTGTTTTTTTATATATATTTTGCCAGCTAAAGAATATACTATAATATTGAGGAATATTCACATACTATCACGCATGTTGAATGCATAATATGCGTCGGTGGGTCATATAACCAACTCGACATCAGACATCTAGCTGTGAGACTCTTGAAATATCGAGTTTTTGCATAGTTTGTTAACATCATCTTTGACAGTAGTAGCAACCCTTAACTGACTGGTCAAACATTATGTATTTTTACCTATGTGAGCACCTTTTTAAACATAAACTGATCTGATTGGGATTCTAAACTTGATGAGGTAAATCTGAGTGTCGAACAAGGGCCGTAATATGGCCTGCGGGCCAGGCTGCCTGTTGTACACCCCTGAACTAAGGTGTAACTACCGTTAGGCTTTGAATGTGGCAATAGCTCTCTATAAGGAACGCCAATCAAATATCTCTCGTGAGTTGTGACCAAATCAACAAAATGATAATTATTAAAAGTTGATGAAGATTGGAATACTCATTTCTAAAAATGGAACCGTACAAAAAAGGAAAATTTATTGTTATTCAAAAAAAAAGTCCTTACTTTTTTCGAAACACCATAGTTAAGTCTAGGGGTAGGCTCAAACACGGCATCTCGCATTTTAGTTTCATTGTCATCCTGTATAAAAAGAAGAAGACTTTTCTTACTTTTGCCTTTATTACTTATCGATCTTAAGATCGGTAAGTATATTGATAGGTATTTGTCTGTATGTATGTATGTATGTATGTCTGTCTGTCTGTGTGTCTGTTAGATGCACGCGATATCTCACGAAAGCGAGATTGAATCTGCTCCAGATTTTGCATGTGCATTCATCTTATCTCGGACCAGAAGCCTATTGATTTTGGGCAATTATGTCGTATAATTAGCGAGTTATCAATCAATTATTGATATAGTGATCTAGATTTTTGTAAAGCGAGAGAATTTTGAAACCCGCCGAGTGTGTGTGTGCGATGCGCAGTGCGCAAGTTACAAGAGCGGATGAATCGAAACTGCAGTTTCTGTTTTGGGGATCCCCTAACTATCGATCGATAAGTCTTCGGTTTCCAACCGATATTCTCGTTTAAAGGTTACCTCAGATTTATGAATTAACAAAAGCTAGTTGAATGAACCACCATTTTGAATGTTTGTCGTCATAGTTTGTATACTATCTTATTTGGCTCAAATGGCACCTATTTGGCATTTTTGATGTCATACAAATCTGTCTTAAGGACAATCTTAAGAACAAAATATAAATTCATTTTATATTATAAAAATCCTATTCATAAATTCATCCTCTCCCTAAATTCCTTATTACATTTCTATGTTCCTTTTCAATAAAAGGTCTGAAATATATTTTCAGTACGAGCCTGATTTTATGATTTAGTTTTAGTCAGTCTGATTTCAAAACAAGGGTGTCCAATTGTCCCATTTAGTGTAATAATTGTGCAAGTTTTGCAACATTCAAGATATAATAGAATGCAAAATGTCACGCTACCTGTATAGTCTGTAATTCTTGGATGAAATCAGGATCAGGAGGTTCCTCTGAGCATTCCAATGATCCAGCAAATACATGGAGTGACTGACTTCTCTGTTTCACTGGAAATGCAAAATCAAGATTTATGAGTAAATGAAAGTGTTGATAACATATTACGTGAATACCCTTCATATTTACCATTTCAAAAGCTGTAAGGCTGTAAAAACTTTACGACCAAATTCGGAACATTTAAAAAACGACTCTGATAAAAGTTGACAAATATTTGAACTCTGACTTCCAATTAAGTGAAATTCGAAATCCTGCTCTAAATTCAGAGATAACTAAATTTGGACTACAAAAACTGGAATATGCAAGCTTTCTCTGATTGTTTGTTGAGAATGCTCTGTTAAATTGTTATTCAAAAATCTGAAATAGTTTTTTTGTAATTGAAGAATTCAAGAAAAAGGAAATCAATTCCAATATAGAAAAAACATTATTTAGTAGTAGGTTTGTCTATAAGATAATGATAAAGTTGACCCTTCAAAAATAATAAATAAAAATAAGGTACTCCTGAAGTATGCGCACCAAGATGTCGCATAACTTGAACCCTAACCTGGTACACAACCTCAGTTCAGGTTGTGCGCCATCTTGGTGCGCATACTTCAGGAGGTCCAAAAATAATTACTTGTATTTTGTATCTTCAGAAAAGTAGATCCTTGAGTGTTGCCTTCAGGTGGGACAGAACCTTCATCAACAGGAGGTAGTTTTTTTAAGCTTTTTAATTCTGGGAAGAAAAGTTCACCGACGACCTCCTCATCCAGATTATCAATAAATCCATTAATGTCGACACCGTTTGTCTGTTTGTCCTTTGTCGAATCAATATTTCCGTTTGTTGTTTCTAGCTGGTTTGTGATTGCACTCATGTCTGGCTGAACTCCTGTCGGAGTTGATTGGTCGAGTTGGGCTGTCAGTGTGTCATCATCAGACGGCAATAATGCTGATAAAGAAATGAACAATTTGAAAATGTAGGTTGTGATACTCTATACTAGGTATTCGATTATGGCAAAATGATTGTTTCTATGTGCTCCTGAAGAATCACAATTTGTATGCCAATTTTCTTTGTCCAGCTGAGTCTACGAGCAATAATTAATTGAAAGAAGATTGCTGGACTCTCAGTCATAGAGTGGAAAGTAACATAACTGGTCCGTTACGGCTTCCCCCACCATCAAGTCTTGGAGTAAACTGGATAACTGAACCCATGCCCAGCATGGACGAGAGGCCATGGTACGCAGCTTCATCAGATTTCCCCTACCTCAAGATAAATATTGAAACCCTATTTTATCATATTCAGTAAGGGTTCGCGTTGAACAAAACTGCATTATACATTGCAGTAGAATACAATTAATTGAAATTCTTGATTGTGGATTGATATTGCTGGAATGGCCAGATAAAACCAAAGAAACCGGAAGCAATTCTCAAGAGTACCAATTTATTTGAATAAGAGCCATTCCTAGCAGAAAATTATAAAAAAAAAAAAATTACATCCGCTTATGAAAATGTATCCCCTTTTTTATATATATGCCGAAAAATCTATGTTTCAACTTGCTAGAATTTTTCCAAACTAGCAATCTAGCATATGAATTTATATAATAAACTTTTAAGGAAACCGGCAAAATAATAGTTTTTCGGTGCTCCCGAAGTATGCGAACCAAGATGGCGGACATCGGAACGTAATATGTGTACTAGGTTAGGGTTAAGCGATAATTTTTTTCCAATTTTTCTTATTTTAGTCCTATTATCAGTTCGAAGACTAGCCAAGAGCCTCCCGTAGTATTTATACCTAAAATTATGGCCTAACCCTAACCTAGTACACATATTACATTCCGATGTCCGCCATCTTGGTTCGCATACTTCGGGAGCCCCAGTTTTTCAGATACTTACATGTGTTGGCAACAGAGACATCTTCTGATGAAGCGTGTGATATCTCTGCAATTGATCCATTCTTCATGGGTGACGAAGTCGACAATTCACCCCAAGCTTGAATGAGTTCTGGTTCATCAAATGGACTGAGGTCCGTCGTCGTTACAGTTCCCCCACCTGGGTGTAGACCCATGCCATATCGAACCCGGTCCAAACCACCTAAAGTCGTATGAGAAGTCTTTAACCTTCCATGGGGGCCACATGGAACAGTTTGAACGTAATTTGAATGTGGCCGAGGAAACTGATTCGGATCGTCAGATCCCGCCTGTAGTCTCTCGATTCCCATAGAATAGGATTGTGACTTGACCATTCCTGTGAACAAATTCAAATGAAACAATAAATCTCATAATAATTTAACGAGAATATCGGCCTGAGACCGAAGACTTATTGATCGAAAGTTAGGGGATCCCCCAAAACTTCGCTCTTACTCCATAGTGACACCTTGTGTCCCATCACTAATAAATTAATAACTCGCTAATTATACGACATAATTCGCCCAAAATCGATAGGCTTCTGGACCGACATATGATGAATGCACATGCAAAATCTGGAGCAGATTCAATCTCGCTTTCATGAGATATCGCGTGCATCTAACAGACAAACAGACATACAGACAGACAAATACCCATCAACATACTTACCGATTAAAATCGATAAGTAATAAGAAAATGTATTTCATACATAATTTACATGTTGCCTCTGCCATACAAAAGTACTGAATGACCTCTGGTGACCAGCATGGCAGTATTTGTAGTTTTACCCAAACGGCTATATCATTATGCTGTGCTGTCATTGGTCAGTTAAAGAGCGGAGAAAAAAGGATCGAAGCACAGATATACCGGGATAACAATCAAAAATAAATGAGAACATGAAGTTTACACTAATAAAGCAAATTGGTCAATTTATACATCAATATCGGAAATGTAACTAAAAACTGAAAAATAGCCAACAAACAACGAAAACGAGTCACAGCCTAAAACCACGCTCAAAATCCTGTCTGCATGAAAAAAAGCGTTTGAGTAACATTACTTACCGTGATATATATGAGCAGCATTAGGATCATGGAGAGGGCTTTCAACAGTGGATGACGTAGTGATCATTGACGCAGTGGGAATAAATGTTGTTGGTAAAGTTGTTGTTATTGCTTGGGACTGAAAATAGCAAATGTGAATAGAAAATTTAAAAAAAGTATCATTTGAATTTTTTGAAACTACAGTGTTCCACCCATTTTTTAGAATTCAGAACCTGGACTGCAAAGGGTGGGAAACTTTACTATCGACTCTAACTGGCGATACTGGTAGAATGAATTTTTACTTTAGTTTGTGCAGTCATTCTTTAACAGCCTGAACAATTGGGCAGCTTCTCCGAGTATTAGTAGAAAACTTTGACTATCACTAATAAAAGTCTAAAATTTTGAAATCGACGGAGAGTTTGAAAAAATGAAAACAAAGCAAACTTGGATTCCCGACTCAACAGCTTGATCAGGCTTCCAAGATTTGTTTCAAATTTTCTCTTTACACGAACAGCATATTATAAATAAAACATTTATCCGAGGTGATACTGATAAATATGAAATATCGGTAACACAAACATACTTAGAAAGGATTTGTTCTGAACCAACCCAAGGCACTTGAACACAGATAGTAGTACCAGATCAAGAATGAAAATGTCCAATTCATTACATTTAGCCAGACAAAATCATGCAAAAATAAAGCATAGCTTATCAGTGAGCTGACGGCAAAGCTGTGAAGTTGGAGTATGAGGCTAGAGTTTTGAATGATTTTACTGGAGACAAGTTAAACTTGTGAATTCTCTTGATTCAGTATTCAAAACATTTAATGGTGATAAAGATAAAAAGTTTCTCCAAAAATTCAAAATGCATCAAGTTTACCAAACGATCTTAACACTAGCCTAAAAAAGAAAGCTGCACACTCCCAAAGATTTTGTCATCAAAATTTGATTTTCAGGCCCGAGTCGATTGTAAATCTTCCCATTTTCCACGGCCTAACTGACAGATAGTAGTTACTGCCCTAAGTAATACCTCTATATTTTGAACATCACAGAATACAGGAACCACTTACTATTAGGGATCCTCTAGCAGACAACGCGACTGGTTTTTCACTTATTCCAGATTCAGGTTCTTCAGATGTTTCTGCTCTCAATAATGCTCTGAAACGACTTTCAGCATGTCTGCTTGAAGTTGTAAATCCTCTTCTCATATGATGATGACCGTTGGCTAAAGTTGGAACTTCGAAAAGGTTTGGTTGGGTTTCTGCAGTGGTTGGTCGGATGATGATATCATCAAATGCATCAAGACTTGAATGTGATGATGCAGTGCTGGATTATAGAATTAAAAAAATAAAATGAACACAAAATTCAAAAAATCTGTACAATATAATAATACAATTAAACAACCTAGAATTACACTCCGATTTTGGTTGTCAATTGATATACATGAAAAACGAATTCAGAGTTCTGTACAAATTTTATAAAAAAGCAGCATGTCAATAAGCTGAGAAGACCTGGAATGTTTCTAGTTTGACATGACTTACATTGATTTGTTACATATTGACAAGCCAACTAAATTTCTAAGCAGAAATGTTAATACGCTGTTTATACACCTGACCAAATGCAAAATTTAACAATCAAAATATCTTTCCATATGGAAATATAACTCAAATACCAACACATAAGATAGTTATGTTCAATTACATTAAAAAACGAAAGTGAAATGACTAATATAGCAATCACAATCCAGTAAAATTTCAGTCAAAAGTTTAAAAAAATAGTAGTGATGTCATAGGAAGATGTGCCCATGAAGTACAAAAGCTAGCAAGGTTTGATGTGAATACCAGAACTCAAAGGTATTCGAAAAAACAAAACAACAAAACAAAACACCGTATTTTGGTAAAGAAAATTTGAAATAATAGGTCCATGGTTTCGAAAAATAGTAGTTTTTTAATAACAATACAACAAAACAATTCCATTTCATGCGTAAACTATATAACGAAATTCTTGAACGTCGAGAGATTTAACAGATGGAACTTAGTTTTTATTTAAACAACTCAACACAAATAGTGAAAAACAGACTTTATTTACCTGGAACCGGGTTTGGTTTCATTTAAAACAGAAGATGAATAACTTCTGGATAAACTACTTTTATCATCAACGATATTATCAATCCCATCTGAATTTTTTTTTCCAATCCGCATTAATTGTAATAAACGTTGAGCTGCATAAAAAAATAGAATGTCATCTTCTATTGCTATTTTGAAGATAACTTAAATGACACTTTTTTCATTAGAGGCATTGGGCCAATTTTTGAATGGATTTTCCAATATTGAAGACTCGCTAAAGTAAAAATGACACAAAAAATGAAAATGAAGCAAAAAGCTACAAAGAACATTTTAAGTTATTTGAAAAACACCTGATTCATTAATTAAAAAATGGGCATCAAGTAGATTTAGCGGATAGTTTAGTCCACCAAATTAATGTTGAGTGGAAGCTCCCAAACGCATCGAATCAAAGGTCACCGAGTCCACGCCGAGCCTTGGACCAATTTGCGTTAATCACCGAGTTAAGTCCGACTTGCGGGTCAGTTGATGACGAGTTTGAGTCTAGCCATTTAGATAACTACAGTCATTTAAGTTTATGAGTAACATCCTCTCGAGTACAACTCCAGTTGAGTGAATGATTTGAGCCACCGATAAAAATATTCTCAGGGTAATCAATAACAAATCAAATACATTGATAAGGACTGATACCTCCTTCATCAAGACTTCGTCTGTGATGGGTGAAAGATCTTTTCTTACGTTTGCTATTCTTATTTGCTTGAGTATCGTTAGCTGAATACGAAGCTTTCAATTTTGTGTGACGAGATTGGGAAGATGACTTGGACTTTGAAGAGCCTGGCAAAATCAATAGTGTGTCTTATGGACCATAAGACATAACTAGAGAAATGTCAGCGAAATCCAGAAAAATTTTAATAGAATTTTAATTATCAATCATATGAAGCCATATCATTGGATGATAAAAACCAGCAAAATTTGGTATTAAATTTAGGCTCGCACACAATAAAAATAAATTTGCAGAGACTTTTCTCATCTTCAACTATTAATTTGAAATCAAATGGTCTGTTGATAAATTTAAAAAAATTCTTGTTTTCATTTAGGTGCCATAATAGAATCAATTCTCCAATTAAATAATTTTTTTTAAAAATTAATTATTTTAAATATAATATATTTTTACCACTAGATGTTCCAGAGGCGAAAGATTTATTATTTTTTGAAGATTGAGGTTTTTTGTCACCGATGCTTGATAAAAACTCAGCTAACGTTACTTTTGTAGATTCATCATCCGATACACTCAATCTCTCTGCCCTGTGAATACAATTTAAAAAATCCCAATCAAAACTAATTACAAAGGCTAAAATGCAAGATTATAAGAAGTAAGAAAAGATTTTCTTCTGGTCGTCATAAGCAGATCATTCTTGGCAAGATTGAAATCAATTGCTAAGGATGTACAACCACAGAAAACCCTTTTTAACCACAGACCAAGCTTATTCTGACATGGAACAGAAATAGATAATGTAAGCTGATTAGGGCATTTTTACTTGGTTAATTAACTACTCTGCTATTTTGTAACAGTAAAGAGACTGAGTGTGGCATGCTTTTATGCTTTAAAATTCAGTTTTCTCAGAGTTCAAAACTAGAATCAATGGCGAAATTTTCATACGGTCAAAATTTATGCCAACTCTGGAGCTTGACAGTTTATAAATCTTCCCAGACTTTACAGCTATGAACAGACTAAAGATCACCAAATGTTTAAGCAATCTTTCGACTGAATAAAAATATTTACAGGCAAATCACCTCAATTTATAACTTCCTTTTCGTTTCCGAAACAATCCAGAATATTTTCTTCTTTTCTGAGAAGCATTTGTTGCAGTTTCCTCTTTATTATTCATAACCGTAGTTTCACAGACTTCCCCACAACTACTTATACTGCTGTTTGGTGATTTCAAATCTCGTTCTTCCTGACCTGAAGTACAAAAGGCATGACTGAGAAATTTCAGGTAAATTTATCAAGGTAAAGTTATCTAAATCAAAACTACCTTATTTGTCATCAATAACAATAACCAACAATAAGGTTTCATACGAAATGATTCAATTGTATAGATTTGACTATTTTATTATATTCAATACCAAATTCAATATGAAGTAATGGATGACTAAAGATTAGAAAATACCTCAAAATACCCCTATTGTACAATGAAAATTTTTTAAATAATAACAAAGAACCGGATTTTCAAATTTAACGAGAGAGAAAAGGAAAGCTGATACGAAGAAATGCTGACATGGACTCGACAAGCTAACAAAATAACAAAGATGGTTCAGACAATTCCATTTAATAGGGAAATTAAATTTAACTGAAGAATATGATTTCTCCATTTACAATGGAGGCAACAACAATAAATCTATCCTTATAGTGTTAGTGTTATCGAAAAATAAGTCATCAACGAAAATAAAATCAGGTACGTGTCATGACTTCAGTTGAATCAAAATTGAAAATGTATAAACATATTTAATAAACAAAAAATTTGGTGAAAAAAAAATTTCACAAACCTAATATTTCAGTGACATTCAGAAAACCATTCTGATTGCTATTGGAGGTAGATGATGGCGCTGATGATAAATGTTGAGAGGAAGATGTTGCAGCAGATCGAGAAAATATGCCCAAGCCCGATCTGTGTTTGAAAATTGGTTCTAAAAAAAGCAAAAATAGTTTTCACTGATATAAAAAAAAATTTTCAACTACACTTAACCATGGCCATGTACTATACAATTAGCCACTGTTATCTAATGATACATTGAGAGTTTGAGACTATTTTTAAAAACGTTAGAAAATAGAAAAGGCCATAAAACAGTTTACTTTTATTCACACGAATCTTCGCAAATTTCCCAGAGAGTAAAAATAGAGGAGATGAAATACCAAATCCTCAAAATGTCACATCTTATTATTAATCATAAAGACGGAGACGTTAATAATCCATGCTTTGTTGATGAATTTCATTTTAAATCTTTAAAATTTGGCAATATTTTTCCAGACAGAATAGTAATATATGAAAAGTAGTAGTTTTTGAAAAATTCCTACCAATAAAAGTTTTCAATAATTTGGTCAACTAGTCTTGAGACCAAACACTCCTTTCCTAGTCAGGACATTTCGAATCTCAACCAAGAAATATAACAGAAGTATATTACTGAGTTACTTTTTATAAATCGAATCAATCAGGTGATTGCAAAAAATGGCTTTCCTTGCCTTGAATTTTGTTCACACCAAATTCAAAACAGAAAAATCTCTGTTAAGAAGATTGCATATATAACCTCATGCAACAGTAACTAATAGGCAATAAAGTGCGCCTCACTATATATAGATGATTTAGCTAACAAGTTTGAAATTCACCTTTTTTACATTGATGAGTAAAAATGTCTTCAAATATAACAGGTAACGTATCGATCATTCCATCTGCTTCTTCATTATGAATGGGGCAGAACTGGTAATTCCACAAAATATCTTGATGTTCGAATTTCGCTCGCCATCCAATTATATATACCATATCTAACAAAGAAAAAGATAATGTATTCAATGTTAAAATTATACCACTTACGTAATATGCATTATTATTTCATACTTGCGTATGATAACATCATTATGGCAAGTGGTATTGATTGTGCTTTTGCTGGAATGTTTTGATCGCAGTGCAAACCCCCCCCAACACCTCGTTAAAAAACTCATGCAACGATGAGAATACCTATTTAAGAATCTTGCTGCACATTAACACAAATATATTTCTGTAACAGCCAGACAAACATAATTTGATTTCAACAAAAACTTGAATGTGGGTAGATATAAACAATGAGGGTGTATATTATACCAGTTCTCCATATCTTTAAAAAAGACAATTCAATCAGTATGCAATTCAAAACAAAAATAGTTGAATGGAAATGAAAATAAATCTTTACATGATGAGATTCAGGAATTTTAAAATTGAAAAGATAAATTTGACCCTCAACTTAAACAAATGCTGATACAGTTGCATTGAAAAAATGCTGTTCGGAGATAGCTTTCAAATATTCAAAATTAATTTTATTCCTATTCTAAATTCTTGATTTTAGAAATAATTTTGAAATTATTCTATGTAAAAATATCATTTAGAGCAGGGCTTCCCAAATTGGAGGTCGCGACCCCGAATGAGGGCGCATAACGAATTTAAGGGGTCGCAAAGAGTATAACAATTTCACACAGTACTATGTCCATTGTACCATTTTAGACTCTAGATTTGAACACAATTATTAAAACTAGTGCAAAACATGAAAATCTCACGATTCGGAAAGAAAACATAGGATCAGAGAAGCAAGCTTGCATAACAATGTCGACCTGACAGGGCAAAACTTTAATATACTTGAAGGGCCGCAAGCTTAAAAGTTTGGGAAACCCTGATTTAGAGAAGTCTCACAGTATAACCGATGGGACTTTCATTTAATTTGTATAATATATCAGAACGGTAGATTATTCGGTTTTAGCCTGGCTCTCGGACTCCAATTTACTAAATTTCAAAATTACCCTACACAAAATGAAAGTTTTTTACAAAACGAGATAATATAAAACGAGAAAATATTCAAATTCATAAATTGTGCAACGAATCAATAGAGACTATTCTCCTAGCTACAACATCCTTGAATTACATATATACAGACCCATCAGCGCAAAGGAAGAATAGATGACCTCGCGTAATTCCAACTCAAAACTAATCCATTCTATTTTTTTCACCAAAATCATTGTTCACAAATTATACATTTTTTTACCTCAAAACTCAGCGTAATTGCTTACTTTTGCAGACCTTTTATTTTTTTTAATATTTTTAATATGATGCTTCATCGGCGCTCTAGAAGTATGTGTACCAATAGGTAGCTAATTTTGTTCGCCTACTTTACATCAGGTTGTGTAAAGGGACAGAAGCTAATGGCAGAGGGTATATTCACTTGGCTCACACAAACAGTCCCCGAACTCGTAATAGAACTGAAATAGGGTAAATCATAATAAAATAATGGCCTAATCCTAACCTGGTACACATACTACGGAAGTACCGCTTGCACTATGAAGAAGGCTCTGTACAAGCAGACCCTGCATAGATGAAGAGCTACTTTATTTTGGAAGAACCACAATTTCTCGGCATTGCCTACCTAATTTTTTACATGCTGGTTGACCTGGTGCGCAAGGGATTCGAACCTCAATAAATTTTGAATCTGCAATGCCAACCTAGTTAAGACCAATGCTTCTTTAATAACAACTATGCCTTCGCGTCCCATTTGAAGCAAGAAAATTGATATTATAAAAAATTTTGGAAGACCTACATAATTTCTAGTTTAATAGCATGATGCCTATTCTAAAAATTGCAAAAAATTACCCGAAAAAATTTTGATGCTTCAAATTAAAAAAAAACTCATCCAAATTTCCTAGTGTCATTCGAATAAAATGTTAATTGCCTGACGTAGAAATGAATGTCCTTACATCAAACTTTTGACCTAATTACAATACTAAAGTTAAGTATTATTATTTTAAACATATGTCTAACTCGAAAACCAGCTGTATGATTTTAAAAATAATTGCCACCCAGCAATGAAGATAAAAAATGCTATTCTAACTTGTGTTTTGATTATCGTTATTAATACCAGATGTTGCTTTAGTCTGGTGTGGTAAGCAACAGACATTTTATTTTCGTATCCAAATCAAAAAAGTTGTTTTTATTGATTAAATTATAGACACAATCATGATTTTCTTGTACAGATGTCTAGGCTATAGTCTACAGAAGCTGACCAGACCAGAAGAAAAAGGCCGGCCTTCCACAAATTTCCATTTTTAGTCTGAAATCAAACTACATTCGTCTACAGACAAAGTTTAAATACAGAGAGACCCAAACTAGAGATCACATTAATTTCTTAAATATTTCTACGAAAATGAAGAAAGTATATTTAACATTCCATTAAACTTCTGATTGTGTATGATTGTAGCCAACAGTTAATTTCATGAGTCTTGGACGGTTTACACAAAAGTTATTTTCTCTCTAGAAAACATGTCTCAAATGACATTGGTTCTGTTTTTGTATATAATTCATATTAAAATGACCAGAAACAAAAAACAAAAAAATTAAATGCATAGAATCCTGGCAATATTGCAACCCCAATGCAACAAAGCCTTAACAAGAATGCATTGGCACAACTACAATGGTCACTGGGTGAGCAGAATATGACTTTAACGACAGAGAAGCAATGTTAACACAACATACCCGACAGACACTGGTGCATGAGTAGAAAAAATTTTGGACCAATGTAGCTTAATACTTTGTTCCTTACAAGATAAGTATCACATGATATCAATAAATATCTTATTAAAATTGGTTCATAAACTAAAATTGAACTAACTTAATATTTCTTATCTGCATTCCTTATATTTTTAATTTTGGTGATATTAAAAAATATTATGGCAAAAATTACCCATAACCTATACCTTTTTACATACAAAGAACTCTTGCTTTTTCAATGTCAGATATGAAAACCAATTTTCAAGATGATAAGTGATATAAAAAAACAACCAAACAGCCCAAAATTTATAATGAATTTAAAAAAATCATCAATTTAATAAAAAAAACTTCATCTTAATTTTAATAATTTCAAATAGAAAACAAACTACAAAAATAATTTCAAATAGAAAACAAACTACAAAAATAAATACAAATCACACGAAATATCTTCAATTTTATTCTAAAAAAAGTCCTAAAAATTTTGTGACATCCTCGTAGACAACAACAACAACATACTGAAAAATATAAACTACAATCATGTTTTGAGCTATCGCAGTTGATCGAGATGAGTAATGCGAGTCGAAACTACAGCTAGTTTCTAATATAAACTAACAATGTATCAGCAATCAGGAAGTCTACTATGACTATAGCGTTTTTAAAAATATGCAAAATGATAAATATTCTGGTAGATTTTAAAACCAACTCAATATGAAACCAAATTATATATATTCTAGGAGAGCTATTATGTAAATGCATAACTATGGTAACATCTGACTAAATTATGCAAGTTTAAAAAAGTTTAATGTGAATAGCTAATACATACAAATGAGGTAAATTTGTGTGTATTCCATGAATTTATTCTTTTTAAATTCAACATATTATTAAAATGACTAGAATGGTTTTACTCTCATACATCATGCCCAATACTTATTAAAAAAACAATTATGTAATAACATTTGAAATTAAAAACATCCATTCGTTATCGACAAAATCGATTCATTCAATTCATTTTAAATGGTTTCGAATGTTTATACCCATTTTCGACATCTGTGATTGAAAGCCTTCCACATTCACCCACACAAAACCTATAGTACAGAGTATTTTCAGAGAAAAAAAAAAAAAATTTCCATAATCCACCCCATTAAACTCATATCAGACGAACACTCTTAATAATAACCAACATCAGCATCTTACTGGTACACTTATAATAACTCCATTTTCACTAACAGGTATAAAGACCAACCGAAAAAATGTTATTGCCCATCATAATATAACCAAATTTATATTAAAGCTAAATACTATAATGTGTTTGCTGTCTCCCTTGCCATAACATTTTGGCTAACTCCTGAATGTGTTATTGACTATCCTTATATAACCAAATTTATATTAAAGCTAAATAATATAGCGTTTGTACTATGTGAACTTTCCAGAAAAATTATTTTACTGAGTAACAACATTTTTCATAAAATCCCAACAACACATCAGGTTCCAAACCTGCAACAGTAGCTAATCAAAAATAGATCATAGTAACCATAAATGCCGCTACCGAGTAAAGGGCAGCGTATTACACATAGGTTAGAATAAAATGTAAAATACATGTCGTCATCATAAACAGTGACAAATTTGAAATTTCTATTACGTTACTGGTCAATATCAAATGACTCTATATTGGATTACGTATTTGCTGAACTGAAGTAGTTTCAGTTTATTGGAATCTTAATTGCTGAGTATTATCAGTATTTTACATTGGCTTTCGTTCGTGGAACCTATCATTTCAAATAAACGAGACTTAGAAACCGTTTGGAACAGATTGTTATAATGCATGTTGAATTCAATAATATACATTCACTTTATTGATAGGCCATACATGACGTCGTACAAAAATTTTTTGGCACCTCGGCACAAACTCTGAGGAAGAAAATGGAAACAAAATTAGTTAAGAATAAATAGTTTAATAAATATGAAATTTCCGAACAAAATTATTTTTGGATGAAATGTTTAAAATTACTTTACATACAATCGAGCAAAAATATTGTAGCTCTGGACAAATTGGTAGATATCAGTAGATGCTTGATCACAGGGGCATGAATGCAGGTTAGGACCCCCCTTTTAAAATGTAGGTAAAAAAAGATTTTTCTGTATCATACATAACAATTTTTATGAGCTTGAAGCGCTTTTTAGAACCCTAAAGACTCATGAAAACACACAGCCTGCAGCCGGACCCGTTAGCTGTTCTGGTCTAACTTGACTATACCCCTGCTTGAACAGAGCTTTGTTTTAGCGCAAGGTATGAAAGGTTTAGATTGCACTGTAATGAAACATACAAGCATACATCCATATAGTGCTTTTCATATCACATCCTTTGATGTCTAATTGAGTAATCACTACAATAAAATAATATTTTCTTTGATAGACTTAACTGATAATTCTTATGAAATTCTAAAAAAAAAATTCTTTCCGCTTTCCGTTGCAGACCAACTGACATGAACAACTAAAAAGACTCTAAGAACTAAGATATTTGTTGGTTAATAACTAATTCCATCAATTCTGCGAACCGTTTTTAAATAATTATATTATAGGCTATTAGCTAAATTCCACAAAGAGAAAATGCTTATTAATAATACATTAATCACATAACCTATCAAAATATGCGTAATGCAATAAAACGCAGTTCAATTTCCCTAATTATGCAATTATGAATAATACGCATTCTATACAAGGGCAATTGCTAATGAGCAAAATGAACAAATTTATAAATGACTGTTATATATGTCATCAAAATGCAAACAGTTCAGGAACTTCCCATTATTAAATATGACACATTAAAAACTTAACGTAAAGGCTACGTATGTCAGTAGTGTATGTAATATGAGATAATATTGACAAGACTAAAAAATTTGGAAAAGACTGGTAAACATAATATCACAATCAACTTGAAAAATACAGATTATCATACATTCCAATTCTGATTATTTTTAAAGTCTATGAGCACAGCAAATATACTACTACGACTACTAGATGAGATGACAAGTGTTTGAGAGACTCGAATTTTGAAGGGGGGCAATTCTCTGAAATATCTAATTGCCAAGTTTGAACCCAACAGCTAGCAGGTCCTTAGCGTTTCAAGCTATGAAAAAGTGCCATGTATGATACAGAAGAGTGCTTTTATTTACATTTAAAAAAGGGGGCCGACCCGCAAACCCCCTGGATTCAAGTTTGCCCATTTATCAAGGAATCTCCATCAACTAACTACTGTGAGATTCAACTCAGTGATTGACTCTACATAAAACCTGGATGACCAGTGACTCGACTTGACTCAAGGTTTAGAGACTTCTTTCCAACATTGGTGACAACCAAATAGAATTTATACAAAATTTCATTATTATTGCCAAATTTATGAGAAAGAAATAATTATTTATTATTAAAAAAGTACTTCAGATCACAATCAATTTAAAGTAAGAAAAACAAATCAAAATGGAACCACATCACACAATATCTCTATTTCAATAACCTGATCTGAATTACTGTTAAAATAACAAAATATCCAATATATCAACCTGACATCTTATTACTAACAATTGAGATTTCAAATAAACTGAATATGGAATGTGAAAATTTACACAAATCACTATTATTTTGTGTTCAGAATATTCAAACCAACACAAAAGTCTTTTTTTTCTGTGCTGTTTGTTACTGGTTAGATATTGTAGGTTCTGATCTGCTTGTCTGACGGCTCAAAATCCCTAATTTTTAAATAAAATATTCCAAATTTCATCAAATATAATGAATTTCAAACATACTCAAATATTCTATTTGTTTTGAACATTCCTGAAATAAAACCAATTATATTCCAGTCAATAACTTCCTGCCAAGTAAAATATCAATAAGTGACTGTTATTGAAACAATCAAGTGACTCTTACTATACTATCCAATGATATTGATCATGGCTTAGTATTATTTTCTCTCATTTCTCTCATTAGCCACTAATCACCCTAATTGATCAATACAGATATAATATTAGTTTCAATTGTGTGGAAATAATTAAGGACATCCAGCTTTGTTACTGTAATTAGGGATAAGGTCATGAAAATGAGAGCAATTGGATGATAATATCAGAGCATTTCTTTCTATGAACCAGTTAGTTGAAATTTGTAAGACATAGCGTACTTTTTAATAGGACAAGATATAGGAATTTTTAAGGGAATTGGATCAGAAGTGAAGGAGATTCATATCTGGTCATTAAAATGCTAAATTTCTCTGGTCTAATCTGAGTCTATTTTACTCCTGAGCGAGTGTGCTTGACCTTACTTCGATCCAGTATTAGCCTAACACGTCACTAAATACTGATTGTCACAAAATTTTGATCTGTTCAAGTTAATATAACATACCGATATATAAAATATAACCATTCTGGCCAAGTTGTATCCTACATAATATATAAACACATTAACAGACTTGGTACATGTACAAGATATTCGCCGTTTACTAAATACTAATACCTCGATCAAATATCCTCGTTTCGCCTGTTACATACAGATCTAAAATATCAAGCAACAAGGACTGTCAGTTCAATACAGGATATTTAGAGCATCTTTGAAAAACAGCATATAACAATATTTAAGTTTAGTATGGATGGCATAATGACAACGCAACAGAGAACACACAATTTTGCTTCTACTGCGCTATGAATAAATTTAGATCACTTTCAATGGTAAGGGTGAATGCCAAATACCTTATGATACTTATAAATTAGAAATAAGAAAATAGTTTTTCGAGGCGCATAACTTTAGAGCAAACAAATTTCTCCTTCTTATATTATACAAAGATCAATACTCTGCTGCTTCATGTGCGACCGAATAGGAAATACTTCAATCTGGTATTTAAATCTTAAGTGTGATGTATTGCTTCCAGTGGAGATCAAAAAGTATATTTATAGATGATCCGCCAATAAGGAAATTTTTCAGGTCATCATGAAAAAACAAGTTGTAACAAAAGTTGTAGGAAGGATATTGAATTAAACTTGATATTTTTAAAAGCATTGAGAGTTGAGACATAAGAAAGCTTGCAAACAGTTCTGTTAAATTTACCATAATGCTAATAACAACATCCCAATTATTTCTTGAAATCTTGAAATTTGAAGAAGTCATTTCATGATATCGATAGCTATGAAAAGCTTCATTCACATCAAAAGATTTGAACAAGTTCTATGATAATATTACTCTGACTATCTGAGTATACAATAAGTTGATTCAAGGAAAAAATAGTAATTCTCATTTACAACAAATTCTAACAAGACACACTTGGTTTATTTGAATTAAAGTAGGTAGTACCAAATTGGGTTGAATTTCTGCTTTTAAAAGTTTTATCATATCAGCAAGAAAATCCGAGAGATTATGTAATATGACAGCCCTTTCTTCAATAAGCTGACAAATAAATATGCTTTTAGTTACCACGAAAGTGATCATTATTTTTGCTCTCCATTCTACAGCACTCAGGAAGTAAGCAAACGAAACTCCTTAAAACTATTCATCATACTAAAGGCCGCCCAATTCGTCACATGACTGACAATAACAACAATGCTGCTGAGAGATGATTGATCTAAATATAGGTAGAAATCTTAAATCCTTATATCTGTTTGCACAGTCGAACCATAACTCACTCTGTTTAAGCAAACTTCAATATTCAAACCGACTTACTAATACACTAATGTTCCCTGTTTGACCATACAGACGTCAATGTATTAAAAACTAATCTGGGAAGTGAAAACATCCTTTTACAATGCTATTACGGAAACTTAATATCCTGTTATTAATATTTGCGATCAGACCAATGTCAGAAGCAAAACTGCTTGGTGTAGGGAAGCTTATTAAGTTGGACTCGAGTCCCACTCATCAAAGATTCGAAGTGAGTCGAGCCATTGAAAGGGAATAAATCTGACTTGCCATCAACTAACCACCAGTGAGTCTCAACTTAGTAACTGACTTGACTTCGGATGCCCGTAACGTAACGCAGTGTTTAGGGACTTAAAACCCAATACGGCTTGGTACAGGTTTTAATACTATTGATGACTATAGTAATAAGCTAAACTGTAGTTATTCACTGTGTACTGTCAATGGTCTTCAACACGCTTACAACACTTTGCATTAGGTAACATTTTATTTTGCCATTCTACTCATAAGAGTATTTGGTTGTATTAAGATTCATATTAACAATACAATCGGACCTCAACTAAATTAAGTTTGTTATGCTTAATTGCGGGCATTGAATTTAAAAATAGTCATTGTAAACTGCAAGTTGGTAAACTGCAAAAAATCTGCTTATCAGATTTCTACAAAATGATCTGACAATTATTAATTAGTTTGAACATTACTTTTTGATCGTTATAAATAACTAGGCCAGTAAAGGATCCCTATAGTGTCTAATAGCCCTCTTTAAAACCTTAAATCAACCAAGACAACTTTTACTATAAATAGGACACAAACTACTGCCTCATTTTATGCTAACTGCATAACAAACACATGCTTTGGGGATGTGGCTACAATATCCAGACAGTTTGTGTCAGCCCCCATTATGTATATTATGGTATCCCTTCAAGCTAAATCAAACGATCTATAGCTTACAACTTGTACTTCTATTTCTGATACAGCTACTACAGAGCCAGCCAGAATTGAGTGAACTGAACATAGATTCAATCAATTTCGGACGAATGAATGATGAAGTGAGACAGTGAGAAAATAAAAGATGTATTAAATATGACACCGACCTGCTTTCGTCAAATTGTGAGTTGCGTGGGTTTTCAGTTGTAAAAAATCCATTTTGAAAACGATGAACTCTATGCTTGTGATACTTAAAACCAAGTTGTTTTCGAACCTAAAAAGCACAAGTTTACTAAATTATAATACTGAATACTGAATTATCTATGAAAAGTGTATAGGCCAATTGATTTTATAATATCGCTCATCGCAACAGTTTTCTAGAAAGAATTTTGATTTGAGTTTTCTCAAGCCCTTAACATAAAAATCTTTCTGTAACTTTTTGTCAACATTGGCATGCCTTAAACCTGGTTTTACCTCATATTAAACTAGTATACCACTGAAGGCAATTTTATTTCCATGTATTTCCAGTGCAGAAATATATCCCAGAGCACGATAGTTGCTTTTAAATGATTATTGGGGTAATACTTTCTTAGTCAATTCACTTTGTTTATCAGATCAATTTACTGATTCATTTTAACCATAATTATGAGCCAGCTTACTTTACTGTATCAGTTTCTGGCTCTCTGCTGCCATCTCTCTGATACAAATTTGAAGCTTTGAATTCTTGAGTGAATATAGATGATAAAATGATTATATAATCACCTGTTTGTTCAAGCAAGATGTATCAAGGACATGAGACCATAATGCAAGAAGTAAAGAACATGTTGAAGCCAGATTCATGTTGACTTGGTTGACAATTTCTTCCAGTGATCTCAATTCCTGCATATTGCATAATATACAGTAAAATAATAAATTTAAGTTCACATTATTCAGATATTTTTTTGACAAATTGTATCAAATAAAAACATTCAATTGTAGTTGAGATGAGACCATTTCTATTCCTGGCTATTACTGTAACTAACAATTATTTTTAATAGTTGATAAGTGAAATCAGTGTGTTTCAAGTAAAATGAATTATTTGGAACGTAAAAAACAGAAATATATAAGTTGGAAACCAGTAGAAACCAGTGTCGAGGAAACTTGAGTCAATGACTAGAATAGTGTCCGACTTGAGTCACCTTTTTCAGAAACTAAGAGTTATTTCAGAGAAAAAACTTGTTTAACCACCATACAGACCTAAATCGGGAATCAACAGAAATTGGCGAGTCTATAGAATGGCAAAAATTTTTTTACCTATCTCATGGTTCGGAATACTCAACACTTGTAGAAACATGCTTTTCATAATATGTGCTGTGCTAAGAGGGGATGAAATGGACTTGCCATTACCACTTTTTCAGCTTTCCCCAATAACCACACCCATGCATCGGAATAAACTAAAATTGTTCGCCAAATGAATAAACATTTTTGTCATATAAATATCTCGATTCTGATCAGAAAAATTACAATTTGTCTGGTTTTCAAATCAAAATTTAAAGATTTGAAATAGTATAAACTGTACTCAAATTTATCTCTTCATTTGGAAAAAGGAAAAGACCCTACCTTGAGTGAGATTGTCATGTCACTCAACTTTTGGGCAACATCAACAGAAGCTGAAATAAGAAAATTTTAAATTTTTATAAAAAAAATCTCAATCTAATACCAGTTATACAGTATGGTAATTTAATAAAACAAGAGCATATTCTATCTTCATGTTTGAACTGAAGACCCTTTCTCTCAATATGTATTATAATGATCTAAAATTGTCAAATAATTTATGAGTGGCCATCCATAGGACAGATATGAATTTCCAAAATGGGGAACGAACTACGCGAAATAATAATGAAATGAATTTTATATTATAGTGCCATTTAAATTGAAAAGAAAATGTTATTTATATGCTGAAATGTCACAAATATCATGGAAATGAAGGAAATTTAGAGGTTGCATAAAAGTTGAGAGGCTCAGTAATATGTCTCTAGTTGTCATATTTCTAAACTATGTGGTGAATGACTATAGCTAATGAGTATAGAGATGGATAGTAATTCCAGATGCTTGGAAAACTATTCAATGAGTTCATGAGGCTTTCAGATGAATTTGGTGTTAAAACTAATCAATTATTCATTATCAATAAAGTTTTCTCCTAGAAAATCAGATGAAAACTATCATTTATTTTGCAAATATTGTTAGATTAGATACATTTAAAATATTAAAATTATGGAAAATATCATATATTGCTTCATAATGTTTAGGTTGAAAGATATCAAGAGATATCAAGGAAACCTAATTTCATCAACACAGGCTAATCACTTTATATTATAAGTTAAATCCTGACCAAAAATGGCTCAAATAAGATTATCACCAATTAGATCAAATTATGTAAAAACAAAAACGACAAACCCTGAATTAATTTACATTCTTGAAATAAACTAATTTAAACAATGTTTTTCCCTATGAACAAAATTGACTATAAAAGGTATCGTACATTGTAAGTGGTGTGGGCGAAATGCCTTTTCAATATAAATACCTTAAAATGATGAATCATGCAAGCATGCAAATTGCAGTCTCATTATGAACACAATCGAAAGTAGTCATGCAATTATTATATGATAATGATACATAAAGGAAGAAGACTAAATTACCGGTATCGAAACTTGGTACTTGGTACTACTTATATTCGGTGTTGGAAGTGAGGATGGCCAAAGTAAGATAATTTAAAATATTGAATTCATACAAATGAAATTTTTAAATATGGAACATGAATATAGTCTAAATTAGAGGTTCCCACCCAAGGGTTAATTTACAACTTGAGGGTAAATTTGGTTTGCCTTGCAGAGAAGTTAGCATTAATACCTGTTTTACTGGAACCTGTGCAATAAATCAATTTTAGACATCTACATCCAAAATCCCATACTGAAATTTCTACTTTCGAAGCCTTTTTAATCCCACGAGTCATTTGTATATGAATGGTGGGGAAAACGAATAAGGATAATTTTTGACATTTGTAAAACGGTTAATGAGAGAATATATGCTTAGAACTTCTGTTTGAGTGATGTATAACAAAGAAAATTTCAGAAATCCTTGTATTTGAATATTAATAAAATTGATATAGGCAATCGGACTGTGAGCATTTAATTTTTTTTTCATTTTAACATTTATTGAACCTTCTGCGAGCATTATTTTATATATACATGACCTTTGCTGAAGAATATGATTTATTTGGATAGGAAAAGTGGCAAATGTCAATGTATGTATTAAAATGTTACGATTATGTTTTTGTGCTATTCAAGAATTGAATGTCAAAAATAGACCATAATTTGAAATCCATTTTCAAAATGAAGGTTATTTATAAAAATTTAGAAGATTCCATATGTTTTTTATGTGTCTATATAAGATTTGAGGATATGATATTATAAAGAAACTGTAAGGAGATTTTTACAATTTTTTTTTTACAAAAATCAGTTTTCATTATATAGTAGTCAAAAATCTTATCAAATTTTATAAATGTCTATTCAGGAAAAAACAAAATTATAACATGCTGAAAAAGACTCTTTACAGTAAGCTAGTTGGGATGAAATTAGTTTTTTAATAGAAATCCAATTAAAAATCTTTCTAAATTGACAGGATTTAAGAATTTTGTGGGCATTTTAACACATATAAGTCTATTTGTATTATGCGTTTGAGTGAATAAATAAAATGTAGTTGTAGAAAAATTATTTTAGAATATTTCTTTAATTCAATATGAAATCCTTACACATAAAAAATAAAAACATCTGGCAGTCCATGGCATTTATAATGAGCCAATCAGGCAGAAAGGTCAATAAAGTCAATAGTTTTACATGATAATGCATGATCGTACATAATTTTGTGTTGGTGTTGTTGTTTTCCATATTGATAGTAATGATAGACAAGATGTTTTAATCAATACAAATTTAGTTAAAATCAATAGATTGACCTATAATCCCTTTTTAAATCTATGTACTATTATAAAGATGTTTGATGACTGTGACATCATATTTATAATGTTAAGTGGACATTTGATGAATACAAAAAAAAATATGATATAATTTTAGGTTGTGTCAACTTGTGTGCAAAAAATACTAATGAGATTGACGAGAATGGAAAAATGGGAACAAAAATAGAATTAGGCTATTTAGGTTATGCAATTATTCAAAAAAATGGTTTAAATTTAGCATAATTTTAAAATATTTAAACAAAACTGATATAATTAATCAATGTTATGATGCTAAGACAAGCACCTCGTGGTAAGTCGAGTATAATTAGGGATTTGAATAAATTAAACGATGTTCAATAATTTGACATTTTGATTTTAGGAATAGTTATGAATAGTTTCATTTGTAAAATCATTGAGCAATTAACGCCTAACAGAATAACTAAAAATGCCTTCATTCAATTATCGAAAAACTGTAAAAATCGAAAAAACAATTATTCATCTCAGCTGTTCAAATAATGTGTTCTTTATGTATGTGTCGGCCAAGAATAAGCCTACAGTCCAATTTAGAATATATTTTATATGCTGTATTGGAAAATATTGTTTTCGACTGTGTTCAGGTTGCAAATAATTAGATTTTGGCCATACCAGATTATATACTTTAAAAAAATTTAGTATTTCAAAGAACTCGTTTAGAAGCTCGAAAATCTCCCTCAGAGCATAAGTGCGTAGTGATACCTTATGTCATACATCGATAATATTTAGACTGTTAAAAATTGATGGCATGCAGCATGCATAGTGGTGAAGAAAAATGACAAATGATAATCGATTAAAAGTAAATAAGTAGTCATACTTCCTTCCAAATGATTCATTCAGGAACCATATTGAAAGTTTGGCTTTCATTTTTTTGAGAGATATATAAGAAGAGCATATATAGTTGGAGATTGAATACGGGTACCGTACTTCTTTAGGGTTTACTTCTTTAGATTGAATTCGGGTTTCAAAAAATGAGATGAAATTGATTTTTACTGAACCTTGGTGGGCTAATGGTTGAAACGCTAACGCTGACTAACTAAGTTTGATGGATAACATCCCAGGTTGAAATCTCAGCAAAAAATCCCATGTTCACAAAACCCCCCACTTCCGCAGGGTGAAATAAATTGGGTAAGCAATGTTAATTCGAAAAAATTTGAATCCTGTACAGAGACTTGTTTATAGCAAAAGACATATGAATACGTCATTTTTTTTTTGCAAATTACGCCCAGCTAATAAATCTAAAACCAATTTTCAGTTATGATATTTGTGAAAATATACAACAGATTTAAATGATACTGTGAATACTATTTGCTACATGGTATACTACGATTAAGCAAGCTTATTATAATTAAAATCAAATTTACCGATAGCAAGAGAATCAAGATCCGGCTCAAACTCTCGGCCGTACAAACGAGAACTGACTTGCTGAAGATTTGACAACACTGTGAAGAACAAAGAATAGAGACATGTGCAGTTCAATCACAAAAAAGTTAAATTTATCTTTGAACCATACTAGATCAAGCATGTGTTATTGGTTTATCAAACTTTACCATAGATGGTAAAAGGATATTACAATAACACATGCTTACTTAAGAATGATCATATGATAAATTAAACTTGCAAAGTGCGACATCACAATATTGCACACACAAAATGACACACTGATCCATCGAAACTCACATAACTTTAAAATTATAAATACCCTACTATATTTCAAGTATAATATAAATAAATATTGATCACCATAAACACTAAGCATGCAGTTTTTTAACAAATAACTGAAAATACTAGAAACTAACATAAACGAAATATTAAACAAAAACATCTGAATTATGCAAATTTCAATTCCTTCAAA